AAAAAAAAAAAAAACTCACGATATGATCGACACAACCTGGAATGAGATGGACTAAAATAGATGAAACTCAATCTAAGCTTGAAAATACGGAAACAAACAATTGGAACTTTCGGAAACCAAATATGTGTTGGAGCAGTGTCAGAGACCACAAAAGAGATATCAGTAAAGGATTAAGAAAATCTAAGAGTACTCACAGGGACTTATAAAACCCGAAGTGTTGTTTCCAGTTTCGATAAAACCAAAGTCGGCTGGATGTAAGTTATGTAAGGGAGGTCCTGAAGATTACAAAAATGTCCTAGTTACTTGCAAAAGACTAGGTAACGTGCGAAATACTCACCACAGCATAATACAACAGATAATGACGGACAACCAGATCATTTATAACCATGTCATCAAGAGGGGACCTACTGAAGGTCGATTGACTTGCAGCACCAACACTCGCATACCTATATCTCATTTTGGTTGCTTCAGAAAGAATAGGCAGAGATTGGTTTTATGCATTGCACATCAAGTGAGCTTAATTATCATGTTAAAAAAGAAAGGAGGAAGAAAAATAAATAGTATCTACAAACTATGCAATAGCATATGTGCTATCAGAAACATAATACATATATATAAGAAGTGACCTTCATGCTTTTTTAACATGTTGAGTAATAGGTAAATGCCAATGTTTTAACTCGTGAGATTTTAATGTTTACATTTTGGCCGATTTAAAAAGCACACAAAACTTGAGTTTTATTATAACAAGAACAAATGTTTAAACTGAAGATAGTCTAACTAATGTCTTATCAAGAAGAAGAAGAAGATTATTAGGGCCTTGGTGGGATATACAGGACAAAGAATAGTAGCCAAAAAGTGGTCACGGTGAATAAAGGGGCAAAAAATATAAAGAATAGAGAAAAATAGGCAATAAAAATAGAGAATAATGGGGTTCTGAAACATAAAGAATACACAATAAGGGTCAAGATAAAAAACGGTGAAAAATGATCTAAAAAGTTTTTAAAAACAATAAGAAAAAAAAATGTAGCAGGAACAATTCTGCTTGAGATTCGGGTATGCGGACCACAGCTTATTCTAGTTTGTGAACTGATTTATACGGAGACGATGGATGCCAAATGTAAAAGCGCTATATAATATCTATGTAAATGAAAACCAAAAACAGTGAAATCAATATATAATTTAATCAACAATTACAACTTTTATTATGTAGAACCAGCAGTAGAGAAATGGAGCATTCAATGACTTCAATATTTACCCGTATTAAGAAGGCATATGGCAGATGCACTAACCTTAAAGGGTGATTGGAAAGCACGGCTTTCCTAGGTTGGACTGAACGTCAGTCCTCAGACGATTCAACATAATAATTTCAAATCAATTATCTAAAATATATAAGTTTTCCGAAGAAGGTAATTAAAAGTTCTGCGACGATGCAAATATTAAACTTTAGAATATGAATAAATATCTTTAACCAATGATTTCAAAATATCAATATCTATTCAATTTAACAAACATGTACTGAATAAGCTTCATGTAAATTATTAAATAAAGAAATATGAAATTTATAGTTTTAAACAAGGGAAATAACAATGACATAATAATCCTAACTGCCACATTCCTCCCCCCTAAGACAAACGATAAATTTCATAAATAAAGTCTGCAAACTGAAATGTCTAACAAATTGATGTATCTGCCACACTAAACACGCAAAATGCAAATGTCATGTAAAATAAATATGAATAATTTGTAATTATTAAACATTAAATCTAATATATATCAGTTAAAGTTAAACAATGAGACTGTTCAAGGAGACCACAACACCAGTCTGATACCCTCCTCCTCCCTTCGAAAACAAATGTAAATGAAATAACATTTGAAAATTTAAATTTAACAAAAGTCTATCAATGTTCACCAGATTAAATGTCTTTCAAACACATGTAATAATATCACTTAGAAATAAATGTCACTGTATAACACATACACAAACACACATCAGAATCAGAATCAGGTTCATCTGTTAACGGACGCGACTTTAAGTCTTCTTGGTAAGCAGGCTTCATACTCAGTGGTACGGCATATATTGTAACGGCACATCTAATGTTGAAATCCATGAAAAGTTATACCAGGCAATGTCCACCAATTTTTATCTCACAGTGGCACATTTGACGTGTACCACCGGGTTCTATTACTGCACTCCAACGTTGTTGATAACGGTAACACAGACGTTGTGCCACCGATTGAAAGCACCATTCAGCTGAACAAAATATACTGTTTCTGATCTGCACAGCAGACATAGACTTGTAATTTAAGTTGTACCAGGTAATCTCCACCACTGTTGATCTCACAGTGGCACATTTGACGTGTACCACCGGGTCCTATTACTGCATTCCAGCGTTGTTGATAACGGTAGCACAAATGGTGTACCACCGGAGTTGGATCGGGTCCATCTATATGCAAGGTTCTCAAAATAAAGTTGGACGATGCCCAACTGTTATAGCAAGGTTCTCAAAATAAAATAGACGATGCCCAAATTTTGCGCAAGGTACTAGATAATGGATCGATGCATCTGTATGAGCTAGAAGTGTTTCTAACTTGAAGCTTAACTTTCACTCTATTGGTTTCTGCCATAACTAATAAAAGTCAAGAGGTCGGACTTCTATAAACTCTCTAAATACTAAATATTTAGCTAGAGATTACAATCCAGACAAATGAGCAACAACTCATAAACAAACCAATTCCTACTAAAACTAGCTAACAGTCTACACTTCAAACTACACAGAAGATCAGCCATTATTCAAGTAATAATAAAAATGAAAAATATAACAAGTTGAGATGCACGGCATCCCTCCCTTGGAAAAAGAAAAACCAAACAGCCAAAATTGAGGCGTATGACACCTCTGAGTATACATTGAAATAAATCTAAAGTAAAACTGTATATATACAACACAATGTAAAAACAAAAATTAAACAAAGGTAACACAATCTGAACTACAAAAATTGTGATTCAAATTGTTCTTTAATATCCCTTCTATTTTTGAGAATTTCACTTGACTATCTGCAGACCTTTCATCTCTAGCATGGACTCTAAGAGACATATTTGGGCACTTAGATCTGATATGACCTAACTGGTGACATTTAAAACATTTCTTAGGTTTACGTTTCCTACGTGATCTCAGTCGCCTCCTCAATATATTCATTAAAATTTCAAAACTGTTATGAACAGTATTACAACAAACTGAACTTTCTGACTCATCAATAGTCTCTGGATCACCAGTAAAATGAAAAGCTTCATATTCAATAGCTAGTGATAAAGCCTCATCTAAACTATGAGGGTGCTTAAAAGTGACAAATTTAGCCATCTCAATATTCAAACATGATGTAAATAAGTCAGTAAAATACACAACTAAATCTGAAAAATTATCAGGATAAGCCTTATGTGCTAGTATCTTAAAACGCTGACCAAATTCAGAAATGGTTTCACTTTCCTTCAAACTACAAACTCGCAGCTGAAATTTAAAATATGCCACCCTCTCCTTAGGATTGAACCTCTGAATGAGAACATTTTTCAAGCAGTCATAATCATACAACTGTGGCCTTTTTAAGAAACGTAAAATAGTTTGAGCATCACCCCTCAAATTCATTATTAACTGACATGCCATCTCAAATTCATTCCACTGATTCCAAAGAGAAACTGTCTCAAAATGAACAAAATAATCTGTAACATCAATGCTGACACCATCAAACAAACAAGGTTTTTCTTCAAACCTAATCATAACTAAATATACATTTACAAAATGAATCAAACTATGAAAATAAAATGTCCCAGGAACAACTATCGGCCCAACTCTTCAAAACTGGTCTGCTTAGGACTGTCATATCCAATTACAAGTACTCAAATGTCTGCTCCATTTCTTATAAATAATTTAGTTCAGTTACAAACCAGAAAAGTTGCTTTAAAATTCCACATCCGCCTCGCGGGACCAAAATGTAGCAGGAACAATTCTGCTGGAGATTCGGGTATGCGGACCACAGCTTATTCTAGTTTGTGAACTGATTTATACGGAGACGATGAATGCCAAATGTAAAAGCGCTATATAATATCTATGTAAATGAAAACCAAAAACAGTGAAATCAATATATAATTTAATCAACAATTACAACTTTTATTATGTAGAACCAGCAGTAGAGAAATGGAGCATTCAATGACTTCAATATTTACCCGTATTAAGAAGGCATATGGCAGATGCACTAACCTTAAAGGGTGATTGGAAAGCACGGCTTTCCTAGGTTGGACTGAACGTCAGTCCTCAGACGAGTCAACACAATAATTTCAAATCAGTTATCTAAAATATATAAGTTTTCCGAAGAAGGTAATTAAAGGTTCTGCGACGATGCAAATATTAAACTTTAGAATATGAATAAATATCTTTAACCAATGATTTCAAAATATCAATATCTATTCAATTTAACAAATATGTACTGAATAAGCTTCATGTAAATTATTAAATAAAGAAATATGAAGTTTATAGTTTTAAACAAGGGAAATAACAATGACATAATAATTCTAACTGCCACAAAAATAAAGGACCCCCCCCCCCCCCAAATTTACTCCACCCCATGGCCACCCCATACAGATCCTCTATTATGTACCAGACTTAGCATAGCCTAAATTAAACAGATTAATTTATTAAGTAAATTTGGTTTCCCCCCTCCTTTTTAACCCTTGATTTAGTCACCTGAAAATATGATCAGCGACAATGAAAAATAATTGAGCAGAATTCCTTTTAGGTCTTTTATTCAGTTATCACCGGCACCAATTTATCAAATAACTTCCGGTTTCCACTGAAGGTAATGTGGTAATTTACTTGACTTGTTTATGATATTTTTCTTTGACAGTTGATACCGGAACGATATAAAGTATCTGAAAGGTAAATGATGCATGAAATCGGCATGTTTAATTCCGAGAACTCCATAAAACCCCTGTAATTTGGACAAATTTGCACTTCCGGCGCGTTGTTGGCGACGCACGAATGCCGGGTGGTGTGATATCGTATGATCATACCTTGCTAAAGATTGGAAGTATTAACTAATTTGCAGTTTTCTTTATTAATATATTTGGAGTAATTTGTTTACGTTAATAACAAGATATTCAAGTCATACGGGTGAGGTATTGCTATTTCAACTTTAATTTTAGAAGTCGCATGCATTATTTTTTAATGTAGAAGAAATTGGTCTCACTAATTAGCGACAAGAAGAATTTTAGCGACAAGAAGACTATTTAGCGACAAGAAAACTTAAAAAAATTATCATTAAAACAATTATATATTTATTTTTATAAATTTTTAAACACTCTCTTTGTCTAAAATATAATAAACTGACTGCATGCGAAATGCATTATCCATGAATCAATGTCCAGAAAAAAAAATGTTATTAAAACGTGAATATTTTGTTTTGTGTATTGACTTATAAAATGATATTTATCATATGTATGCATAGTTTAAAGTTGATTGAAGATTAAAAGTAATTAAAGACAATGTTGAGTTTTCAACAGGTGTTCACTATTTACAATGATTGTATATTCTGGCGGGTGTAATTGTATAGTCTGACGCGTGTACAAAGTTATAGGTGTTAATTGGATGTTATTGTAGCAATACAACAAGGCCGAAGGGACACACGTCCTCTACTCCAATCATGATTATAATTTGTTCATCCTTAAGCGTCATAATGTTTCTATGAAAAGAAGTAATTCTTACAAGAAAAGAATCAGTTGGTTCGAAATTCCTGGCCAATCTCTTGAAACCATGATAAAGCAATAACAGAATACATAGGTACCTATCCTATTAAAATAGGTAACAAGCATGGTAACGCTAAAATAACTAAATCGCATGTTAGACCAGAGATAGAAGCTGGTAAATCAGTCAAATTTTTTGTTGTTAATAACTTTGACTCTGAACATCAGCCATGTGACTCAAAATATGTTTAGCACGTAAAGTATTATATAAATAATAAAAAAAAAATCCTTTAAACAAACAAAATATTGCTGATGATATATATGCAAACTGTCATCAATATTAATTCTGCCAAACATCCTTTTTTGAAAGAAATTGTTCAGACCACAGGCAAACCACCAAGTGTTATCTTGACCCATTTATTCATACCTTTGTCTTGGCTGAAAACAGAACATACATGATCTTAAACATATTTTATCTAATAAAACTATGCAATCCCTTTCTTCTTTAAAAATGTTTAATTTCTTCAACTATCAGTATAAAAAAAATGAAAAGCACTTCATAACTGCCCGTATATTAAAATAAAAATGTCAATGCATATTTTTTTAAATATATTTATTTTAACAAGGACGTAAAGTTATACGTCCTTGATTTTAATAATAATTTTTTTAAGTTTTCTTGTTGCTAAATAGTCTTCTTGTCGCTAAATTTATTCTTCTTGTCGCTTCTTGACGCTTCTTGTCGCTTCTTGTCGCTTCTTGACGCTTCTTGTCGCTTCTTGTCGCTTCTTGACGCTTCTTGTCGCTAATTAGTGAGACCCAAAGAAATGAATATCTGTAGAAAGACAGAAGAGACCTTATTACTATTTTTGGATCTTTTACACTTGACTCGAGATTTTGTGACACTTGAACTAATGATGTGTGGTGGGCATACAACAATCTCTTTTGCATTGATGTGTCAGACATTTTCTCTAATGATGTTACTAAATTTTACAGGAACATCTGTGATGGCCGGTAAGGTGGGTTTGTGGCATAGTGGTTAAGACTGAGGCTAAAATGCAGAAGGTCCCAAGTAAGAACCTGACTGGGGGCGCTGGAAATTTCAGTAAATTAGTAGGGTGATTTTCACCCTCCCACACACATCACTGCCTCTGGTACCCAGACCGGAGTGTAAACTAGAATGGGAACTTTGGGGGCCTCTGTTGGTCAAAGTGGTCCCCCACTTTGACATGGAGATCAATCTATAGATATCTATTCGGTTTGTCTGTTCCCCTCCGAGAAGCACAGTGGTTCCCTCTGAGTACTTCAGCTTCTTCCACCATAATAACAGACTTCCTGGTGTCCTAATAAGTAAGTGACACATCTCCATTAATCCTGATAGGGAGTGTACACGGATTCCACTGTACCCTCGCAGCAATGGAGGGTGCTCCATTCACGGAGGGATCTTAGTACATACATACAATGGCAGTCAAATAAGGATACGAGTTGTAGTGAGTAAGCAATTTTTACATCTGCATGTATCCACTTCCTGTTCGCCTATACATTTGTAGTTTGAAATTATACAACAATCATTGTTCAAAGAAAATGTTTGCCAAATTTTACTTGGCTTTAGTGAAAGGAAAGGATCAGTTATGCTCCAGTATAAATGTTATACATATTTGTTTAGGGGCCAGCTGAAGGTCGCCTCCGAGTGCGGGAGTTTCTCGCTGCATTGAAGACCCATTGGTGGCCTTCGGCTGTTGTCTGCTCTATGGTCGTGTTGTTGTCTCTTTGACACATTCCCCATTTCCATTCTCAATTTTACCTCAATCTATTAAATTCAGTGACACAAGTCCAGACCCCGTGAGGTCAATCAGTGTAAATGGCATCATTGAACAATTGTTTAACTTACTGAGACGTAATAACATAAGCAATTTTGACAGTAAAGGAGAAAGTGGTTTTCATCTATGGTTTTACAGGTTAGACATGATCTCTGGTTTCAAGGTATATTTGGATATTTGCCCTTTTCCATAAGTAAGTTGTGATGGCTGATTTCTATTTTTGTAAATAAACATCTATTTTCAAAATTTGGATATCTAAGATAGAATTCTTTGACTTGTTTAACTTTAATGCTTTTATAAAGAAAAAGTTTGTTGTTTTTTTTAAACTGTTTACTTTTTCCCCTAGTACATTGTAGTTCTGAATAAAATTTGCTTGAAATATTCTCATTCCAAAAGAGGGGTGAAAGATACCAGAGGGACAGTCAAACTCATAGATCGAAAATAAACTGACAACGCCATGGCTAAAAAATAAAAAGACAAACAGACAAATAATAGTACACAAGACACATAGAAAACTAAAGACTAAGCAACACGAACCCAACCAAAAAACGGGGGGTGATCTCAGGTGCTCCGGAAGGGTAAGCAGATCCTGCTCCACATGTGGCAGCCGTCGTGTTGCTCATGTTATTACAAATCCGGTAAGTCACATTCGTGGTGAAAAAGGAAGTGGGTTGTAATTACAACATAAGGAACATATCCGATATCATTTGTGAAACCGTTATTCCATAACGGTCAACCAACTCGTAAAATTTACAAAGGGATGATTTCAACCACGTCTTTAAGTTTTAAAACTTCTTTCTTATTATGACAGCAAACTCATTTTTGTATATCAATATTTCTTGTGTTGAATCTTTCAAATTTAAAGTGGACCATTTACATTGTATAAGATCCTTTAGGAGTTCAAATTTACTTTAGGCAATAGAAGGTCCAGGACCTTTGACCAGAAAAATTGAAAGGTCCTCCCTTATTCTTAGAAGGTCCAATTTTATTTCACTTCACATCAAATCTATTGTAAAAAATTTAAGCAAACACATAAGTTTCCTTTCAGTAAAAATACATATTTTAAGATTATTTTTATACTAGATTTATAGATTTTATTCAAAATGCTTTTGGATATTTTTTTAATCTGCAAAATATGAAATTTCCATCAGGTGTAGCTTACTGCTGGTGGGAAAGCCAAGTTCAGCTTTAACCCCTAAATTAAAAGATGTCTTTTTGGTACCTAGAATATATGTACAGCAATTAACATGAACCTTTTCGAAAGGAATCTTGTCCATATATTGGAAATTATTTATAGGTTTGTTTTGGGATTTAAATCTGTTTGTTGCTTTATAATAAGAATGATATTCTGGTTCTCACTATGGCTCATGAAAATCTGTCTGGACTCGTCGTTTTCAAAACTGATGAGACAAAGATGTTTCAAGATTGTAAAATGTTGTATCAACTGAGCACATCTACATCATCATTTTATAAGAAAACTTTAAAAATACTCTTAATTTGATATCATTTCATTGCTCTATTTTGTCACAAGGCCTGACATATGAATTATATAGCAAATGCATGGTCTTTTCCATACCGGTCCAGGTATCATCCCAAGACCCCCATATCAGCATGAGACGTTAGTTGAGGGATGATACCCGGGCCGAAATGGAAAGGGACATATATTAATCTTTTTATCATATACTTTCGACAAATTGTTTTTTTTTCATGAGGCAAGTAACATGTATCAATTTGATGCGAATGTTATAAAATTTCTGGGAACCTATATTCTGTTTTGACGTCATAAAAAAACTGGACAGAAACACATTTTCAACGTCATAAACAAGGCGATTTACAGTGAGTGACTATATATATCCTACCGTAGTCTATAATCGGTCATAATGTTGGTTCGTTCGGATTTTGTTATTGTACTTATCACACGGGAAAACTCCGCATTGACGTCACTACGCTAATGCCAGCGTACAAAATTAGTGCAGAATACATTTTTTCTACTCTTCTAAATAAACAAACATTTCTAAAGATATGTTTTCATTGTTATTTTAAAGTATTGTACAAAAATGCCAATTTTCTAATGGCCGTTTCAAACCTGACTTCCGAATGCCTATAAACATTCCAGAACTTCAGAAATCCCCTCTTCCGGCCTCCATTGCTTTGTTTACATTCCATTTAGCGTCATCAATCTTAATGGCAGACCAAACAGGCCAAGCAAATCGTATTTTTAAGAATTTCAAAATGGCAAGCACCTTACGTCTTACGCGATTTTCCCGCGAAAAAAACCCATCCAAATTGAAAGAAAAACCTTGGGAAACAAACGATAATCATGCCATATTTTGGTTCATGAATATAGAGTAGGTCATTAAAAAACAATATACATATATTTTTCATAAAAAAAAAAATTGGTTCAATATAAAGAGATCGATATTCTGACCATAAGTAAATATTCATATAAAATTCCATTGATATCAAATTTCATGGCTAATAAAGAGATTTCCTATTGAATAAACCCCCAATTTATTGCAAACTATTTCAAAGCAATATCATACAAACAAATAATATAATTGCCTTGTACTAAAAAATCACCTAATTGACAGTAGAGCAATTTGATTGGATATAACGATTCAATGTGTCACTTGGTTTTGAAGCCATTAGAATTTGAATGTAAACAAACCGGGTCAGCTGCTGCAGTATGGAACAACATTGTACATTCAGTGACTGAGAAACAATTATGAGTAACCAAGCTTGACAATACACAGTAATAAAAAAACAAAGTTAAGTCTACAGAAAAATAAAATAAAAAATGGCCTTAAGTGCACGACTTACCACCATCGCGGGATACATATGAATAGACCGTCAATGCAATTTGACTGCTCTAATAGCACAGTTGCAACATTAACAAACCAATCACCCTCTGTCATGCCTTTGTGTGTCAGATATTAGTTGTAAACAGATGACACCAAATTATCGGAAGTAACTTGTGCGAGAGGTACTGTAACAGGTTATTTTCACGAGAGGCCTCTGATATGGGTTATCAGCCTGGATGTGAATTTATGGCTAGTTTACTTCCGCTTGTTACACATATGCAAAAATATCATATTAATGCCAAGTATAAGATAAATAGCAATAAAATGTCATCTTCTTCTCACTGTTGGACTCGCCATGGCCAAAAATGACTAGTCCCTGCACTCGCCTTCAAAAATATTTAGTGAGAAATTTATATTCTGTAACATTATTTATTTTTTCATTGTTGAACCTTACTATTATAGTATATATGGATCCAGTTTTGTAGTTCTTTGCTGGATGATCATTATTTTTTGTTTTCTTAGACCATAACAGTAATTTGATAATATGATAAGGTCATCAGCAAACAAAAGACTTCCTATAGCTATATATCGAAATTTAGTATTCTCAGGGGTTTTGAATTTTTATTGTGAAAATTTTTGACTACATGTATATCATTTATAAATAGCAGCCCAAGGTTATAAAGATTGATCCTTAGCAAATGATGATTACAGACCCACCCATAGGATTTGTAGAACCTCATTAATGATCTAGATATTGAACTTTATCAGCTGATTGCTATTCTCCAGCAGCTGTTTATAGATCAATGAGATAGTAAGATTGATTTCCTGTATTGATCCCTAACCTATTTGTTAAGTGTGAAGTGACCTTCTGATTAACTGTGCAGTCTAACTCTTATGTAGGGTTTTTGTTAGGATTTCCACCAACTCTTACAGACAGGTATGAAGTGATCTATACCTCTAATTATGTTTTTAAGTAGCTCTAAAGTGATGCATGAATTAGTGACATGCTTTTCTTTATAATTCTTTGTTATTTAAATGTATTCTGATTCTTGTTATTGATATCATGCATTGTTTGTCCTGTTTTATCATACTACATATCATACAATCTTTACTCATGTTATAAGTATATTGTTTTCTTAAGTTAGTAAGTAAAAAAAAAGCTTTGTGATGACTTTAAGTTTAAAAACTATTTAAAACATTATCAAATAATTACAAATGATCAAAAAGTGTAAATAAAGACTTTTTACTTTTATACTGAAGTCATAATTTTAATCATGTTAATCATTCTTTTCCTATAATCCCTTTTTTGTCCTGAATCTGTTCTCAATGAAATATCTACAACTAGACATGAAGCAACTTTTGAAATCTTGGGATTTCTTTTAACAATTAACACTAAAAGCTTGTTTACCAAAGTTTTATTACTTATTTGCTTTAATTACTAAATAGATTTAGTTATCAGTACTGACAGTTGTTTGAACTTTTGATAAAGAAGAAAACTTATTTTCAAAAATATACATGCACACTTGGGTATTTTGTTTTTATTTCAAATAAAACTATCTGAAAAGGCAAGATATAAGTAAAGTTATATTTCTTTATCACTTGACAAATTTATCAAACCATGGTAGTATTTCTGGACGAACAGATTGATGCATTAATTATCATGCATTGGTTGTTTGACAAGGTTAAATAACAATAAAAATGTAAGTGTCCCTGACCAGACATGATATATAGATGTTCAACGTCTACATGTACTTTCGTGATAACCATCACAGATAGGTGTAGGTAAGACACTCTCAGGTTTTATATCTATATAACAGAAAGTATAGGTTGGTACAAGTAAAGTCAAAGGTAATTTGTAAAGTATAGTTCTAAAGGAAGATTTTACATCTTTTTTCATATTTTGTTTTTAAAAGTTTGAATTTAAAACTAAAAAAATATAACATTTTAGCAAAAGTCATTGACTATGTTCATTAGGTAATTTCTTTAATTTTTGATATCTGACTTTTAAAAATATACTGTGATATTGGTTGGTGTAAAATATTAATCTGTGTTTGGACTGATTGGATGTTGCAATATACAAATATGGATGTCAGTTACATATTGATTTAGGAATTGATTTATTTCCATGAAGAAAACTCAGATTTCTGTCTGTAACATATTCTGATAACAATGTTTTATTAACATACCAAGTGCTTATGGTGTGCAATGTTTTTTTAACAATTCACATTGACTAAAAGTCAGAATGAGCCATTGTCATCAATTGATGTCCATTGTCTTTCAATTAACTTTTTCAAAAAATATTTCTGTTAGCACTGGGCAAACTTGAAGCAGACTATATATAATTGTGGGGGAGGGTTGAACGCTCTTATTCCACATCAGATACCTTCAGTGGCTAACCTTGTATGAGACAGCAATCCAACATAATAAAAATATTTGAAATAGCATGCTTTTTACATAACTAAACTTGAATGTCCCTAAGTCTTGTTAAATTTTATTAAAATAACTGCTTACACTGTACATGATGTATTTTGACTGATTCCACAATATTAATGTCAGTGTGGATATCAGACAACCACATTTTTCTCTTGGGAATGGAAACTTAACAGCTTTTAGCCCTGTTGTTGGTATGATACAAGTGTAGGGTTAACTAAAATATTCTTATTGTGATTGACTATTTTGTTAAGATATATTGATTCAACTGAACAGATAGTCAAAATCAAAATGACTTGGTTGAAAAATTCCATCAAAATGACTGTTTTAAAGTAATTTGTTCTAAATATTGTTGAAATTGTTATAATGAAACTATTAATGTGTTCAGAAAAAAAAAACTGAAATTTATTTGAGACGAGTTAAAAATTTGAGAAAAAATAATGTAGGTGAGCCAATCTTTGGTAGTGTTATCAATAGATATGTAGATTACATATTGTTAACTTTTCTGTTAAAGTATCTGCTATTGATTGCATTTCTTCAGTAATTATTACAGAAAAAATATTAGAATTACAAGCTCTTCAAATGCATAAAATTTATATAGCATATATAGTGTCGTTTTCATTTTTTTTTAAGAAGTTTTTCTATCCAAGTCATAATGTTTTCAAAGTAGTGTTCCTGATGTTGACTGCTATCATTATAATTGAATAGTTGGACATTTTGATCACACTGCACTTGCTTCATTCTTATAACTTTTCACTAGCAATGGGCTAAAACTTTTGACAAGTTGATTGCAACTACAAGGAAAAATTGATTTTAGCCAATTGGCAATGTTGGTACATGTATTGTGAAAAGACAAAGCAATTTGGATATAAACAGTAATAATTAATGGTGGGGCCTTCAGTGTATATTTTGCCTTTATTTTTGTCTCACCTGCGTCAAAAGATCTTCAATTCTCAATTTTAAGTTTTCTGCTTAAGTTAGTTTGATAAAAACTACTTATGATCTATAGTTCAATGATATTTTGTATAAAGTTACATTACGATCAGTTCATACCAATTTTCAATGTTAAGATTTCTGCTTCAGTTAATATGAAAGGAACAACTTTTGATAGATCAATGATACTTTCTATAAAGTTGCATTACTAATAGTACATATCAATTTGACAACTATTTTGAGGCCCTGCCCCCTAGGTCATGGTCCAGTGACTTTGATTTAATTAGCAATTTTCAATAATAACAAGTTTTCTGCTTAAGTTAGTTTAATAGGAACTCCTTACAGTAGACAACAATATTTTCTATAAAGTTACATTACTGTCTGAACATCTCAGTTTGTTGACCATTTCGAGGACCTGCCCACTAGTTCATGGTCCAGCGACTTTGATTTAATTATCAATGTTGCTGTCCATCAGATTGTCTTTTTCTGAATTTTATGCTGACAGACCAGAAATATTTCTGTGTCAACAGTTTATTTATACTACTTCCAAGAATAAATCAAGTATATCTCAATATTCTATTTAAATGTTATACAAATGCTGTATAATAGTACAGTTGATACCAGGAACTGTAAAACATTTTAAGTTGAGTTTTGAATTTGAAATATATCTTTTTTGAGGTGGTTTAACTAACAAGCCCATTATTTTACAGCAGTAAAGTATGTCTGCCAAAGCTATTAGTGAAGCCAAGGGGAAGGACCTACTCAACAAATTCCTGAATGGATCAGTTAAGAACAAGTTTGCTATAGTTAAAGAAGATACTGACATCGAATCCCTGAAATCACAACATTCATGGCTAGAATCAGAGGTCTGTGGATATTTATGTCTAAAGTGTTTTTATACGTATTGAACTTTTGAGTAGAAAAAACATTTATAAAAGTACAGTTTTACTACATTTAAAATCAAAAACAATGTTATAACATGAACATTCTCTGTCTGTTTACTTGTGTATTTTGAAATTGTTATATTTTTACAGATGAACTGTAAAAGTTCACAGTCATACAGAATTTGAATATTAAAATATACTAAGTGAACATCAAGTAGCAGGGGCAGATATTAACACTTCCGAAAGTAATTTTTTTTTTTTTCTCTCACTTTGTTAATAACAGACATACAAAATGTAAAAAAATAATCACTGCCATTATCATCTCCAATTGTATAATTTTGAATGATGACAACATACCATTTATGTAAGCAGATGAAATCTACCACAGGGCATGTTACTCAATGCAAATTAAGTTGGTGGTTACCTTTCTATCATTAAATTTTAATTAACATGATAAATTGTAGTGATTTGTATTTGTGACTTTGTCATGAATGGCTGGAAAGCTTACATAAATTTGTTGCATAAGACTATACTGTCATATTGTATAATAGTGGCAAAATATGTAAAGGAATCTCCAGCATTTGCAAACTAAGTTTTTTGCAATTAGCTTAAACAAAACACATGGACCTCCACTTTTCTCTATAAATATTGTTTTGTCAGAATTGCATCAATAGTGATTTTTCTTCTTGTATACATGTATATTTAGAAACAAGAAAGTAGTCTACTGTTTTCTGTCACCTATAACTGCATAATCTCATAATAATAATTTGGATTTAATGTCAGTTGGGTAATTATGGGTTTATAATCAAAGAAACACTTCACAAAATTCTCATGAAATTATCTTTTTTCCTTTGAAAAAATCTTTTGTATTATAAAATCAAAATTTATGTTTCATTGTACTTCTAACACCAAAATAAAACTGAAATGTCTCCAATAAAAAATTATGTCATGACCGTATATTTATTCAAATGTGCATTCATACATGCAATATATTTATATATATATTTTCAAATTGACTCTGTGTCAAAAATTCTTGAAGAATAAATGTAGCATTTCTTTTGTATAATAATGTGTATGCCCTTAAGTAGGTCACTTTAAAACAGAAGGTCATTTAAAGAACCAAGAAAATACTAGCTTTTCTTTGATTGTTTTGTATTTTAAGACATTGTTGACACATCCTGATATCAGATTATTTGTGAGGGATCAGATTGCTTTTTGATTTATTTGTATTTCATTAGTACAAATATTTTCAAAGAAAAAATACTAACCAGAAAACAGATATTTTGTTTTAGCAATTTTGTTTACATTTTTGTCTCGCCTTGTCGGAGTCAAAAAGCGAGACATTGGTATGCTGTTTTCCGGTGGCAGCGTCAACAATGTATTAGTTTGTGATAAGGATTAGGTCAGTTTATGGTGAACCACTAGTGGTAGGTCAATGATATTTGGTATGCAGTTATATTAGCATTGTCACATCTCATTTCCATGTAGATTATTTGGCCCCGCCCCTTCAGTCATGGTCTATTGACTTTTGACTTTTGCTTAGTTTACATGAATTAGTTTGTGATTAGGTTAGTTTATGGGGAACCACTAGTGGTAGGTCAATGTTAATTGGTATGCAGTTGTATTAGCATTAGCCCATCTCATTTCCTTGGAGAATATATTGCCCTGCCCCCTCAGTCATGGTCTATTGACTTAACTTTTTGCTTAGTAAATACATGTATTAGTTTGTGATTAGATCAATTTAAGATGAACCGCTAATGTTAAGTCAATGATATTAGGTATATAAATTAATTGGAATTTGCAAGTCTCATTTCCATGGAGATTATATAGCCCCACCCCCTCATTATGGTTCATTGACTTTGAAACTTTTACATAGTTTACAAGTTAATGTTTGTGTTTAGGTTTGTTTAAAGGGAACAACTTTTGATGGTATTTGGTATGCAGTTGTATTAGCATTGGCACATCTCATTTCCATGGAGATTGTTAAGCCATGTACCTTCAGTCATGGTTCATTGACTTTCAATATTTGCATAACTTACATGTTAAAGTATTGCTATTTTAATTTCAACATTTGCATTATCAAAATTACAAAAAGGGGAGACATATCTCTGTGTTAACAGTTTATTATTTATTATCATTATTATAATGTGTTTTTGTGATAAAGGAAAAATAACTTTTTCAGAAACTTGTATGTAAACCAGATCAATTGATAAAGAGAAGAGGGAAGCTTGGTTTGATTAAAGCAGGAGCTGATTTCAACGCAATCAAAGAATGGTTAGGAAACAAACTAGGCAAAGAATTTCATGTAAGGCAACAAGCTAGGCAAAGAATTTCATGTAAGGCAACAAGCTAGGTAATGAATTTCATGTAAGGCAACAAGCTAGGCAAAGAATTTCATGTAAGGCAACAAGCTAGGCAAAGAATTTCATGTAAGGCAACAAGCTAGGCAAAGAATTTCATGTAAGGCAACAAGCTAGGCAAAGAATTTCATGTAAGGCAACAAGCTAGGTAATGAATTTCATGTAAGGCAACAAGCTAGGCAAAGAATTTCATGTAAGGCAACAAGCTAGGCAAAGAATTTCATGTAAGGCAACAAGCTAGGCAAAGAATTTCATGTAAGGCAACAAGCTAGGCAAAGAATTTCATGTAAGGCAACAAGCTAGGTAATGAATTTCATGTAAGGCAACAAGCTTGGCAAAGAATTTCATGTAAGGTAACAAGCTAGGCAAATAATTTCATGTAAGGCAACAAGCTAGGCAAAGAATTTCATGTAAGGCAACAAGCTAGGCATAGAATTTCATGTAAGGCAACAAGCTAGGCAAAGAATTTCATGTAAGGCAACAAGCTAGGCAAAGAATTTCATGTAAGGCAACAAGCTAGGCAAAGAATTTCATGTAAGGCAAAAACATTACAAATATTACATTAGACTAGCATGTCTTCAGTTCTAATGCTATTTGTAGTATTTTCATATTGTTTAAAGCAAAGCATATACTGTAAATTCAGAAATTATTGCAAGGTTTTTATTAGTGCTAATAATGCGACTGGTTTATAATCGCAATAATAAGAATTACGGTTTATCGGGATTCACGCTTCAGACAGCTGACGACTAGTCCCAGTTTACTGGGATTGGAATACCTCTTGTACATTTCACGCTAAAACACATTGCAAACACAAGTTATCTTTCTTTGTTTAATACACGGATGAAAGTGTAAACATGGCGCTTCAATTTGTTGAAAACTGTGTCAAAATCAGATGAAATTTACAGATTTTACTAGAATTTGAAATAAGGAAACATTTTTTTGAAAGAATATGGAAGAATTGAAGTCAGACTAGTATACTTTTTTGACATAATGCCATTTTATGTACAAAAACACTTGGAATGGACATCGTTCGGTGTAAGGAATTTGTACAACCTCGTTAAATTTTTCAAACTTTTGCCGTTTTGGCTAAAAAAATTACGATTTTGGGTCAAAAAGTTGAAATTTGAGAATTTCATCTGTTTAATGCCGAAAATTTGCAAATTTTGATTTTTTTATGATGAAAAAATTATCAAAACATGAACAAAACTGTGCACATGGTGTAAGTGAATAAAATAAAGACATAACATAAGTACAGACAAGTTTTTATTGATATTCAATATGAAGATCTCCCTCGTGTCATAATAGCCAGGGAAGCCATCGTCTTAGAGTAGCTTTATGAAAATACATTTGTTTAAGTCTTCCCATGGCAATAAAAATAGATTTCACAGGGTATATGGAGAAGTTAATCCCCTTTAAATAGGAAAGAAATGAAACTTGAAAAATATATTTCATACCACATTAGGTTATGCTTCTCTTATTTTACAATTATAATTTCAACAGTTTCCCAACAGAACTCAGTTTTTATTTTGGAATGATGAAAATTGACTTTCCACCTATGTTTATAAAATCAAGTGGATTTCCGACACGTTTAGGGATTTTTTTCTTGAAAAGGCCTTATGCGCATAAATTCATATAAGAATTTAGTAAGAGACTTTCCCTTTTGTAATACTTAAGTGTGTATACTTTAAACATAAAAAATGGTTATTTTAAGGGTTGTTTAAGGTATTCCTTACATTTAAAGGAACTGCTTTATTAGTCTTGTGGTAGAGCACCACTCCAAATGGGGGAGGTGGTGGGTTTGATACCTGGCCTGATCAAATCAAAGACTTAAAAATTGGTATATGCTGCCTTCACTAAGTACCAGTAAAAGCAAAGACTGGTCAGCTTTGATCAGAATAATGAGTCCTGGTAGGGTGACATGTCTGACTCTGGTCTAATATCTTGGGAACTAGCACATTTACATTCATATCACATTAACATGTTCCTTTCGTAAATATGCATTTAATCTGCCACTGGACATAAACAGCCATCCACCAATCATATATTTAAAGGGAGGTAAACTAAAATCCATAACTGATAACATTTTATACTTTAATTGATTGTTGATCATTGGAAATTATCATAGCATAATTATAGATTATAACATGACCAAGAATCCCATATCGGCCCAAGGCAAAAGCTGATGGCTCATATAGATCCAGGGATGATAAAAGGGCCAATATAGAAAAGGACATGCAGATTTACATCAATGAGACAGCAGCTAAATAAAACAAACCCCAAAAGACATCTACATTATACAGACTTCAACATTTAAGTCTAGAATATTTATGTTGAGTATGTGTAATTTGTGGAGCATGTGTTTTCTGTGTTTGAATGATTAGTTGCCACTTATGGTATTGATTAAACAGATTGATTTAAATATTATATAAGAACATCAATTTGTTTAAATAATGGTTTAATGACTAACTGAAGAGATGTCAACTTCTTTCCTTGTTTGATTCTCTCACAACTGACATTGATTTCTATACATGATCAATTCAGAAGCTGGAATTTAAATATTACACACTTGAGTCCATTTCACAGCACCTGTCTAATCCTCCTTATTTCCAGTTTTTTTTTTTGTAATACAAAGGTTTGATTTTTATAATATATTGTAATATAATGGTTATATTTAATAAGAAATTTATGTCAAAGATACAAATAGGTTGTGTTGTTCCTAAGAAAAATTGGCATTTTATCTAGGTTCATTATTTTATGATTATAATTCAAGATCAGTCAAATGTTTTTAAGAGTTTGAGTTTCACTTTTGCATGCTCATACTGTAGTTAAAGGGTTCAATGCATCTTAGATATAATAGTATTTGGTCAACAAATTATATACCTTCAGAAAAAATAAATCTTGTTAAGATTGATATCGCCAAATGGAATTCACTTTTATCATTAATGGCTGCCGTGGTTTTAGTTGTTCAGTACCAAACATATTTTGTTTCATGTCTAGGTTCTTATGAGTTCCTTGAGATGTAAAAAAATAAAGAATTTATGGTTTGAAAGTGAAAAAAGGAAAGTAAATTAGAAAATTTTGAATAGTGTTGTTGTTTCTGTGATTTTTTACAGTTTTAAATATACAAATTATATTGGATTTTCCTTTTTATTCAAAATAAAAACAACTATTAAGGATTGTAACAAGATTTGAAGCAGTGAAGGAAAAGTAAAGTGTATTGATTAATCCTGTAACGACTAGTATAGAACTTATCAGACATTCCCATTACAGCTAACTTAAGTGACAAACCTACAGACATTGATCCAGTTAATGAAGCCAAAGATTTGTTCCTTTCTTCCAAAAATCTATAATTGGTTCAATATAAAATTAAAGACATATTTTACATTTCCGATACAAGCAGTTAGGTTTGTTTCTGATACCATTGATTTTGCACCATACTGGTTATTACAGTTTAACAAGGATGATTTATATGCTTAAGTTTTGTTTGTAATTACTGGACCAGAGACATAAGATTAAAGTTCACATCATCTTCAACTTATCTTTCTAGAATATTGGTTGGCATCTTAACAGCAATTTTTAATTACACTGAGATTTCTTAAGGCCTTACATGTAATGAAATTAATGTTTGATATTTCACAATATCATTGGTTTTCACAAAAATTAAGTACTTTTCTATAATTTAAGCATTAGATCAATCAAAGTAAGGTTACTGTACATAATGATTGTAAAAGTAACATAGTTGCTAACTTATGTCATTTTGTCTCTGGTGGAGATCATACAACATCGTCTTATTTTCATACAAAATAAGAATACCTAATGTACACAAGTCTTTAAACAATTAAGAAAACCTAATGTACACAAGTCTTTAAACAATTAAGATACATAATGTACACAAGTCTTTAAACAATTAAGATACATAATGTACACCAAGTCTTTAAACAATTAAGATACATAATGTACACAAGTCTTTAAACAATTAAGATACATAATGTACACCAAATATAACACCTACCTAGTTATGCACCTAAAACTTATATTTTTAACGGAATAGTTTGTCTTTCATTCCCCACAGCAAAACATTGTCTTTTCCATTTCTACATTTGGATGTCGGTCAGTGTGGAATTTCTTAGTACTTACGATTATAAAATGAGGCTTAATAGCATTGCTTTTGAAAGCTTTGTGTGATTGGGTACCGTAAATTTCAAAATGATTTTCTGTGTACATTTATTGTACAATATTCATTGATCAAGAATACACAATAATGTACACACAAAAAATGACCCATATACTCAACTTTATATGTGAGAGTGTGGGATATGTGAGCTGGCTGACTAAAGGTTCTTAAATTATCATGTTGTAAGGTTCAATACTTTAAGGAGACTCAGCTGCTGCATAGTACATGTATCATTCTTGTTCATTATCAGTTTTGTCTTGTATATAGAAAAATAAGTTTATATTTCATTTTGTAATTTTAATTTAATTTTTCTTTATAGATAGGAGCATGCAAAGGAAGGCTAAAGAACTTCATCATAGAACCATTTGTACAACATCAACAGGTAAAAATGTCACCATTTGTACAACATCAACAGGTAAAAATGTCACCATTTGTACAACATCAACAGGTAAAAATGTCACCTAATAAATTGCCAACATCAATTATAATATTTCTGTGAATATTTCTGTTTTTCAGTAAACATGCTAATATGCAACCATAACAAAAATATTTCCTTTGCAAAAAATATTTACATTTTCAGTTGTTCAAATACACTACAATGTTTTCATATTCTGTAGACATACATATTTTACACTTGTGGCAAGAACACAGGGCGAAACGTGTTACATAAAGAAACACAGGTGTGAGAAAGCTTGTGTTAAATGTATGGCATTCTTACCCTTGTATTGGGAAGGCTTAATTTTGTCTGCTCAAAGAACTTCAGACTGGTAGTAATATTCTAGCAAATAGGTTCAGATTAAACTTGCTGAATAAATTACATTGTCAAATGAAAATAGACATTGCAATCAATGGCACATTAGACTATAATACCACTATGTGTGTATTTGTTATAGCAGAGTTTGAAACCTTATAATTTTTTAGGGTTTTATTCTAAAAGTGTATTAAGACTTATGTTCCTGTTTTTTTAATGTATTTGAATGTATTTTATAGCAGTGCCTCTATATATTTTATAGCAGATTTTGCCGTGAATAGGTCATAGTCGTATATACGTTAACCCTTGGTCTTCCTCACTTAAAACATGCCATGTGGCTTTAAAGGCTCCATTATTGAGCATCAGATACTTGAACTGTATCTTATTTACCTGTGTTTTACAGAATGAAGAGTTCTATATATGTATCTATTCCCACCGTACAGCAGACACCATTTTATTTCACCACGAAGGAGGAATTGATATTGGTGATGTTGATGCCAAGGTGAGTGGTACTAAAATTAGGTAAGAAAAATATTAAAAACTGTCATGGCTTATCACTTATTTCAGTGGAAATTAGATCATGTTGAGATTAAAGAAAAATTCAAGGTCATTCATAATTCCAAGACAAGTAAATCTCTCAGATTAATGTGAACAAAAGGAGATGAGGTTTAAAGGTCAATAGGATAGCAAACCGATAACACAGAAAACCACACGATATTAAATATGAGCATGATTGTTTAACACAGTATATATGCAAAAGAGCTTTAAGGTACGATTGAGCATGAATAATCTGACTGCACACAAAAAAGATTTCATATTAATGTACAGGTATGCATGATTGTATGAGAAAATAAAGCATACCAAAGATTATGTAGAAAGTTTAACTTAAGAGCTTTATTAGGAGAATGTTAAGTTAACTTTGAGAGCTTTCATGAGAGATATTTTTACAACAGGCTGTTAAGTTAGAAGTACCAGTAGGAAGCGATCTGACAGAGGATAAAATTAGATCTACGTTACTGACCAATGCTCCAGATAACAGTAAAGAGTGAGTATAATTTCAAGGCATCCTAAACGTTAAGGGCTATATTACTACTGTTAATATAAAACTAAGAAAATGTGGTATGATTGCCAATGAGACAACTCTCCACAAGAGACCAAATGACACAGAAATTAACAACTATAGGTCACCGTACAGCCTTCAACAATGAGTAAAACCCATACTGCATTCCAAGCTATAAAAGGCATGAAATGACAAATGTGAAACAATTCAAACAATTCAAACAAGAAAACCAACAGCCTGATTTATGTACATAGCAATTAACAAAAAACAAATACGATTAACAGCCAAGGATCCGGAAATTTTCCCAAGTCATTTCGGTCATTTTTTTTTGTGATGTAATAATATCGTGATGCACAATAATGCATTTTTCTGAGGGTGACAAGTCTTGCACATGGACAAGTAAAGTCCTTTTTTGTGAAGTATTGGGTCAAACAAGTGTAACTGTACCCTGATCTAACAGTAACAGTGATGTCTCTGAGTTAGAAACTACACGAGGAGACGTTTTGTTGTTGTGTATTGCATCACTGAGGTCGTATGCATAACCCTTTAAATTTGCATAAATTAAAAGAGGAATAATTACGGCATGTTTCATCATTTTGAAATAAAGTTATGTAAACCAATTAATAAACTGTGTTGAGTTTCTTATTGCATGTACAAGATATCGTTTGTATTGTTCAAATTGCTGCTGTTTGGATGAGTGTAAGTGATTACCTAATACACAACAAGATAATGTGTATTCACCTGGTTTACGATAAGAGGATCAAAAAGGGGAAACTATGATTCAACTTTTCTTTGAATAAATAACTCAAGTCTGGTATAGTGATAACAATTGAATTTAATAATAAAATTCATGATTTTAAATAAATAAATAATTTATCTGAACAGAAGTTTGTACACAATTACAACAGTTCAATGAAAAACAATTGCATTGTAATACAGTCCAGAGAGATGTATGGCTTCACTTGGGTAAAAATCGGAAGTTTAGCCAGGAAAATAAAAGAAAGGATAACGCCCATTACATTCTGTGAGTAAGATGGTTTCAAAAAATCGGAAGTGCAAAAAAAACAAAAAGGGATCGAGATTGTTCATTCGCTGAGTATATTTCTTAAATAGGCTGTATGGCTTCAAATCTAAATTACGTTATTTAGTTTTAATTCCTTTTTTAAACATTTTTTTTTAATTCTGCATTCCTATAAATTATACGCTTTACCACTTTTGTAAATCTATTAATATCTTTATCTGCCATTTCCTACCGAAAAGTTAACAGTAAAATCGATCTTTCAAATAAGATCATCATTTTGATCCCCATTTTCCATGCGCAAACTCAGTAAACATAAATCTATATTTAACAAACGTTGACCAAATCAGCTGATCGATTATAAATGGATTATATGTTTTATTTGGATAAAAATGGACAGATTCTCGAGTCAACAGTGTTATTTGACTTCTTTAATGAATAAAATAATATCTTTTTGGGAAAATCTAGGTCAGAATGGTTAAAACGTTAAATTTGATGCACAGCAAATCGCCATATTGTTTTTATTGCTTAACAGGTGTTTACAGGTGAGATTTGTGTACATGGCCTTTATGGCTTTAATCAAGACAATAACGACACCCAAGCCGAATTCAAACTTCCTGGACATTGATTACTATCCTCAAGTGGTGATAATTACTATGTAAACAAACCTAGTGGCTTGAACCCAGACTTACCCCACGGTGTGACTCGACAGAGTCCTGTACATTGTTTTCACTTACATTATAGAATAAACAACAGACTAATGATAAATATTATTAAATCACTAACACAAATCAATAAAAATTTTATTTTGTCTCAAACAAATCTATTTTTCTTGATGACCTGAAAACAAAAATAAGTTCAAAATGGCGACCGATAAAACCCTGATCTCAATGAAATGACCGAAATTATTTCTGTAAAAAAAAAAAAAAAGACCTAAATCCCAATAAATCATTTCGGTCTTTTCAGTTTCCAAATCGGTCATGTCTGGCATATATGACCGTTTCCGGACCCTTGTTAACAGCTATAAACCATGCCATAATAAGCCATATGCATCTAATTGCTGAAAAGACAGGTCGTAAGCAATTAAGTAACAATTTGTTTTAGATAAAGTTGGATCTATAGAGCAAACTTCTGGAACAATAAATAATGAGTGAATTGTAAAATAGTGTATATAGTGTAAACATATGTAGAGAATTGATCATATTGTGTTGATATTTAGAATAATACTATGGTTATCAGATGCCTGATGAGAAATAGTAAATGGTGAATTTTAAGACTCATCGAAAGTTTCTGTTTTAAAATGGTAAAATGTAATAATGAAGATTTATTCAACTATTGAATTCGTTTAAAGAAATGAATAATACAGTCTTTTCCTTTATTTTTAGATGTTTGATAAAGTTCATCCTCTCATTATACACAACATATAGAGATCTACATTTTACTTACTTAGAAATAAATCCACTCGGTAAGATTATTATATCAATCTAGGGAAGGGTTTAATTTTTGATTTATGTCATCTGTTTTTTTATACAATTAAAGCTCTAAATAGTCCAAATTCAAGAAAAGTTGTGAATCAGCATAACAAAGAACACCAAAGGACTGCTTTCACCACCATACCCCTAGAGGGGAAGAAACATTAAAATATTGCTGAGTACAACCACACATCAGATTCCTGACATTGACAAGCTCATGGACATGTTGCAGGGTTTAAATTAGTATTTTAAGCATAGATTTTTAATTTTTTTTTTCAGTATTCACCGGAGGAAAGATCTACATTTTAGACTTAGCAGCTAAAATTGACCAGTGTGCAGAATATTTATGTAAAGCAAAATGGGGAGAGGTAGAATTCCCTCCTCCTTTTGGTAGAGATGCACTTCCTGAGGTAAGCTTACAACATTAAAAATGTAATTGATTTGTTGAAACAATGAAATATTTTTAAAGTAATGAGGAGAAATAGAATTTCAACCTTTTGAAGTAATGCACTACTTTAATTTATTATACTTCACGTAAAAATGCAATATTTTGATTGGCTTCTACGAGGGTGTTAGTTTCCTATATTCTATGGTAAATACTCTATTACACTTCATGGAGACGCTTGATCAAGTGTGCGCTTTATTAAATACGACTCTATCCTATGGCAAATACTCTATTACCCTTCACGGAGACGCTTGATCAAGTGTGCACTTTATTAAATACGGATGGTTGTTATGTACAAGACGTCATAGTTTATTACTTTGAATTTGAAATTTAATCGACAGTAATAACAGAACATTCAGTATAATAAATTAAATAACACATATCTGAGAGGGTGATAGAGCTGATTGTTACCCCTCGAAAAGACATTGTCAACCTTGGCTTCGCCTCAGTTGACAATGTTTTCTCGGGGTAACAATCTGCTCTATCACCCTCTCAGCTATGTGTTATTTATATAATGTTAACTAAGAGGTATAGATTCGTATGCACTGTCTGAGGTAAGGTACAATAATGAGATTTCAAAGATGAATTAGGTAGTTTAACAGGACAACTAAATAGAAGACTGCATTTCTGGTTGTCCTATTAATGATTACTCCCCCGTATTTTATTCTGGTAAACATTGTTTTGTCCATCTGCGTCCTTATATTGCTGAGTTAGAGGCCAAAATTGGTGCATCAATATATAAGTTTTGTTTATTTTATAGGAGGCCTATATAGCTGAGTTAGATGCCAAAAGTGGAGCGTCATTAAAATTAACAATTCTGAATAAATCTGGAAGGATCTGGACAATGGTTGCTGGTGGTGGAGCATCAGTTATTTATGCGTAAGTTTTTGAAAAGACTGGAACTATTGCTCCAATTCTTTCCTAAGGCACCGGCCTCCCAAACAGGAAATTTCCAGATAAGCTACTAAATCTATACACACTGAAAATAGTTCCCAATAAATCTCATGTCTGTGTACATATGCACATATGAACTGAAAAGTTTGGGTTAATTTGTTAACTTCTACGTCATTTGGTCTCTGGTGGAGAGTTTTCTCATTGACAATCATACCACATCTTCTTGTTTTTATATAGTTGAAAACAGAATGTGTATATTTTGCAATGAAGACTAAACCCACATTTTTATAAAATTAGTTTCTTAATTTGCTGAAGAAACACATTTTCAATGCCCTTTTCTGGAGAATATGAAATAAATATAATTTAAATAAAACTGCAATGCACCATCATTTGAAAATCCTATTTCCATCCATATTAAATCATTAATGACATGTTAAAAGGGCATTAGCTACAATTTAGACAAAAAATTAAAATATAATTTTGTTTCTGTTTCAAACATTGATAAAAGCAGAATATTGAAAAAATATTTCACTATTAGCAGTCATCCTGTTCAATTTTGTCAAAACATGCTCAAGAACATTGTTGATGTATTATTGACTTGCAAGTCATAATTCAACCTCATTTGTTGTTCAATTTTGTCAAAACATGCTCAAGAACATTGTTGATGTATTATTGACTTCAAGTCAACAATTCAACCTCATTTGTTGTTCAATTTTGTCAAAACATGCTCAAGAACATTGTTGATGTATTATTGACTTGCAAGTCAATAATTCAACCTAATTTGAATTCGTATTAACCTTTGTTGGTGATAGATTGCGCATGAGCTCAGTAAGTCTGGACAGTGACTAAAATGAAAGTCAGCTAACAAAGGAAAGGCACCAGCAGGAAGACAGGTTTCATTGATTGATTCAGCCCCTAAAAAACAGGTTATGAATAAATGATTTACATTTAATCTGTATGTTTTTGATTTGAGAAAATTTGATGCCATTCTACGTCTTTTGGTCTCTGGTGGAGAGTTGTCTCATTGGCAATCTTACCACATCTTCTTTTTTTTATATTTTATACTTTCAATATTTAATTTCAGTGATACAATTTGTGATCTTGGAGGAACATCAGAGTTAGCAAACTATGGAGAATATTCAGGTGCACCCAGTGAACAACAAACATATGAATATGCTAATACGTTACTTGGTCTTATGACAGAACAGATCCATCCTGATGGTTAGTATAGATATTAACACTTAGCAAGCAAACATATGAATACGCTGGCATGTTAGGGACCACATCAAAAGTTCAATGTAGGATAAAAAACTGAATTCACATAGATTTTTCCTGGACCCTCTTGTAACATAATTTGGAAAATATTGATTACCTGTGTTTCTATAACTCCAAAAAAATCAATGTAGGATAACAAAATTTGCATCATGTTTGACCCCCACCCCCAAACTATTTATCCTACATTGATCTTTTGATGTTGTGCCCTTACTGGGTTTAACTTTGTTAGTATAGATATTAACACTTTGCAAACAACAATATATGAATATACTTACACAGAACTTGGTCTAATGACAATATAGATTTGCTGTGTATATGATATTTATTACTTCTATTACAGGTAAAATATTGATAGTAGGAGGAGGAATAGCAAACTTTACCAATGTAGCAGCCACCTTTAAGGTAAATCATTTTTCCGACACAGTGGATAATAACTTTGAATTGTCTCCCATTGATCTAAATGATGCTAAACTATTGTAACTGAGTGGGCGTTGTTGCCTATCTGTTCTCTGATTGGACTAAAATGTCATTGTTGATGTACGAACATATTTTTGTTTAATAGTTTGTGATGTTAAGTAGGTGATAGGTTTAAATATCTGAGATAAAAAGTATCTTGTAACAATGGTACAATTAATGTTTTCTTAATAGATAGCTTTTTACTACAATAGAAAATATTTACTAGTGGAAAATTTCGAGTTTTAATACAAACAATACTAGAATGCATCCATCCATTCTGTATTGAAATGGCCATTATCAAATTTTGAAAATATTTCCAAACTTGCTGGTTTTCAGATCATTGCTGTCATGTGCTTTAATTAATCATTTATGTCTTATAAAAATATCTACCATTGACAATTTTCAAGGGAAATTTCAGTTTCCAGATAAATGCAATTTTGTGTACATACAAGTGCAGTCAAAATTTGATAGACATAATGAAGAATCAATATATGTATACTTACATGTTCAAATTATAATACTTCAAATTAAGAGTGTCAAAGTATATATATCATTGTATATAACATTCTATACATTCTATGATGCTTTGACTTTGTTGTAGGGTATTGTTAGAGCTTTGAGAGAATACCAACAGAAGTTAATAGAAGGAAAGGTCGCTATATATGTTAGAAGGGCAGGACCTAATTACCAAGAGGGATTAAGAATAATGAGAGAATTAGGTAATTTTTGTTTATAGATTGAGTAAAATATAGGACAAGTTAATATAAAAATGAATATCAAGAAGAAGTACACATCCATTAGAAGCATACATATGATTTAGATAAGGTCTGATCATAAGGTAACACACATGATGTTAACTGATATCTAATATATTATTCACTCCACAGAAAAAAATAAGATAACTGAGATCCAGGTGTAATAAGAACTTGACACATGTCTAAAGAATGTTTTGTCAGTGGTTGTCGTTTGTTGCTATGTATCATATTTATTTTTTTTCGTTCATTATTTTGTACATAAATTAGGCCGTTAGTTTTCTCGTTTGAATTGTTTTACATTTGTCATTTTGGGGCCTCTTATAGCTGACTATGCAGTATGGGTTTTGCTCATTGTTGAAGGCCGTATGGTGACCTATATTTGTTAATTTCTGTGTCATTTGGTCTCTTGTGGAGAGTTGTCTCTTTGGCAATCTAACCACATCTTCTTATTTTTATATTTAATACTGGTAATAGGTGATTTAGACAGTTTGTTCATGGTGTACTAAGCCTGTCTCCACTGTAGTAATTGGAACAGATGTTCTACATGTACTTTTGTTTTGTAATTTTGTCAGCTACTCACAAAGGGTTAGTCTTCTGCCCCTGGAACTACAGCTCAAGGCCCAGCAAACTGACTGGCGTACAAAAGATGTATAAAAAGTACAGTTGAACATCGTTGTGTCGAACTCGGTTGGGTCTAAAACTCGGATGAGTCTAAGTAATTTCTCGGTCCCGGTAAAATTCCCGTTTGATCAATGCATAATAACCTCTGATGAGTCGAACTAGGTTGATTCGAATACTCGGTTAAGTCGAGTAAATTTTATAGTCCCGTTGAAGTAAAATTAATGTAAATTGACCCCGATGTCTCGAAGTACTAAACCAAGAATTTTCGAAAGATTCAGACCTAATGATCAAAATTCAAATCGGATGTATTTCTTATGTCACCTAATCATTTTCAAAAGAGATTAAAGCTGAGTAAACATACTTGTTTGTATAACAGTTAAAATGACATGTTTATGGTGACCGCTAATTAACACCTTTGTTGATCTTTCAAGCGGAATGTTAGTGTGTTGAACATTTTTTACCTGAGATAAAAACGAAACGAATTTAAATGACCCAATCCGAGAATAAATGAATCATTAGATTTAAAACTCATTAATTACAAAAAATAAAAGGATTAGGACAATTATAATAAATTCATGATAATTTAATGTAAAGCACACCTCATCAGAGACCGTTCAGAACTTATTTTGTGCCGCGAGTGATTTCGTAATTTATAGTGACTGACCTTTGTAAATATTTGTGTAGACTATTGATTTTATTTGTGCATGATTTGTATCTGTTTAATTAATACGAAGGACCGAAAATGGAAATTGATTACACAATCATAAAGTGTCATATCGAAAAAAAGGCACACTGTTCATTGTATCTAGTTTACACAAATCTCATACCGTATTTCATGCATTCCAAATTTATGACGACACACTCAACCTCGGATGAGTCGAACCTCGGATGAGTCGAATACTTTGGTCCGGTCCCTTCGACTTCGACACAACGAGGTTCGACTGTAGTAACCGACTCTTATTATAATTAAACAAGAAAGTTTAAATGTGTGTTTTTTAGTTAGGTTTATGATTCCATAGAGAGATTAATGTTTATAAAAAGATTTTTATATAGATATGATAAATAATTCTCTTCCTCTCTATGATGCATGCATTTTTTGAAGAGGACATATTTTGTATTATTGTATGACTCCTGAGGACTCTGGGTAATATTTTTTGTTTTTTTATAAGGTAACACCTTAGGGGTGCCAATCCATGTATTTGGACCTGAGACTCACATGACATCGATAGTCAGTATGGCATTAGGGAAGAAAGAAATTCCACAATCACCAAAACAAATGCACACTACAGCAAACTTCTTATTGCCAACAGGAGGGGTTAGTATATACATATACAGATAAATTCAGTTTGATTGTGATCTTTTTTATTGATCAATAGCTTTTGACAGGCTTTTCCATCAATACATAAATATTATTTTATTTATTGATGAAGTTTATCTGATTCTAACAGTGCAAGTTTTAACTGATATATTAAAATAGAATTTTGGGTACAGACTTGCAGCTGGGATTTGAAAAACACTTATTTAAGTCCTGCTAATTATGACCCATGAAAAGATTTCTTGGCTAAATCATAACTCATTCACATATTTCTCAATTATCACATATACAATTTTTGACATCTTACTTGTATTTAAAGCAATTAAACAGCATTTATACAAAAATCTAATCAAAAGAGGAAAATTACTGACCCATTGACATTTTACCTAGGTGAAATTGCAACCAATTGATACATTTTAAGTATCAATAAAGGGACCCATTCAGCAGGACGTCTGTGTATACTTTCCAATAGATAGAGAGTTCCTGTGTTTACAAGTTACATTAACAAAATGCCAAGGATATAAAGTCATTTTTTGTTGTTAAGAGAAAGCCTTGGATAGGCATACCAACTATGACAAACTTTTATATAATAGATATGATAACAGTACAATTACCACTTATGATATTTTGACATGTTTCAGGTAGTTCAGGTAAATAAATGGTATTGTGACTATCTCCATTTTATATTCTGTATTGTACAACAGCAATGCATTACTAACAGTCATATAGTGTTACTAAAATATTGAAGTAGATACACAAAAATACACATGCTTAACAGTTACAATGAAGTGTAAATATTTATTGTCACTAAACCATAGAAGTAGATACACAAAATTAACAAGATAAGGATACACATGATGAAAGGAGATTCAAAAAATTAATGTCAGAACAGCAAGATACACATGGTTAACAGTTAAGTGTTAGGAACACAATATACACATGATTTACAGTTACAATGAAGTGTTAAGATATAGTGTCACTAAAAGATAGAATTAGATACACAAAATTAACAGTTTTAAAGTGTCAGAAACGTAAAATGCACTTGATTAACACTTAAATGTCAGGAACATAAGATGCACATATTTAACAGTTGTGTTTAGGAATCAAAATTACATGATACAAGTTCATAATGGGGTTAGATCCCAAGATACACAAAATTAAAGGTTTAAATTGTTAAAGTCTGGCATTTAAAATCACACGATTCACAACATTAATGATTAAAGTTTGGAGTTAAGATCAGACTTTACACAAATTAGCAGTTTTAGTTAGGAGTTTAGATCACATGATACACAAAGTAAATGGTTATAGTTCGGCGTTAAGCTCACATGATACACAAAACTAACGCAGTTACCTGTCAACATCATAGGATACACACATAGTTAACATAATTATAGTTAAGTCTTTTTAGTCCACACAACAAATTTTCCATATAAAAAATTTTTCTGGCTTATTATCATTTTTATACGCCTGTTTACGAGACGTATTATGGTATACCGTTGTCCGTCCGTCGTCAACATGTCAGACAATAACTCAAAAATGCTTTAATCAATTTGCATGAAACTTTAGTGAATTGTTTATATCTATTGACGTGAGCTCCCTTTCGATTTTTATAAATTTTGGATTTTACGTTTCCGAGTTATGGTGTTTTATTCATTAAAAAAGGGGGATTTTCCAGTTTTCGGACAATAACTAAAAAATGCTTTGAACAGTTTTCATGAAACTTTGGTGAATTGTTTATATCTATTGATGTGAGCTCCCTTTAGTTTTTTATAAATTTTAGATTTTACTTTTTTTATGAGTTACAGGGTTTTATTTATTAAAAAAGGGGGATTTTCCAGTTTTCAGACAATAACTCAAAAATGCTTTGAACAGTATTCATGAAACTTTGTTGAATTGTTTATATCTATTGATGTGAGCCCCCTTTAGTTTTTTATAAATTTTAGATTTTACGTTTCCGAGTTACGGGATTTTATTTATTAAAAAAGGGGGATTTTCCAGTTTTCAGACAATAACTCAAAAATGCTTTGAACAGTTTTCATGAAGCTTTGGTGAATTGTTTATATCTATTGATGTGAGCTCCCTTTCAAATTCAATAAAATTTAGATTTTACGTTTTATGGGGTCTTATTCATTAGAAAAGGGGAATTTCCAGTTTTTGGACAATTACTCAAAAATGCCTTGAGCAGTTTCATTAAACTTTGGTGACTGGTTTATATCTATTGAAAAAGTGTATCATGTGCTCATGGCGCAGCTGTTTATTTATAAATATTTTAATATTAAATTAGTTTGATTATTTGAGAATTTGCAGCTTATTCTCAAATAAAAAAATTTGGTGTAAATTGTGTATATATACCTTGTGTAAATTGTGACTTCAAAGTCTAAAAAAGGTTGAAGCTTAATATTTACATTACACAGAGAAAGTTATAATTTGAAATTTGAAACTGTTTCAGACACCGAGGATTAATAGTAGTATGAGTTCGGTATGTCTGTGTATATTGTTTACTTGTCTGAGTGGGAATGTTGTCAGTTTACTTTATTTATAGATATTTTACATCTATGTCAGCTTTCTGTATCATTTATACTACCAATATTGAATAGTTGTCAAAGTTAAAGCAAATGCCTTTATAAAAAACCCATTTCAGTTGAAACTTTTTGAATGTATTTAATTTGCTGAACCATGCTGAATCATTTTATGTTTTTTACTGTTTGTTTCAAACTATGATTATTCAGATTCAATGCTGTATATAAATTATAGTCCAAAATTTCAAGGATGTGTTATTTGATTTATATAATGTTGTACATTGTAAATACTTGTTATTATAAAACCACTATATGTCAGAATGAAAATTGTATCTGAAATCTTCTTTTCTTCATTTTGTTGTGTAAAATCTGAGTGTATCAAGCATGACCTTGTCTGTTACAACCTGACCTTGTGATCTGATGACAGTGAAGTCAGTTTTATATTGGATGCTTGTCACATGAAAGTCTTAGCATGTTTGTTTTGTTGTAGTCTGTAAATATGTGTAAAAACACCTTTCATCTTCAGTATCATTTTCATTTCTTATAAATTTTACATTAAACAGTAGGATCTCTTCCATCATATAGCATAATATACATAAAAGGAGTTGTGGACTATTTCCCAATTAGATCGCAACCCAAAAAAACATGAATGAAAAAGAAAAAAAAGTCATATTTTATAACCGACTATACAGTATGGGTTTTTCTCATTGTTGAAGGCCGTACGGTTGCCTATAATTGCTTACATCCACTTTGTTTGAACTTTGGTGGATAGTTGTCTTATTGGCAATCATACCACATCTCCTTATTTTTATATATTCCGTTGTCCATACAATATGTTAAGCTCTAAATAAATCAATCAGAGAAGAGTCTAAACTAGTTTGATTAAATTTTTGCTATCAGTAACCAGTAACCAATTCTCTGAATGAGAATATTTTGTGTATGATTTATCTGGTGTGATAGATTATTAGAAATTTTTGTTAGAAAATAAAATTTAGTAAATGATGTTATGGAAAATGCACCTCACCTTTCTATTGTTCCAAAACATTTTGTGTTTTAATAGAAAATATGACAATAATTTCTGAAGTTACACTGTACAAGATATAAAATTACTTGTGTGAAAGCAATTATGTTATCTCACAACATCAACATTTTACCTTTTGTCTTAGTATAAATGTGAAACATCCGTGTTGACTTGACCTGAAATAATACTATGTGTGTGATGTGTTATAGTAACATAGGATTCATGTGTTTCTTATAGTCACCAAGTTCCAGTAGAAGAGAATCATTATCTGAAGTAAGAACCAGCTCAAAGACTAGTTCCCTGTCACAAGTAGTTACTGGTGATCAGTTGGGTATCAGAGCAACCACAACATTGTTTACAAACAGAACAAAATGTATTATATGGGGAATGCAACAGAGAGCAGTCCAAGGAATGTTAGATTTTGATTATGTCTGTTCCAGGAAAGATCCCTCTGTTGTTGCTATGATTTATCCTTTCACGTATGTATTCAAATTCTCATATAATATGTTCCAGTTTTTGCATACTCGTGGGTACCAATTTTCGTGGATTGAGGAAAACTAGCATTTTCGTGGATATTTGATTTCGTTGTTTTTACTAAGTCTGCATACATTCCTTCAGAAAACTTGTAATTCGTTGAACATTTAAATTTGTGGTTCTCCTGAACCCATGAAATCCACGAAAATTGGTATCCAACGAATAATAATGAATCCACAGTACATGCCAACTTTCACAATTTAGACGTGAACTACACAATGGTGATTGTAAAAAAAAGCCCTAAAACACGATTTTGTGAAATTATACATGAAAAGAAATATTGTTCCTGATTTTGAACTTTTCCCAAGGGAGCCAATCAAAGTCTGTGTTTCTCATTATTACGTTAATAAGCCAATCAAAGTTGGTGTTTCTCATGATTATTGGGCATGCCAAACATGCAAAAATTTGAACTTGTTTGGAACTTTTGAGTTGTATTCCTCTGTCTGTATGTCAGAATTGTAAAAATCGTGAATTTTCATCTGCATGAAGGTTGTTGCACACCTTGAGAAGAAACCCATGGCTGATTGACAAAATACAAAGATTCAGTGCTACCATAAACATAATAAACAGATAAATAGTAGCTTATGGACATTACACTTATTGTAACAGATCATACAGTGTTGTCATTTTTGTTATTAAATTATCAAATCATTTAAAGTACAATGTACTATCTTTTATTTTTCAAAAGGAATCTAGATAGATGTCCTTCTGTGTGCATATTTTTAAATTGGAAAAGTCAACAGTCACTTTAATATTCCTACACAAGAAAATATTTCCTTGTATTCTAGCTATATGTTCATCTTTTCTACACAATAATATAAGTCCAAGAATCATGCAAATGGGCTTATAAGCTCGTCATCAGTATACTATTAAAAAAAAAAAGATATCACACTTTTTCTACAATACAAAACAGGGCACACAAAAAACACTGCAAAAGTTGGCAGGTATGTTTTACTCTCATGGTATTTTCAAAAAATCGTATGTTTTAGCATGACTATTGTAGATCAAGGTGTTCAGCAATAATTATAAATGTTTGTATCAGCTTTCTCTATATTTACTCCATAACTGATTTGTTTTAAACTGCTGTATTGTATAATTTTTTCAGCATAACTGCCTTTTGTTACTAAAGAAATATGCTTGTTCATCACAAAACCTTCAGAATGCATGATCTCCTATAGTCTCATTCAATTCATATTTGGTTAATTTCAGAGTCACTCCCCTTTGCAACATAGAAAATCTTTCCTTATACTATTAAACAAAATCCACTTCTTTAATTTTCAATGTATTTAACTGTTGACACAAATGAAGGAGTAGACATTATTTTGAAGTAAAAATAAATCTTTTAATCATGTTACATTGAATTATTTCATATACCATTCTAATACAAATGCTTTACATGATTTATTTGTAATATTAAATCACTCAGTAAAAAATGAGTTTTATTTAATTTCAGTGGTGATCACAAACAGAAGTTTTATTGGGGACATAAAGAAATATTGATACCAGGTAAATACTAGTTGTAGTACTAGCATTTAAATTTCTGGATTGACTTAATGACAACTTTTAATGTAATGAAATGCACTTTTCAATTAATCTTTTATGTGCAAAGGCATGACATAGTTATATTCCCCAAAATCTGGACAATTGGAATTACTATTCCAGTAAAATGGGAGATAGGAAAGGACTTTCAAGGCAACAGCCAACACACAATTTTTTGTGTAATTTGGAATAAAACAAATGAACATATACACTAATAAATGACACATGTCTAAAAACTTCTGTTCAAACGTTAACCCTCTTACATCCATTTTAATGGAATAGCATGGACTCAGACTTAAATTTTACTGTGTACTTACTAAATAGAGTAGTTTTTTTCAGACATCCTTTTTGTTACCTGTTCAGCAGGTTATGAAAAAAGTAACATTTATCTAATAGTCCATCTAACAAACAAGGACACTTATCAATGTTCTTTATAGAGTAAGGAGATGTAGTATGGTGTCAAATGAGACAACTATCCAACAGAGTCCAAATGAAGCAGACTTAAGCAACTCTAGGTCACAGTAAGCCCTTCAACACTAAGCAAAACTTGAACAGTAAAGTCAGCTATAAAAGGCCCAAACATGAAAAAATGTGAAACACAATTGAATGTATATAGTGTTAAAAATGCTTTCAAAAATATGTAAAGATACATTTAATATAAAAATGAGGAGGTGTGGTATAATTGTCAATGAGACAATTATCTATCATATGTGAAGACAAATTTAGATTATTTTTATACTAATATACAAATGGGTTTATTTATTGCAGTATATAAGAGTATGGGTGATGCCATGGGGAAGCACCCCACTGCAGATGTATTAGTCAGTTTTGCTTCGTTAAGATCTGCCTATGACAGCACAGTGGAAACTATGTCATATCCACAGGTGAGTTAAGATCTGTCTATGACAGCACTGTGGAAACTATGTCATATCCTCAGGTGAGTTAAGATCTGCCTATGACAGTACTGTGGAAACTATGTCATATCATCAGGTAAGTTAAGATCTGCCTATGACAGCACTGTGGAAACTATGTCATAACCACAGGTGAGTTAAGATCTGCCTATGACAGTACTATGGAAACTATGTCATATCCACAGGTAAGTTAAGATCTGCCTATGACAGTACTGTGGAAACTATGTCATATGCTCAGGTGAGTTAAGATCTGTCTATGACAGCACTGTGGAAACTATGTCATATCCTCAGGTGAGTTAAGATCTGTCTATGACAGCACTGTGGAAACTATGTCATATCCTCAGGTGAGTTAAGATCTGCCAATGACAGCACTGTGGAAACTATGTCATATCCACAGGTAGGTTTAGAGCACTGTGGAAACTATGTCATATCCTCAGGTGAGTTAAGATCTGTCTATGACAGCACTGTGGAAACTATGTCATATCCACAGGTGAGTTAAGATCTGCCTATGACAGCACTGTGGAAACTATGTCATAACCACAGGTGAGTTAATATCTGCCTATGACAGAACTGTGGAAACTATGTCATATCCACAGGTAAGTTAAGATCTGCCTATGACAGTACTGTGGAAACTATGTCATATCCTCAGGTGAGTTAAGATCTGCCTATGACAGCACTGTGGAAACTATGTCATATCCTCAGGTGAGTTAAGATCTGTCTATGACAGCACTGTGGAAACTATGTCATATCCTCAGGTGAGTTAAGATCTGTCTATGACAGCACTGTGGAAACTATGTCATATCCTCAGGTGAGTTAAGATCTGTCTATGACAGCACTGTGGAAACTATGTCATATCCTCAGGTGAGTTAAGATCTGCCAATGACAGCACTGTGGAAACTATGTCATATCCACAGGTAAGTTTAGAGCACTGTGGAAACTATGTCATATCCTCAGGTGAGTTAAGATCTGTCTATGACAGCACTGTGGAAACTATGTCATATCCACAGGTGAGTTAAGATCTGCCTATGACAGCACTGTGGAAACTATGTCATAACCACAGGTGAGTTAATATCTGCCTATGACAGAACTGTGGAAACTATGTCATATCCACAGGTAAGTTAAGATCTGCCTATGACAGTACTGTGGAAACTATGTCATATCCTCAGGTGAGTTAAGATCTGCCTATGACAGCACTGTGGAAACTATGTCATATCCTCAGGTGAGTTAAGATCTGTCTATGACAGCACTGTGGAAACTATGTCATATCCTCAGGTGAGTTAAGATCTGCCTATGACAGCACTGTGGAAACTATGTCATATCCTCAGGTGAGTTAAGATCTGCCTATGACAGCACTGTGGAAACTATGTCATATCCACAGGTAAGTTAAGATCTGCCTATGACAGTACTGTGGAAACTATGTCATATCCTCAGGTGAGTTTAGATCTGTCTATGACAGCACTGTGGAAACTATGTCATATCCTCAGGTGAGTTAAGATCTGCCTATGACAGCACTGTGGAAACTATGTCATATCCTCAGGTGAGTTAAGATCTGCCTATGACAGCACTGTGGAAACTATGTCATATCCACAGGTAAGTTAAGATCTGCCTATGACAGCACTGTGGAAACTATGTCATATCCACAGGTAAGTTAAGATCTGCCTATGACAGCACTGTGGAAACTATGTCATATCCACGGGTTAGTTAAGATCTGCCTATGACAGCACTGTGGAAACTATGTCATATCCTCAGGTGAGTTAAGATCTGTCTATGACAGCACTGTGGAAACTATGTCATATCCTCAGGTGAGTTAAGATCTGCCTATGACAGCACTGTGGTAACTATGTCATATCCTCAGGTGAGTTAAGATCTGTCTATGACAGCACTGTGGAAACTATGTCATATCCTCAGGTGAGTTAAGATCTGCCTATGACAGCACTGTGGAAACTATGTCATATCCTCAGGTGAGTTAAGATCTGTCTATGACAGCACTGTGGAAACTATGTCATATCCTCAGGTGAGTTAAGATCTGCCAATGACAGCACTGTGGAAACTATGTCATATCCACAGGTAAGTTTAGAGCACTGTGGAAACTATGTCATATCCTCAGGTGAGTTAAGATCTGTCTATGACAGCGCTGTGGAAACTATGTCATATCCACAGGTGAGTTAAGATCTGCCTATGACAGCACTGTGGAAACTATGTCATAACCACAGGTGAGTTAATATCTGCCTATGACAGAACTGTGGAAACTATGTCATATCCACAGGTAAGTTAAGATCTGCCTATGACAGTACTGTGGAAACTATGTCATATCCTCAGGTGAGTTAAGATCTGCCTATGACAGCACTGTGGAAACTATGTCATATCCTCAGGTGAGTTGAGATCTGTCTATGACAGCACTGTGGAAACTATGTCATATCCTCAGGTGAGTTAAGATCTGCCTATGACAGCACTGTGGAAACTATGTCATATCCTCAGGTGAGTTAAGATCTGCCTATGACAGCACTGTGGAAACTATGTCATATCCACAGGTAAGTTAAGATCTGCCTATGACAGCACTGTGGAAACTATGTCATATCCACGGGTTAGTTAAGATCTGTCTATGACAGCACTATGTAAACTATGTCATATCCTCAGGTGAGTTAAGATCTGCCTATGACAGCACTGTGGAAACTATGTCATATCCTCAGGTAAGTTAAGATCTGCCTATGACAGCACTGTGGAAACTATGTCATAACCACAGGTGAGTTAAGATCTGCCTATGACAGTACTGTGGAAACTATGTCATATCCACAGGTAAGTTAAGATCTGCCTATGACAGTACTGTGGAAACTATGTCATATCCTCAGGTGAGTTAAGATCTGCCTATGACAGCACTGTGGAAACTATGTCATATCCTCAGGTGAGTTAAGATCTGTCTATGACAGCACTGTGGAAACTATGTCATATCCTCAGGTGAGTTAAGATCTGCCAATGACAGCACTGTGGAAACTATGTCATATCCACAGGTAAGTTTAGAGCACTGTGGAAACTATGTCATATCCTCAGGTGAGTTAAGATCTGTCTATGACAGTACTGTGGAAACTATGTCATATCCACAGGTGAGTTAAGATCTGCCTATGACAACACTGTGGAAACTATGTCATAACCACAGGTGAGTTAAGATCTGCCTATGACAGAACTGTGGAACCTATGTCATATCCACAGGTAAGTTAAGATCTGCCTATGACAGTACTGTGGAAACTATGTCATATCCTCAGGTGAGTTAAGATCTGCCTATGACAGCACTGTGGAAAATATGTCATATCCTCAGGTGAGTTAAGATCTGTCTATGACAGCACTGTGGAAACTATGTCATATCCTCAGGTGAGTTAAGATCTGCCTATGACAGCACTGTGGAAACTATGTCATATCCTCAGGTGAGTTAAGATCTGCCTATGACAGCACTGTGGAAACTATGTCATATCCACAGGTAAGTTAAGATCTGCCTATGACAGCACTGTGGAAACTATGTCATATCCACGGGTTAGTTAAGATCTGCCTATGACAGCACTGGAAACTATGTCATATCCACAGGTGAGTTAAGATCTGTCTATGACAGCACTGTGGAAACTATATCATATCCTCAGGTGAGTTAAGATCTGCCTATGACAGCACTGGAAACTATGTCATATCCTCAGGTAAGTTAAGATCTGCTTATGACAGCACTGTGGAAACTATGTCGTTTCCGTTCTCTAACTTTAGTTTGTCTCAACCAAATGTTATAAAACTTATACACAACCGTTCTAGAGTTATGCGTGTTTACAAATAAAAAATTGCTGAATTTTTAGTTTCTGTTCTCTACTTAAGTAAGCCTCAACCAAATGTTATGAGACTTACACACAATGCTTATTACCACAAAACTCAGATCAAGTTCAAATTTGGGTAGCATCACTTTTACCGTTCTTCAGTTATGTCCCTTTATAACTATATGATATGCAAGTGGGGGCATCATCTGTGTCCACATGTGGACACTATCCACATTTATTTAAATATGCCCCCGCCATACTAGAGGGGGCATTAAGTTTTACCCATGTTCGTCTGTACGTCCGTACAACCCAAAGTTGGTTTCCATTCTCTAACTTTATTTTGCTTCAACTAAATGTTATGAAACTTATACACAATGCATATTACCACAAAACACAGATCAGATTTGAATTTTGGTGGTGTCACTTTAACCGTTCTAGAGTTATGCCCCTTTACAAATGGAAAAACTGCTGAATTTTTCGTTTCCATTCTCTAACTTTAGTTTGTTTCAACCAAATGTTATGAAACTTATACACAATGCTTATTACCACAAAACAAAGATCATTTGTGATTTTGGTGGTGTCACTTTAACTGTTCTAGAGTAATGCCCCTTTACAAATGGAAAATTGCTGAATTTTTAGTTTCCGTTCTCTAACTTTAGTTTGCCTCTACCAAATGTTATGAAACTTATACACAATGCTTATTACCACAAAACACGGATCAAGTTTGAATTTTGGTGGTGTCACTTTAACCGTTCTAGAGTAATGCCCCTTTACAAATGGAAAAATTTCTGAATTTTTCGTTTCTGTTCACTTACTTTAGTTTGCCTCAACCAAATGTTATGAAACTTATACACAATGCTTATTACCAAAAAAAAAACACAGATCAAGTTTGAATTTTGGTGGTGTCACTTTAACTTCTAGAGTAATGCCCCTTCACTAATGGAAAAACTGATGAATTTTTCGTTTCTGTTCTCACTTTAGTTTGCCTCAACCAAATGTTATGGAACTTATACACAATGCTTATTACAACAAAATACAGATTAAATTTGAATTTTGGTGGTGTCACTTTAACCGTTCTAGAGTTATGCCCCTTTACAAATGAAGAAATTGCTGAATTTTTTCGTTTTCTTTCTCTAACTTAAGTTAGCCTCAACCAAATGTTATGAAACTTATACACGATGCTTATTACAACAAAATACAGATTAAGTTTGAATTTTTGGTGGTGTCACTTTTATTGTTCTAGTGTTATGCCCCTTTACAAATGGAAAAATTGCTGAATATTTTCGTTTTCCATTCTCTTACTTAAGTTTGCCTCAACCAAATGTTATGAAACTTATACACAATACCTATTACCACAAAACTCAGATCAAGTACAAATTTGGATAGCGTCACTTTTACCGTTCTTCAGTTATGTCCATTTATAACTTTATATAATATGCAAGCAGGGGCATCATCTGTGTCCCATGTTCACATTCCCCATTTATTATCATGTGTATTTTAGGACTATAAAAAATTTGAAGATGTGGTATAATTGCCAATGAGGGCAACTCTCCACAAGAAACCAAAAGACACAGAAGTTGTCAACTTTAGGACATGATACGACCTTCAACATGACCAAAACCCATACTGCATAGCACGCTATTGAAGGCCCAGAAATGACAAATGTAAAACAATTCAAAAGATTAAACTAAGGGCCTGATTTATATACAAAACAATAAACGAAAAACAAATATGATGATGTGATATACAGCAACAAACGACAACCACTGAATTACATGCTCCTGACTTGGGACAGGCAGGGTTAATTGTGTTTGTGTGCGCCCAAACCCTCACCCTTTTCTGGGACAGTGGCGGATCAGATCTATAGAAAGCAAAAACATACTAGGGCTAATTTAATTTTCAATTTACACATTTATATAAATTATTTTTATTCTAAATTAACATTTTCACTTGTCAACATATTAGTATTGCTATGAGTTAACATTATCATTACAGATTAAAACAATAGCAATTATTGCTGAAGGTATTCCTGAGAATCTTACAAGACAGTTAATCAAGATTGCTGACGAGAAAGGTGTTTCTATCATTGGTCCTGCAACTGTAAGTTATCAATGTAGATGTATTGGGGATCATTGTTATTTGCTGGATACCAATTTTTCGTTGAATTCATTTTAGGTTTACCATGAATTTAAGTTTTCAGTGAAGTACACATTTTCTAAAGGCTTGTATACAGATTGACAAATCAACAAAATTAAAAATGAAGTAATCAAAGAAAATAAATGAATCTACAGAACAACTTTACATAACAGAGTTTTTATATTTGTTGTGAGAATAGCTCTGCCAATCATTGGTCTTCAAATGGTAAAATAGTAGTCCCATACTGACAAAACTGAAAGAGCTATAGGTCCATCTTTCCTTCTGTTTTCTAAGATGTTTTTAACAGACTTTGAGATATTGTCTTTATATTTGTTATTTAAGTATGTTTTTGGGATTCACAAACATTGAAAACATTTTGTCCCAATCCTTATTTTTAACACCGTAATTGCTGCTGATTTTACAAATATCATTGTTTTTTTGTTTGTAGTATTTTCTTTTTTTTATTCAAATAACTTTAGATGTCAATTGTATATTAAGCATGTAAGGATACATTTGAATATAGCACCAGTTTGAGGGTGACTTTGACCCCATTTTCTACTTTACTGTAAATTCAGAAATTATTGCGTGTATTTATTATTGCGATTTTGTCATTTTAGACTTAAATGCGATTTTAATTTTTGCGATATTGAGAAAAATCCTGTTTAATTCAAATAAAAAATTTCAAAATGCGAGTTTAAATTATTGCGATTATAACACTGTCGCATTTTTCGCAATAATAAAAACATCGCAATAATTTCTGAATTTACAGTATTTATTTATTCTTTAAGTAAAAACCACATGTTTACAGTCTGCTTTTGATTTTTTATTTTTCTGCTAAACCTTGTGTTCCATTTTAATTCAGATTTTTTGATTTATTCCACAGGTTGGTGGTGTAAAGCCTGGATGTTTTAAGATTGGTAATACAGGAGGGATGTTGGACAATATCCTTGCTTCTAAACTTTACAGACCTGGCAGGTAGGTTTAAACAAAACTACATTTCACTTATTGAAGTCAATGAGTTTCTATATAAATTGATGATAGAAGTGATTATCTGTTTGACTCAATGCAAAAATGACCACATGAACCAGCAATGAAAATTAGTTATGAAAATAATACTTTACATGGTTTCCCGTTTTAATAATGAATAAATATTATATATTGATGCATTCTGGTAAAAGTAAAGCTTTAGAGGTGAGACAGTTTTGTACTTTTTTTTGTCTGGTCTTCAAAATTAAATTAATTTTTAAAAGTAAGTAAACCCTTACAATCTGTACTGAATAAGATTTTTGTATTTTTAGTGTTTCGTATGTTTCGAGGTCTGGAGGAATGTCCAACGAGTTAAACAACATTATATCACTCAATACGAATGGTGTGTTTGAAGGTGTAGCCATTGGTGGAGATAGGTAATTCATGTATATTTATAGGAAAATATGACAAGTAAAGCTAGGAGATAAAGTCATAGGGCAATTGTTTAAGATACCTTGAAGGCTATTTTAGATTAATTGCGAATCTGGTTGGTTTTAGAACTAATAATTGTCAATAGATGGTGAAATAAAAGGTTTTTATATCGTATATTGGTATGACGTTGGCGTCGTCGTCGTCGTCGTCCGAAGACACATGGGTTTTCGCACTATAACTTTAGTTTAAGTGAATGGATCTCTATGAAATTTTAGCCATAAGGTTAAATACCACAAAAGGAAGGTTGGGATTGATTTTGGGGGTTATGGTACAAACAGTTAAGGAATTAGGGCCAAAAAGAGGCCAAAAATAAGCATTTTCTAGTTTCCAGACAATAACTTGTGGAACGGTGTATGGATCTCTCTGAAATTATATCACAAGTTTCCATACCACAAAGGGATGGTTAGGATTTGCTTTGGGGGCTTATCGCTCAAACCGTTTAGGAATCAGGGGCAAAAAAGGGGGAAAAACAAGGTTGTCCTGGTTAATGGACAAATACTTTAGTACAAAGCATAATTTAAAGCAGTGTAAGGGAGATAAATCAAATACATCATTTGAATTACCTCCCTTACACTGCTTTTAAATTATGTATAAAGTTATGGTTAATGAACAATTAAGACAATATAAAACAGTTTAAGGGAGGTAATCCAAATACAATGTTTTGATTACTTCCCTTACACTGCTTTTAAATTATGTTTAAAGAAATGCATATTTATAAAGGAAGACCAGTAAAAATATCTGCAAATGTTGCATCTTTTTTTTTTTACAAAAAAATCCATATGAAAGATTTGACACCATATTTAAAATTCTATTATAAAATAGATTAAGTTAACACTATGGTAAATTTAAATGGGTAATTATGGTTGCAAATTGCATTGGAAATTTGAATTGAGATTATGACCATATCATGAGGGAAACCCCCGAAAAATTGGGGGGGGGGGGGTAAAAAGAAATTGTGGGGGTCAATTTTTTCTCATTTCAGATTTCAGAAATTAAAAAGAATTATTCTTCAATTATTTTTTTTTTTAAATTTCAAATATTGAAAAATTTCAAGAAGTAATCTTTAATTGCACAGTATGGCGCATTAGATTTGTAAAATCTTTGACCACATTTATTTATTTGTTATGCCGAATCTGACTGTGTATTTAGATTTTTAATTTTGGGTCCAGTTTTCAAATTGGTCGACATTAAGGTCCAAAGGGTCCAAAATTAAACTTAGTTTGATTTTAACAAAAATTGAATTCTTGGGGTTCTTGGGCCCAGTTTTCAAGTTGGTCCAAGTTGGGGTCCAAAATTCAACTTTGTTTGATTTCAACAAAAATTGAATATATGGGGTTCTTTGATATGCTGAATCTAACCATGTATTTTGATTTGTGGGCCCCGTTATCAAATTGGTCCACATTGAGGTCAATAGGGTTTAAATTAAACTTTGTTTGATTTCATCAAAAATTGAATTCTTTGGATTCTTTGATATGCTGAATCTAACCATGTATTTAGATTTTGGATATTGGACCATAATAGGTAAATTAAAAAATTTTAAGTTCTTATACCACATTCATTCTGTGTCAGAAACCTATGCTGTGTCAAATATTTAATCACAATTCAAATTCAGAGCTGTATCAAGCTTGAATGTTGTGTCCATACTTGCCCCAACTGTTCAGGGTTCGACCTCTGCGGTCGTATCAAGCTGCGCCCAGCGGAGCATTTTATTGTGTAACTGTAAAACTAATATTAAAGAATATGAAATCTGTTACAATGTAAATTACCCCAATAATCTTGTCTCTGTTCATACTGTATTTTGCTGAGCTTTTCTGTGTACAATACCATATGAAATTTTCAATTCAGAAAGTAATGTCTGCATTTATTGATGCCTATAAAAAAAGTGGTTGAAATGTCAAATTAAGGAATGTGCATCAGTTATATCTGAGTTTCTTTTTGACTATTCATGTCTTTTGATTGATTGAGTCTTTGGATTACCGTTTCAATGACATATACCGTGTCGTCTCATTTAATCATGAATAGAATTAATCTCATTTTATCATGAATAGAATTAAAATAATAGTTTTTGACTTATTGAATCTGAAAGTCATGTTTATCACATAAATAAAAATATGCAATAATTTACAGCATTTTTTTCTTGTTTGATATGTTTACAGATATCCAGGAACTGTATTTTTGGACCATATCATGAGATACCAGAACGAAGCAGATGTCAAAATGATCGTTGTTTTAGGGGAGGTAAGTCAGTAGATTATAGAATGTCTAAAACCATCTCATTTAATTTCACTTTTCCTCCAAATATTTTCTGTTGTTTTTATGCTTATTTCAGTTATCATTTGAAAATGCTAATAAACATTTTGAATAGTCAATTGATTTTTTGGGGCTAACATTCAATATGGACAAAAGGATATTTGGGGGATGCATTAATGAGACATCATCCCAGCAACACCATTATCACATGTGAAGTGAAGGAAATATGGGCTTAACATCAATGAGATATCCCACTAACAATACTTACGGATAACAAAAATATCGAGACATATACAAATCCTAAAACTTTGAAATTGAAAGTGAGACCAGTCAATTTAGTTTAAACCTACAAACAGCCATTATGTGTCAGTCTGATCAGATATTAGTAGCTACAGCAGAAAAATGAAGACTGTTTAATCCTGAAAAAAATCAAATGGTCTAATCCTGATAAATCAGATGGTCTTATTTTGAAAAAAAGTCTGATTTATAAAGCTCTTACAACATGGAATTATTAATTGCTAGGTTGGTGGAACAGAGGAATATAGGATTATCCAGGCTATCAAAGATGGTCAGATAACTAAACCTATAGTAGCATGGTGTATAGGAACATGTGCTAAAATGTTTACATCAGAGGTACAGTTTGGTCACGCTGGGGCTTGTGCTAATGCTGAGGCAGAGACTGCTGTGGAGAAAAACAAAGCTTTAAAAGAAGTAGGATGTCATGTACCAACTAGCTTTGATGAATTAGGACAATTGATTGGGTGGGTACCTGTATATTAAAGCCAGTCTTCTCTTAAATCTGAATAAAGGAGATAATATGTCTAGCTCAGAATTTTCAAGAGTCTAAAGTAGTAAATAGATTTAATAAAGGCTATCAATAATCTGTCATCAACTGCGAATTCTCTGAAATAAAAAAAATCAACAAAACCTTAAGATAGGACAAAAAATAACCGCTTTACGACAGGATATTTGATTTATTGATCATTGTTAAAATATGTGTTCTACAGCATATGTCTTTCCCAACAATATAAATCACAAAGGGAAATAATTTGTTGCTTTTCATCAAATGAAGGCTATCCATGTGTCTTTAATTGAAGTGTTGTTGTTCATTTCTTGTACAAACCATTATTAAGTACCTTTTGCAAACAAATCATATGTCAAACAAAATGAATATGTCAAGTATTTCAAGCCAGACTTTGTTTTAAATAGAGACTCTTTGAGATTAGAAATAGCTTTAGAAAGGCAATATGTAGATAAAAGTTCACATTCTTAAGCATAGGATTGTAATAGGTTTATTATTTTATTACAGTGATTTATACAAGAAGTTGGTTAATGATGGTGTTATAGTCCCACAGGAAGAGGTGCCCCCTCCTACAGTACCTATGGATTTTACCTGGGCAAGGGTAAGAATATATTATCTTTATAGACAGTAATATCACAATACAGTTTCTTTTGACTATACAATTGCAAGTGTAAGCATATAGTGTGTCTATTGACAATAAATATACAACCCCTACCATACATGTAATATTTGGTACTGGACATTTAGCATCCATTAATCAATCAATCAATCAAAATATTGCATATTCAGTCAGGTAAAGACTATATATATATATATTTTTTAGGAATTAGGATTAATTAGAAAGCCAGCATCTTTTATGACAAGTATATGTGACGAGAGAGGACAGGAACTGTTGTATGCTGGGATACCTATAACAGATATATTTAAAGAAGACATGGGTATTGGTGGGGTGTTGAGTCTGCTTTGGTTCCAGAGAAGGCAAGTAAACAAAAAATTTGAAAAAAAATATAAGGAGCTATCCAAATAATGCACTTAAATCACATTTCAAATTCTTATTTAGATGGAAAAAATATATTTCTTTGACATTATTTTTGAGTTTTCTTGGACTTTGAGGTCAGCCTCAACTAGCATGTGCATGAGTTTGCCCTTGAATTTTCCTTGAAGCTGTTACAGATAGTTTCATTTTGTTGTACAATGCTGTTGATCTTAAACCATTAAATCCATAATTAAAGTAGACAACCGTGACCTATTTTCACACTGGTATGACTTACATTTTATACAAACATAGTGAATGAGTTAATATGGGTTTCAGTATTGCCAAAGATTGCATACAGATATGTTCTAGTTTGATGTAGGTAGTTATGCTCCTTTTGCCCGAAGTTGACATAAATGTTACTTCAGGATGTTATTAGAAATAAGACAAATCTTTAAAAAAGTTGCTTCCAGGGGCCTTTTGTGATGAGGTCAACATCAATAAAAGATTGGTTAAATTTACCTTGTTTTCATTCATACGTTGGTTCAGGTTTATATAGATATATATTTATTAAATGTCTAGATGTTAGACAAAACTTATATTAAAATACTTAATAATGATGATTATTGTAATGATTTATGGTTCTGGTCCTGCCTAGAATAAAATGTACATGCTTTATTTAAGATGAAGAAATATATGTAGCTTTATAACTTTATGAACATTTAATGTTTCATTTCAATGTAAAAAAAAAAATTGTGTATTTTGTTACAAAATCACAGTGTATTATTTTGTGCGTATAAATATCATGCTGCCCATCAAGGGCCCTTAATTGGAACAAAAAATATTCTTCTTCTATTCTTCTATAGAAAATTTTGTCCTCTAATGATACATTGGTTTGCTTCTGGCAAAAGTATATTAACTGTTAGTTTTTATTTGTGTCACAGACTTCCACGATATGCTACAAAGTTTATAGAGATGTGTCTGATGGTAACAGCTGATCATGGTCCTGCTGTATCTGGTGCCCATAATACCATTGTATGTGCTCGAGCTGGTAAAGACCTTGTTTCCAGTCTGGCATCTGGATTGTTGACAATTGTAAGTTTGACAATAGAAAAGATCTGCATTTGAAGTTTAAAGTGATGAGAGGAAATTTAGATCATTGCATTGAAATCAAACATCATATTTGGTATTAACTTATGTTACCTTTACATGTATATCAATATAGAAGTGCTTTAAATGATTGTTAAAACATGACATGTAAGATTTAAGATCTTTTAGATACTAACATTTACGTTACCTATTTTACTGAACCAGCTTGTGCCAATTTTGACAATTAATGTCTCTTCAGTGATGCTTTGGGCCAACACTTTTGAAATCAGAAATCTAATACTAACATTGAAGAGCTGATAAATCATAAAGGACCAAAAGTATAGCGATATACAGTATCTTTTACTTTATAGGAAGATAGATTTGAAGGTGCATTAGATGATATATTTTACTTTATAGGGAGATAGATTTGGAGGTCCATTAGATGATATATTTTACTTTATAGAGAGATAGATTTGGAGTGCAATAGATGATATATTTTAGATTTGGAGGTGCATTAGATGATATATTTTAGATTTGGAGGTGTATTAGATGATATATTTTACTTTATAGGGAGATTGATTTGGAGGTGCATTAGATGATATATTTTACTTTATAGGGAGATAGATTTGGAGGTGTATTAGATGATATATTTTAGATTTGGAGGTGTATTAGATGATATATTTTACTTTATAGGGAGATAGATTTGGAGATGTATTAGATGTTATATTTTACTTTATAGGGAGATAGATTTGGAGATGTATTAGATGTTATATTTTACTTTATAGGGAGATAGATTTGGAGGTGCATTAGATGATATATTTTACTTTATAGGGAGATAGATTTGGAGGTGTATTAGATGATATATTTTACTTTATAGGGAGATAGATTTGGAGGTGCAATAGATAATATATTTTACTTTATAGGGAGATAGATTTGGAGGTGCAATAGATAATATATTTTACTTTATAGGGAGATAGATTTGGAGGTGCAATAGATGATATATTTTACTTTATAGGGAGATAGATTTGGAGGTGCAATAGATAATATATTTTACTTTATAGGGAGATAGATTTGGAGGTGCAATAGATGATATATTTTACTTTATAGGGAGATAGATTTGGAGGTCCATTAGATGACATATTTTACTTTATAGGGAGATAGATTTAGAGGTGCATTAGATGATATATTTTACTTTATAGGGAGATAGATTTGGTAGTGCATGATATATTTTACTTTATAGGGAGATCGATTTGGAGGTGCATTAGATGCAGCAGCCAAACAGTTTAGTGATGCATATGAAAGTAAACTTATTCCAATGGAGTTTGTCAACCAGATGAGGAAAGAAGGAAAACTTATAATGGGTATAGGACATAGAGTCAAATCTGTAAGTATAAGTTACAGTGAAATTTTAAGCAACAAATTAATGTAAAATAAAACTATGTCTACCTTTGCTTTTAATTTTTTCGTAAACTTTTTTAAAAGAATGACAGAATGAAAAGAAACAAATATGCTTTATTGTTATTGAATCTCAGATGTAGTTTTTCAATTCAGTACTGCCTTTTCAGAATTTAATGGACATTTATGATTGCCAATTTGGAACAACTGAAGATTATGCAAGATGATTTAATGCCAATTTTGTACATTAAAGTGAAGATTTTAATTATTGTCCAGTTCATCCAGTTGCATTTTTCACATTAATTTCTGAACTTACAATATCAAGAATACTGGTCATAGTGCCCCTAGATACATGAATGAATTAATATTTATAGATCAATAATCCAGACAAGAGAGTTGTGATATTAAGAGATTATGCACAGAAGAATTTTCCATCAACACCTCTTCTAGATTATGCCAGTGAAGTAGAGAAAATAACTACATCAAAGGTAGGTATACACTATTTTCAGTTAGAGGACAATAAACCCAGAGTATGCATTTGTAAACATCAAATTATTTCATTAAAAACAGAAATATGTTAACACATTGTTATGTAAATAAAAGTCAAATTTATTTTTGTTAGTTCAAGACAAGTAATATTCCTTGACAGTCATAGATTATGAAAAAGGTTGATGCCATTACACTTACAATTAGTACTACTGTGAAAAGCTGATTAACATACAAATTTGTTTATTATAATATATAGACATTTTATTTACACATTGACATATGTTAACATTGTTGTATTTTTTGTGATATAATATTTCTTTCCAACAGTGATACACCATGTGTATTATTTATATTCAGAAACCCAACTTGATACTGAATGTTGATGGATTCATAGGAGTAGCATTTGTAGATCTGTTAAATAATTGTGGCTGTTTTACAAGGTAACTTAATCATATTACTAGGGGTATTGGTTGGTGGTTTTGTAGTGGTCTTTGCTATTTTATTAGCTTAACTTCTTATATCTAGAACTGCCTCGGTGGTCTCATGGTAGCGTGTTCGCCTCGAGTGCAGGAGGTCGTGGGTTCGAACCCCGGCTGGTTCAAACCGAAGACTTTAAATTTGGTATTTGCTGCTTCTCTGCTAAGCACACGGCAATAAGGAGTAAGAGCAAAGACTGGTCGGCTCGGAGTCAGAATAATGTGTCCGGGTAAGGTAACATGTCTTCCTGCGGACTGTTACCTTGTGAACTAGCATGTTGTATATCCGGCTCTGAGTGTCGGTCTAGTACAAAGCAGGGTAAATATTCATATTACACATGTTCTCGTCCTGAATATGCATATTCATTTGCCATTGGACGTTAAGCAGTCATCCATCATCATCATATATCTAGATTTTTAATGATTTCTGATGGTCTTATACAAATAGCCTATGTGGATCTGTTAACTAGTTGAGACTGCTTTACAGGCGAATTATTTTGGAAGTTTTCATCATTTTGTTACAATGAGTGGGGGTAGACTTTGCACAACATCATGTGCAACCTCTTGTTTAAATCTGTTTTACACTTCTTTTTAGCAGTCCTTGTCCAAGGAGCCAGTGTGAGCTTTTGCCATCACTTTGCATCCATCATAGTCTGTTAACTTCTACAAAATATTTCTATGAAACTACTGGGCCAATTGGAACCAAATGAGACACAATCTCAAATCAAAAATGATCAACAAGACAACATCTAAAAATAGGTCAACCATGTGGAAATTGGCAGTCCACTTCTTCCAGGAGTTAGTTATTGCACTTGAATAAGGATTTTTACCAATTTTTTTTGTGTTTTTTGAAAAAAATTATAGTAGATATAAATAAAATGTATACTAAAAAAAATTATTAGTAATATGAGATAAAAGAAAATAATTAAGTAATTGATTACTAGTCTATAATGTTTATAAGTGGTCATTGATGACGACACATTTTTAGAGCCTCTTGTTTCTTTTGCTGAAGTTTTTTATTTAAATCTGATTATAAATCTTTTATTTACAGAGAGGAATCTAAAGACTTTGTAGATATAGGAGCTTTGAATGGATTATTTGTATTAGGAAGAAGCATGGGCTTTATAGGTATGCATTACTTTTTAAATTTCATTTGATTGGACATAACACACGATACAATATGATTGGGGTAATTTACATCCTTGACTACCATAATAGGTCTTGTATGGAAGGCTCAAGGCCTTGACTACCATAATAGGTCTCGTATGGAAGGCTCAAGGCCTAGACTACCATAATAGGTCTCGTATGGAAGGCTCAAGGCCTTGACTACCATAATAGGTCTCGTATGGAAGGCTCAAGGCCTTGACCAACATAATAGGTCTCGTATGGAAGGCTCAAGGCCTTGACTACCATAATAGGTCTCATTTGGAAGGCTCAAGGCCTTGACTACCATATTAGGTCTCATTTGGAAGGTTCAAGTCCTTGACTACCATAATAGGTCTTGTATGGAAGGCTCAAGGCCTTGAAGGCCTTCGGTGAGTACTAAATAATTTAGTTCTTGTTAAAGTTGGTCAATCACACTAAAGGATGGTCAACCACTGCACCAGATCCAAACCTTCACTGGGGTAGTGTTGCCAAAAGGTGTAAAATGGTTGTTCTTAGAGATGGCTTAAAATTTAAATCTGCTTGTATAGATAATTTTAAATTGAATGAATTGGTATCTATAAATACAATCTGTTTCAGGTCATTTCTTGGATCAAAAGAGATTAAAGCAAGGTTTATACAGACATCCCTGGGACGACATATCATACATCATGCCTGAAACAACAGGACTGATGGGCACTGACACAGACAATGTTTAATTATCTTATCAAACATTACTTAGATTATACTTGTCTCTTTATTTTTATTTTGTACAATGAGGTTTTATTTTAATTGTTACTGTCTATTATACCAGAAGAATAAGAATATACGTTATTATAAATGTTAAATGAATTATGCCAGTTTTAAGATTTTTTGTGAGGGCTTGATAAATGATGAATAAAACTGGAATATTCAGTGTATACTAAGCAGTATAAGATAATAGAGATTTATAGTGTACTGAGAATCTCATAATTTATTTTATATCAAACATGTAATTACAATGGTAACATTCCTCATATTTCTAATTTATGTTGATTCATAATAAAATAAGGTATAATTATACATTCAGAAGTGATCTCCAGTCCTGATTTGTTTTAATTTTATTTTGTTTAGTGCTTTTTGTTATTCTTTATTATTTCAATATATCAAGTAAGATTTCCCAAACCAAGTTGTGATAACGTAAGATAATCCATCAATAAATAACTAATTTGATTCATTAATAGTTATACTATGCAAATTTGTTTGTACTTAATGCAATTATGTGACACAGAAGTCTTTTAGTCTTATATAAGGTTGTAATTAACTTGTAAATGTCACATGGATATAAGGGCAAATCATAGCATAATATATGTTGTAGTCCATATGAACAAAAACAGTTTTTCATTTTTTTCTCTAACCAATTTATACTTTTCTCAATAGTTTAAATTTTTTTTTATAATCGACGTGTGGATCATTTGATCTCGGTTCTTCATTGATCAAAATTCCAAAATTTTCTTGCTTTCCTCTGAATATCCAATTGTGACGTCATGGAAAAGGCTACCATGCCTGTTGACGTCACATATAAAGAACACATCTATTTACAGATCATTGAATAATAACGATAAAATTTGTCTAAGTATTGTCCAAGAGCAGATTCCACCATTAAATCTCGTGCATTATGATATTTCTCTACACCTGAAAGTTAAATTTTTAATATTTGAAAAGCTCATCAATCCTTTAATGTTAATGTTTTAAATATGAAAATTTAACTTTTTTGTGGAGAAATATAGTACCGCTTATGATGTAGTGATATAATCTATATATAAGGTTTATCATATACAGTCGACTCTCGTAATCTGAAGTCTGCCGGACCAGAGAAATGTTTCGAGATAGCCGTAGTTCGACTCAAACGAAAACCGGAAGTTTGACAGACCAAGGGACACAACTCTTGCTTAGCTTGGTAAAGCTAAAATAAATCCGAATGAATATGGGTTGGGGATCGATATTCTGGTCTCAGATCGATGTATCTGTATGTTATGGTCTTTTATTTATTTCTTTGTCCAGTTACAATTTTGTCTGGTGGTTTATGAGCGGAAAGAGTAATTTTCAATCGATATAAACGTTATTTAAAGTTGACAAAATTCTTCATTCTCGTATACAAGAGATTTAGAAAATTTAGATTTGTTTTCATTTTCTTTTATTTCAATCTTTTTCTGCAAGAGATAATACAAAAAGATTAAAGACGCCGATTGAGGAGTTTTGAGTTGATCAACAACGGAAGTCATATTTTATACACTTCATACTTTATACACAACAAAGCTCATTAGTGTATGATTACAGTTAATTGTTTTTAAAACATTTTGAATAATTTTTCATAAACTATAATAAAGTATCACTAATTATTCATCATGGTGATCAAAGATAATCTTAGGTAAACACTCGTGGATACAGAATGTCATAAATCAATACAGTGGTCAGTGACCGGAAATCTAATTACACGTGTATTGTCAGATTAACTGCTCAATCCATTTAAATCCCCGAGGTCATGTTTTGACTTATGTGTATTAGTTCGAGATAAATAATGAATTTTGAAGGCTTTTGTTAACCTTGGGACCGTAAATTTAGTTCGAGGCAACCGAAATTTCGACTCATCTAATTTCGACTCATCAGGAGTCGAAATACATACATTTATATGGAACAAAGTTCGGGACCATGGGAAAACTTCGACTCATCCGAAATTTCGAGTCAATCGAGTTCGAGACAATGAGAGTTAACTGTAGTTGATTATTTTGTAGTTAAACAAAATCATCAAATTAAATATTGCCAATATTTTATACAGAACCTATATGTTTATTAGAGAAGTCTTTATACTTTACTAAAGTACCTGACCTATCTCCCATACATATAATGCATTGGTGATGTTCACTGATTTAATTGTGAATTGTTTTCTTGGTAATTAAATGACATATTACAAGTCCTTGATCGTCCTCCAAAATGAGTCGTAGGTATTACAAAGCAAGTTAATTTGAACAATAAGTAATAAATGCTGTTCTCTGTTTTGATATATTGTTTTGATACTGTTTTATTATCTCGAACATATACATGTACTAACTTATGCATTTTACTTTATTCACAATTGTCCATGACCTTTAACATAAAAGTGTTGACTGAGGTCATCAAATGCAATATCATATGATGTTTAGGCCTAAATGTGTTTAAACCATTAAAGTGTGCCATAACTGTGATAACTTATTTAGATTATACTATTGATGTTGATAAAATTGCTGCCTATATAACAATCAATATATAATACATCTTAATAAACTAAGATATTTATGCCACTAATGTCCATGGATTTCCTAATAAATCACAAATTGAAGTTTTGAATAAAACATATCTACTGGTAGATAGGTGTGTGAAAAGATGTTTTAGAGATAGACTTTGTAATCACATTCATTGTCTTTATAGATTTTGTCTCATGTATTAGAAATGTACAATCTGTTAATGTCTCTGTTTTGTAGAAGTTATGTTGTTAAGGTTTCAGTGAAATCAAATATTTATACAAGATGTATTAGTGTGGTTGACCCTGTATATTGGGTTTAAATAAAATATACAACAGTGGGCTTCATTTTATAGCTTAATTTCTATTAGCCTTTGTCTTCTTCTCAGGAATGTATACATAAGGCATGGACTCATTTGATTTGGGGGATGGGTGGGGGGATTTATATCAAGCCAGATTAATTTTTTTCAGTCTATCCAAAGCAAGAAAAAAAATTTTTTTTTCAAATTTACATCATACATTGCATACTTGCTGAATAGGCCAGATTATTCTTTTTTTTTAAAACCCAGCTCCCCTCCCCTAGAAAATCAAATGGTCCGTGCCTAAGAGTTGAAAAAACATGGATACTTTTTATCATAGACAAAATAATATTACCATATATATAAAGTGTTATCACCTGGAAAAGACTGATTAACATCAGAAATCAAAAGGATAATAAGATTTGGAAAACTCAGAAAACACAGGGCGATCATGCAGTGAATCACAAAACAAGAACAGATAACTCAGACAAACCAAAGGCAACTATGCAGTGAATCACAAAACAATATGAAATAAGAAGAATTGGTATGATTGCAAGTGAGACAACTCTCCACCAGAGACCAAATGACATAGAAGTTAACAACTATAGGTCACTGAACGGCCCTCAACAATGAGCAAAACCAAAACCACATAGTTAGCTATAAAAGGCCCTGAAAAGACAAATGTAAACAATTCAAATGAGAAAACTGACTGCCTGACTTATGAAGAAAACAATGAACAAAAAACAATATGATATACAGCAACAAACCACAACTATACAGGCTCCTAACTCGAGACAGGCACATACAGAATGTGATGGGGTTAAACATGTTTGCTGGTGCCAAACCCTCCCCCTAACCTGGGACAGTGGTGTAACAGTACAACTTAAGTACAAACTATAATAATCAGTTGAAAAAGGCTTAATGATTTTGGATCGATACAAATAATCCTAACAAAAAACACAAAAGACTCAAAATACAGATCTTGGAGTACCCACAGTTACTGAAAGCTAGTTCAAAGCCAATAACACCTAATAAAAGTCATGTGTCTAAGACTAAAATATCAATCACTACACATCCAATAGATTTAGTGTAAAGATGTAATTAACAGTCTAAGAAAAACATGACCTTGTGCAATGCCAAAATATAGATATCGACAGATTATAGAACCTTAAATGTACATATGTGTACCACAATAATATTTAGTTTGGTTTCAATTTACAGAACAGATAACTAGGATAAAACAAAGGCAACCATGCAGTGCATTACATAACAAGGAAAGATAACTTGGAAACAAGCTCTGGTAGTACAAACTCAACCATCAGTGATATTAAATTGTTCAAAATACCACATGGCAAACTCAACGAATACACAAAAATTACATAAGCACCATTGGTGAATTAACTGAATTGCCTTATTGTTCATCTGTAAAAGAAGAAAAAATAAAGCTAAACTTTTATGGACATGTCTATATCTCAGATACCATAAGCAATAGGTCAACTATTCTTAGTGAATAGAATGATTCTAAGGTGTACATGTCCGACTGGCATATTCATCCGACTTGGACCTCATTTTCATGGTTCTTTGGTCAATGTTAAGTTTTTTAGGGTTGCTCTATTTCTCAGATACTATAAGCATTAGATCAGCTGTTTTTGGTGTATGGAATGATGTAGGTGTATATATCTGGCAGGTTTCATCTGACCTTGACCGTTTTTTCATGGTTCATGGACAATGTTAACTTTTTTCCTGTTTGGTCTATTTATCAGATACTATAAGCAATGGGGCTGCTATAATTGGTTTATGCAATGTTCAATATAAATTACATTTCAAAGTGACACATTTCCTGTAATAATACTGGATCAGCACTGATTTTTTAACTCCTCCAAAGACATTCTTCATATACCTAAACATTTGATATAAATTTCATAAAAATATGACAAAAAATGTAGGCTTGAGAGTGCTAACAATTCAATTTCCTGTAGAATTTATATAAATTTCATAAAAATGTTGCAGGAATTGTACATGTGAGAATGCTTACAAGACCTGACGGACACCCAGTATATCTATGTCCACCGCTCCACCTTGATCAAATTCAGGGAAAATTGGTCATGCTGCACAGTACAGATACCTCAAGTGAGTCAAGTCCTATAATTTTCTGTTTCATCAAAGCTGATCAATTAAATGTAGAATTATTTCAAACCAGCATTCAACTTTATCCCTAAATTCATTCTGCAGACACAACAGGACATAGGAATAATTTTGCAATTATACAATTGCACAAGTCCAAGAGCAGTAATTCCATGTAGTCTTCAAGTTTCCTGGGCTAGATATTGATAGGACAATGCATAACAAATTTTGGATATACCAAAACAAAATATAATTTTATTTTTTATAAATATTTTAACAAGTAACATTTATGAATATAGTATAACATAACAGTTATAAAAGTAAAGACAGTTTACTTGTAAATATATATTAAAAGTAGGAATTAAAATGCCACAGTTTCAGAAATTTATCCCATTGATTTCAAAATTAAATATATTTAAGTATATATAGTTTGATATTTTATGAAAAGAATTAAGAAAATGAAGACCTCTTGACAACAGAAGATCATGATAACTAGATTTCATGTTTCCACCACCTAAATCTACTGATGCTTAGTTATTGATAGTTTTTGTTGATGTGTAATAAGTGTGGACACACAAACTTGCCTCTCTAAATCATTTAGTTGGATATACATATATTTGTCTAAGATAAAACTTTTGAAAAACTAATACAATCATCAAAATATATGTGAATAAATTAATTGGGGAAAAAATAGGGTCCGGTTTAACATTTTTTTTTATTCAACAACACTATTGCACTCAGTGTTAACGATAACTCCACTGATAAAGCTATCTCAGTAAAAGTCACTGTTTACCAATCTGAATTTTTCCAATATTTCTCCCCAAAACTCATCTAAAAAGCGACACGATTTATTGTTATATGATGTACTGTATATTTTTTTATAGATGAGACTTAAATAAAATATTGAATTGAATTGTGATGTCATGTATATTCATAATTCTCTGTAATGTCACTTGTATTCAAAATCCTCTGTAATGTCACTTGTATTCATAATCCTCTGTAATGTCACTTGTATTCATAATCCTCTGTAATGTCACTTGTATTCATAATCCCCTGTAATGTCACTTGTATTCATAATCCTCTGTAATGTCACTTGTATTCATAATCCTCTGTAATGTCACTTGTATTCATAATCCCCTGTAATGTCACTTGTATTCATAATCCTCTGTAATGTCACTTGTATTCATAATGTAATGTTTTAGTGATTACAGTCCCTAGTTCGTACAAATGTTCCATTGCTTAAAGAATAACATGTATAACATGTCAATCTGCCACCTTACAAACACAGACCAAATCCAGGTGCCTTACAATTAAAACTAATAGAATTTATAATAAAATACCATGGCTAAGTCAATTGTAAAAATAAGGTCAATGTCAAAAGTAACTTATATGAGCCCTTATAGAGGCATCTATATGCAAAATTGGTAAGTCTTGGTGTTTCATTTTCTATAAAACTTTAAACATTCTACTAAAAGCACTTGAATATTAAAAGAAAGTCTAGCATTGCTAGATATATAGATCTGTCATGGCTCAAGGTATATATACAGAGAATATGTATTATTGCTATTTTGTGTATTTTTTCATTGATCTTTTTTTGTGATAATTTTTCATATTGTGTTACTCACTTTAAATAGAAAATTATTGCAAGTATCTAAGGCCCGTTACCAACAACGTATTTTTTTCTTAGTCAAGAGAAAGAGAAAATATAATGTCATGAGCCTATGTAATTGGCGTTCAGAGGCGGATTTAGGGGGGAAAAATTTGGTTGATTATATAGAGGATCACTGAAGCATGACCGGAGCGGGCCCCCTCTTAGACAGTCAGTGGGCCCCCACTTATGAAAATTTCTGGATCCGCCACTGGCATTGTCTAGGAAAATAGCGATAAACAGATTATCAATGGTCTTTCAAACTCTAGGATGTTTCTCGGCTACATCTCATCTCAAGTCTATTGCCCTTTCATGAGATTGTAGCTAAGAAACACCCTTTCCTTTGGAAGACCATCGATAGTCTTCAATTCTGTAAGTTTCTTCATCTTCAGCAATAGAAAGTTTTCTAAAACTTGTAGTGGTATCAATTGTTGTCAATGTAACTAATGCCTAAGGGAGCTACCATTTGATTTTTATTGGGGTGCTAGGATGAAATTTGAAAAAAATAGGAAGGACCAGAGTTTTGAGTAAAAAAAAAAGGCAGGATGAGACACTTTGCCAAAAAAAAAAGGCAAGATGACAATTTATGTAAAAAAAAGTCAGGATAAACTAAAAAAAAAGGCAGGACCGAATAGAGTGAAAAATAAAAAGGCAGGACAGAGATTACAACTAAAAAAAAATGCAGGACAAAATTTTCAACCTAGCCCAACCTCCCCCCCCCCCATAAAAATCAAATGGCAGCTCCCTAAGTGTTGCAAGCAATAACATTATACTTGTTGCATCAAAGTGTCTAATGTCCTTTATTTTCTACCCCTTACCATTAAATATCTAATACAACTTTTTACCATCCAATGGTTCCCACTAGTTTGCCTTATACAAAAGCAAATCATTCAATAAAGATTAAAACAGATTAAGTGAATGCACAGGACAGTATTAAACACCTTTTATAAATCCACTTACTAAACAATTATTGAATGTAACATTTTGAAAAAAAGATAATCATGTTATAATTGATCTTGCTGCATTAAAACTCATAAATATAAAAATGTATAAAGTTGTACAACATAATTTAAAAGACTTAAGTAATATTGCTGTGTTAAGGACATATCTACCAGTTTTATCCAAGTTTCTTTTTAACAAAAATATAACTTGTAAGTAATTCTGGCTTTTATCAATTTTACCAACAGTATATATTTGTTGATCAATTACAATGATTGATTCACACATTGTCATATTTTTTTTTCATATTTGTATACATATATTCTATCACTAAAAAAAAGAAACATTTATAAAAGTATTTGTGTTTTAGTTTTGAGAAAATAAACGGTAGCCATGAAACTGGTGAATATCCCCTTAAGACTTCATATCAAATAGTGTAAAATATTTTTTTTTTAAATAAATCACAAAGATATTGAGTATGAAAAAATTCTTTTGATAAAAAAAATATAAATGTATGCAACAATATTAAAATATTTATGAAGAAAGCAGTAATACAAATTGCTTAAAAGACATAAAATTTATTCGAGTATTGTACTTACAATTCACACAAGAGTGCAAAACCATTATAGCTTTTAATTTCAATTTATTTATCTTCTTTAAACCTCAGCATTAAATTTATACAAATTGTACTTATCTTAAAGTCAACATCAGAGCTGTAACTATGTTAACAGTGAAGATTCTAAAGTATGTCATCACCGACAATTTAATTTCATGACAATGTTTATGTACTTTTTATGTGAAATACAACAAAAAGACAGTAAGTAAAATTAGCATCAAAGACACTAAATCATCAGTTGAATAGTTTGTACTGTTATATAGTACCTAGAATTCCAGACTTTTGACAGATATGTGGTATAATATTTAAAGATCACTGGTTATAATTATTTGATTCCTGTATATTCAACTCTCGCTCCCCACTAAGTTCAAAGTCCACTTCATCTTGGAATTCTTCATATGTATCATTTGGTACTGTTCTCAAGAATGATGGACACTGAAACACAAAAATGTTATATTAAGAGTAATTCATTGATTCTTGTTTGCTTACAGTGGCAACCACCTTTATATATTCAGGTTCTGCAAAGAGGGTCAATCAAGAATGTAGGGAGGGAAATTTACAAATGAAGATTGCCATGGTAAACAATAGAGTACAATGGGTAGGAACAGAAATCTTACTGTATAAATGGTCATCAATGGAACCCTGAAGAGTTATTGCATGGGTTCTATCACTTACAGAGTGTGGTACTCTCCCTGCATGAGGCATTACAAATTTAACTTTACCATTCTATTCAGACAAGGTACTGTATTTATTAGGCCAAACAGTACCCCAGGAGGTAAATTATTTAAGGGAAAGAGATCTATTTTTGTAAGGGAAAATTGTTCATATAAAACTTCACCTCCATTTTGTCATCAGTGATAACATCAAAATTTGAAAAGCATTGGTTGAGTGGTTCAAAAGTAATTGCATAGAAACGACATAAAATCCCATATTCTAATATATCAAGGACCATAACTCCTGAACTGTAAAATGGTGAATATCAAACTCAACCTCCATTTTGTCATCAGTATCAACGTATTAAAATTTGAAAAGCATTGGTTGAACACTTCATAAGTTATTGCTAGGTAACTTTTGGCAGCCATCCCCAAATAACATATGAAAGTGCGATAACCATTGTTATGCTGTTTCACCACTATCCAAAATTGATGACAGACTGAACATTCATTGAACTTGTATAACCTCACCATATACTTCAGGTATATTCATGTCTTAGTCAAGTGTTGTTGGCGTAATGTTTTATTGTTTGGTTTTTTGTTCATATAAAAATAAGGAGATGAGGTATGATTGCCAATGAGACAACTATCCACCAAAGTTCAAATAAAGTGGATGTAAGCGATTATAGGCAACTGTACGGCCTTCAACAATGAGAAAAACTCAAACGGTATAGTTGGCTATAAAAGGCTCAGGCATGAAAAATATGAAACAATTCAAACTAACGGCCTAATTTATAACAAAACAATTTACGAAAAACAAATATGACCGACATGAACCAATGACAACCACTGACCTACAGGCTCCTGACTTGTTACAGGCACATGTTTGTGAGTGCTCAACCCTCCCCTAACTTGGGACAGTGGTGTAACAGCACAACATAATAACAAACTATAAAAATCAGTTGAAAAAGGCTTAACTCATCAGATACAAAGCAGAAAATCATCAAACATAAACACAGACCAGACGTTGCAGGTTATTTATCCATCCCTCATCCATAACAACAAAAAAGACACAAAGTACAGATCTGAGAGTACTCACAGTTACTGACAGCTAGTTCATACCAATAACAACTAATAAAAACAAATCATGTATCTAAGACTAAAATATCAATCAGTACACATCTAACATCCAATGGATTTAGTGTAAAGACGTCATTAACAGTTATTATTTTTCATTTTATTTTCCAGTACCTTATAATAGATTATCTTACTATATGAACCTCATTGTTGAAGAAAGGGGTAGATGTTCATCCTCTTGTCTTTTTTTCTTTGGAGAAAGGTGTCATTTACAGCAGATGGGATATGATGTATTTCTAAATATCAATTTTTTGTTTCAAATAAATAACACTGGAATTTCAGTAGCTTAAACACAGTATATCAAACACATCACTGGAACCCTAGCTGGAGAAAGATTGTGATAAAAAAAAACTTGGAGAGCTATAATATAGACTAAAGACTATAAAGATTGACAAATAGCAATGAAAGACGTTTATTTTGGCTTCAAAGCATTCACCAGTAGAATGTCACATAATATGAAAATGAAGGTAACAATCTAACAGTCTAAAAAATAACAGGACAACAATAATCACATGCGTTATGAGTATATGATATGCTTATCCAACATTAAATGTGAAATGACCTTTACATTTAAATAACTTTATAATATCTACAATTCCCCATCAGTTTCGGTTTATCATCCAAATACTAAATTTTCTACCTTTAAAACATTTCATATATCGGTACATCCAACACATTCAGCAAAAAGAAAAATGCACATTGAAGACAACTCACTAACACATACCTACAAACACACATGAGCACATTTTTTCTGGACTCGTGCATAATTTCTTTTTTTTAAATATCAGGATATCCCCTTTTAGTACAGTTAACAGATATTGGTGATATGTCTCACATGCATGTAACTTTAATAGTATAATGAAAATATTGAAATTAAAATGGCGATACTTCAACATGTAAATTGTGCAAAACATTCAAATCAAGGACTGGTGGGGATGGCCTTAATAGTCTCTGTGGATATAAGATGTGCAAATGCTAATACAACTGCATACCAAATATAATTGACTAACCATTAGTGGTTCCTATTAAACTGACCTAATCACAAGCTTTTAAATGTAAACTATGCAAAGTTTCAAAGTCAATATACTGAGGGGACAGTGCCAAAGAATCTCCATTGAAATGAGATTTGCCAATGCAAATACATACAACTGCATACCAAATATCATTGACATACCACAAATGGATCCCCTTAAACTGACCAGATTGAAAAACTAATATATTGTTAAAATCGCTTGACACTGAACACCTAAGTCTTGCCTTCCTGACTTCGTTGAGGCACAACAAAAATACCAATGAATTGCAAAAGCTTAAATAGATAAAATTGTCAAAATTAAAGGAAGCCTTTTATGTTTATTCTTACAGGGTGTAACAATTGAAGTGAAAGTAATTTTTTTAAATGCAAAGTGAAAAAATAAAATATTTTAATGAAAAAGGCCAAAAGAAGTAGGTTCAATGAGGACCCAAAATGGCCCCAATTTGTAACTAAAATTTCAAATTAAGATTTATTAACCATTATCACAATGGGTCATAGCTATAACACATAGGTAACAGATCTTTTGTTGAAAACTTACATATAAGCATTCTTTTCATGACGTCACAATTAGCACAATATTTGATTTTGCCAAACATTCAATGAAAACAGGTTCAATTTCCATTGAGTTTTAGGACTGGAAACATATACACTGAAGCTCGATCGTTGACAAAAAAGATCTTTTATTTTTGTTTGTTATAACAAATTACCTTGAATATTTAGTTTGTCCAACCTTGTGCTAGAGGCCTAAATGGGGTTGAAAAAAGACAATTTTGTCAACTTTCACCAAAATGTCTTTTTTGGCATATTAAGAGTTGAAATTCATTTGTTACTTATAAATATTCATTCTGTACATTCATTGCAGATTGAAAGCTCCTCTCTACTTGAAAAGGGGAATATAAAAATAAAAATTTTGAAACCTTTTAGCTTGCACAATTTAAGCTGAAGATGTGAATAGCTTAGAGAATAAAATAAAGTTCTGTCAATGAAAACGATCACAAATTATTACATAAAATGTATAAAACCTGTAACTGCAAAAATAAAGTACAAGCTGTCAAAAATATGTCAATACAAAAAAGCAGATCTGATAAATATACACGTATAAAACAAAGCTTGGAAGTATATAAATATGACTTAGTGTGTCTATATGTATTGCACTCAGTCTATAAAATTTTCCAAATAAAAATATCATTAATACACATTGAGAGTTCTATACATTTGTTAAATTTAGTGTTCTAGCTAGGTTTTGAAAAGGACTTTTCAATGCCACAAATAACATGCATGACTTTATTAATGCATGAAATATCTGGGACTAAAACATGGTACATACATCATTCATGAATAAAATATTGTCTTCTAAATCTAAAACTGAGAAAAATACAACAACTAAGACAGTGGCATGCATTTACCTGTATACACCGTTCTTAACGTTTGACTCTGAACATTCTGGATGAATGTTTACCTATAAAATCTCCTCAAACCCAGTAGAGTCAATGTTGATGGTCATAACCTGGATAATACAATGTCTGCACTGAATTCAGTTATACATTACGCAAAATGTTGTTGTCAATGAACAAACTGACAATAATTGAACATGGTTTTGAACAATTCTGTCGTGTATTTTGATTACATAAGTTGACAACAACTGATATGTTGGGGAAAAGCTTTTAAGAACTTCAGTTTGAGAATAGAAACTATCTTGTCAAAAAGGCAGGGCATTGTGACAAACAGCACTTTCTATGTGGGTGTAGTACATGATATTACACTAGCTAGAACACTGATTTATATGAAGACACATTTACATATTGAAAACTAATAACTTAGCATCTAATTTTGTTGCAACTACTCTTAAAATAATTCTTAATAACAATAGGTGCACTCTACAAATTAGTATACCCTGCTGAAGATGTTCAAAACAAAAGTCACAAAGAAGAGACCATTCCCTCAAATATTGATATCAAACAGTTCACCAAAAGTAATAGCACTTAAATTCATTTTATAGAACTAATAGTTCATATTGTGTTATTATATAGATTTGCTCATGTGCATAGAATAACTTCCATATTTTTCACAAGAAACATGCTTCTAGGATATCTTCAGATTAAATCAAAAATCTAAAATCTTCACAAATATCATTTTACACTGCTGATCTCAACATTTCAGTCTGAAAACAAACCAAAACCTGTTCAGCTGCTTAATTATTTGTACTTTTCAATATCAATATTACATTTTAATAAATATAAATATTACATTTTAATAAATATAAATATTACATTTTAATAAATATGATGCCTGCCTTGCAGGTGAAACATGTAGACCATAGTAAATAAAGTTGCAGACCATTCGAAGTGTTGTTGTCAATTTTGATTACTATTTAATAAATATAAATATATAATATAAATAAATATCATAGCATTACAATCTTTATATGATCATTAAATGACACAATATAAGTAAAACTGGTATCCACCAGGAGTATAAATAGATACATATATGTCATGCATAATTCAGATAAATACCATAGTTGTATTTAAAACAATTGTATTCTCATAATTTCTATTATTTCAAAATAATTTAATTTTGGATGTAACACGTCTTCTGATTGGCTGAAAGTGTTTTGTCTATCAGCTCATAGACATAATTTTGTCATGTGACCGTGACGTCATCAACGTTTTTATCATGATTTACTCCTTTTTAGAATTAAATTATAAGGAATGACTGTAATATTTTTTCTGTCTATTCGAAATAACCTAAAAAATGTGGTGCACTTTTAAATAACCCGCTACACGAGCTATTCAGTGTGCACCACATTTTTGATGTTATTTCTTCATAGACAGAAAAAATATTACAGTCATTCCTTAAATACATATTATATTAAATTGAAAACAAACAAACACCACCAAAATAGCTGAATTCAAAACAAATGTAAAGTGCGTGGACTTATGTATTTCTTACCTTTGCTATTTTGCTATATATTTTATATAAAAACACATATTTTCAAAAAAATAATTTGGCGGCATTTATGGTTAGATTTTAACAAACTAGGTATTGAATTATGCAGAACAGTCTAAGTTTTTGCTTTATTTGGTCATAATTATTCTTGTTAGTCTTCAGCATTTTAATACTTAAAAAAAAATAATGTAAAAAAATAACTACTTAAGTAACTAATTAAACTTGAGAATGCCTGACAAAAAATGTTACATGCATTTCAAATATATTTCTTCTATGAGTTTTATTGCCGTCATGTCAACATATAGTATTACAAAAGTGTGCTTTCAAATGAGATAAAAAAAAAGAGCAAAGCACAATTGTATGCCTGGGCTATTCCATTAAAATGTATGTGGGAGGGTAGGAAGGGAAGTTTAATTATCGAATGTGGGTCATGGGTCTTTTTTCGGTATGCGTCTATTACCACTATTATGCAAAATTATCTAAAAAATTGTTCTTGGTTGTAGGGATATTTTGAAAGTCCCGTCCTACCCTCCCACATACATTTTAATGGAATAGCCCTCATCTTATGTTCCACACTGGCATCAATTTTTTTAAAAGCCATGTATTTTTTTATTTTCTCTTGAAAAAATCTTCTTTTGATCTTTAGATCCTTAAAAGGTCATCTTATTGTAATGCCAGAGAAATATCACATGTAAAATGTCATCTTATTGTAATGCTAGAGAAATATCACATGTAAAATGTCATCTTATTGTAATGCTAGAGAAATATCACATGTAAAATGTCATCTTATTGTAATGCTAGAGAAATATCACATGTAAAATGTCATCTTATTGTAATGCTAGAGAAATATCACATGTAAAATGTCATCTTATTGTAATGCTAGAGAAATATCACATGTAAAATATCATCTTTGGGTCTTTGGATCCTCTAAAGGTCATCCTATTGTAAGGTCACAGAAAATATCACAAGATAAAACATTGGTATTTTCTTGGATCTTTAGAAGATCTTCTTTGCACAGTTGTATCAGACAAAATGTCAAATTCAAAAGTATAGCCATGCATCTTAGAACCATTCTAAAACAGTGTATCACATGTAGAGTACTGGTATCTTCCTTGTATCTTCTTGGGTTAATAAAGAGTCATAGATAATATCAAAATGTAGAATATTGCAGATCTGAATTAGATTCTGAGATGAGGAGTTGGTATCTTGGATAAAATCTGCGCAGTAGCTGTAGGATAGAAAAGGTATAACACGGTAAGGTTATTTGCAGGGGTGTTTGGAAGAGTGAAGGATTATAAGGGATTTCAATATTCTATGAAAACAATACTGAAGTTCCTGGTAGTGATACTTTAATCAATGGACTTCTCCAAGCTTTTCAAGTCAACATATACATAAAACTATCAGTACCATTCAGAAAACATAAAATGCTTATGATTGGTTTAAAGGAAAAGAATAAACAATAACAAGATGAGAAAGATTCAAATACCAAATGATCTATAGTTTCTGTTTAAATAAAACTCATGGCACAGTACAAAATGGACAGAAAACAATGCATAGGCATGGGATGCAAGATAGCTAACTTATTTATGATCAGTCATGTTAGAATAATACTTAAAGGTGACAGTAACCCTTAAACAATTGATAAACTGAATGTACAGGCAAAATATATCTCTAAAATAGAAACACAAAATATACTGTCATATTTAAATTAAAAAACAAGAAATGAGCTGTCAAAATGAGAGCAGACCAAGTTTTTTCTGTATGTGGAGGTAACTATTGCTGAACTGTATAGGAGGGAAGGTACGGTGAAATCAAATTCACTTTTGTCATCAGTTACAAAATATTAAAATTTGAAAATAATTGGTTGAATGGTTTATAAGTTACTGAAATGAAACAATATAAAGTGTCATTTTCAAATTAGTCAAGGACCATAACTCCTGAATCACTAAATATTGCCAACATTGAATGTGACCTGTATTTTGTCATCAGCAACAACATATTAACATTTAATAAGAAATGGTTGAATTGTTCAGAACTCCTGAACGGCAAAAGTGAAAATCAATTATTGAACTTAACCTCCATTTTGTTTAACATAAGAAACAACATTTTAAAGATTGGGCAAGCATAAAACAGTTCTTAGTTTATGCATGGAAATGGCATAAAGTGCCATTCTCCAATCAATCAAAGACCACAACTCCAATATCATACTTAAACTCCTTTTTGTCGATCGCGATCATCAGTAACAACTAAATAAAATAAATAAAATTTGAAAAGCATTGGTTGAAGGGTTTATTAGTTATTGCATGGAAACAACTAGTACTGGAGACTTATCGCCTCTTATCCTAACATCCTGCTATCCACCGTACAGCCCTATAACTAGATTTACTTAAGAAAACCCTGGTTAAAAATGGTAAGTTTCAAGATTGTTGGCCAATTATCCTTTGTTGCATTGAAAAAACAAAAGCCTCATTGGATTTGACAGTACTTAATCACTAGTTAATACAGCAAAGCAAAAAACTTCATATTTACTTGCACAGTTATAAATTTCTATGGAGAGAAACATCAACTATCATTTTCTGAAGCAAGTGTTACCTTATGGGGCTCCTGTATATTATTGAATCTTTTGAACTTGTTTGTTTTTACTTGTCAGCAACAATATCACATGACTTGTCAGGTGCTCACCTCCCCCTTTTGTTCAATGTTTAATGCTCCATAAATCATTTTTATATTGCAATGTATGGTCTAATAACAGAATGTCTGCACAGAAGTGATAATGATATATTTATTTCATTTTCTAACAAAGTTTATTGCAATTTCTCACACAAGATCATATAACAGGAGCCATGTAGTTGAAGGTTTTTCACGAACATTATAGCTTAAAGACTCAAATGCTCTCTTTAATTTCAGCTCTCTTTTGAGGCTTTTGTTTATTTTTATCACTATTATATATCTTAAAAGATCACTGAATGAGATACAGCATATTTTTTCTATTGTAAAAACAATGCATCTACACCCCAAATGAAACATAATTAAATGACAATAGTTTATACAGAAAAGAACCATATCTGCTACCATTCTCCCAGTTTACCAAATCAAATGTTGGTCATTCTATCTACTAGGACAAATATTGAAACTAAATGATATAATACATGCAAATAAGAACTCCCAGGAATATTAATTTGACTATAAATTTCAGTGTTCCTGTTAATATGTTAAACCTTTACCGTGTACATTAATCTGTGATCTATCAAAACTTTTATGTGATGTTCTATATACTTACTGGTATTCTGGAAAATATTTCTATTTCCATAGTAACTAAACAATGCCATACCTGAAATAATAATAGTAATACAAATGTTTTATATAATAATAAGGTGATGTAGCATGATTGTCAATGAGACAACTATCCCTACACATGCTTCAGACAATGAAATCAAATGAATAAATGGCTTCGGTGGTCTAATAGTTTAACTACTGTTTCACTAAACCTGTCAACACTGAGGTTGTGAGTTTGAGTCTTGCACATGCTAGGCATGTTCAACTCTAATCTTAATTGACTAGGATTGTAATTTTTCCTACTGAAGGTTGGTGGTTCTCTCCAAGCACTCTGGATTCCTCCACCAATAAAAACTGACCACCATGAAATAGCCAACAGTGCTGAAAGTGGCACTAAAAACCAATCAATCAACCAAAACAAGAGCATTATTCAGAAAGTTTGGGAAAGACTTATATTTAAACAGTTTCAGATTCAAACTATCAACAAATCATGTTAAATGAGTTTTCCATAATAAATATGCTTGTATGATTTCTATTCAACTTATATATGTATAGCTGGTAAATTATTAAGTCAGTTAATTTGTAACTATAAATTAATTAAAACCTTTACCAAATTCTATCATAGATACAAAGATTTGGTTAGAAAGTTTGGTTGTAGAATTCTTATTAAAAACAGGATATCACATCTAACTTGATCCTTTGAATAAACTTATTTTTAAAGGTTATCTATTTAACACAGTAATAAAATCTTAAAATATTGTTTTTATCCATTCTAAGATTGATTTGTTTTTGAAAAATTAAAACATAACTTAATTTCCCACATCCTGTTGATACTGTTTACTTATATTTTGGTAATGCCCAAGGTCATGCGTTTCTCAAGACTGTTTTTGACATCTTTCCACTAAATCAGTTGGTTGTGTACGGATTGATACTATAATCTGGGAGAACATGATATATTGATAAGTTGTAATTGGCTTTAAAGTAGCTTTCAATAACTGCCATTTTTCTTATTTTGGTGTTTTGTGTCTATTGTTTTTATGTTAGTTGTTTTTGTGCCTCCTAACAATATTTTGAGTTGAGCCAATTGCTACTGATTTTTAGTTTGTTCTTATGTTGTACTGTTACACCACTGTCCCAGGTTGGGGGGAGGGCTGAGTGCTCACAAACATACTCAACCCCCCACATCCTTTATGTGCCTGTCCCAAGTCGGGAGCCTGTAGTTCAGTGGTTGTCATTGGTTCATGTCGGTCATACTTGTTTTTAGTAAATTGTTTGGTTATAAATTAATCTCATTTGAATTGTTTTACATTTTTAATATCAGGCTTTTAATCTTCTAATTGTTGAAGGCTGTACAGTGGCCTATAATTGCTGACTACCACTTCATTTTAACTCGTGGATAGTAGTCTCACTGGCAATCATACCACATCTCCTCATTTTTATATTGTAGTACACATCATTGTTTTTCAAGCAATGAAACTAACCCATAAAACGAAGTTAAAAGATATATTAGATTACTCACCAGATACAAAACAAATGCAAAGTAGAAGAAAATAAGTACAGCTACACCCAGGTATATAGCCCAATGGTTGGGTAACTGTTGTATATAGACTGCCACAAAATACATATTAATTCCTATTACAACTGCTGCTAAAACACCAGATATTATCTTCATTACTCTACAAAATTTAAAGATATAGGTCATACAAAATAATTCCTTCTACATCTGCTTCTAAAATACAAGATATAACATTCATTATTCCACAAGTTATATAGATCAAAGGAAATAATTTTCATACTTTACCAAGATGCTTGTCTGTATGTATAACACCTCTCATACAAATATTTACTTCATTTTGCATGTATTGATTTTTATCATTTACAAATATGCACCAAAAGAACAAAAAATAAATTTATGTCTTCTTTCATCCTTGGCATCATAGTGAATATTCAGAATATTAAACAGACCTTTCAGTTTAAACATTGCATATACCTTTTAATTATTTTTAAATATAGGGGAAAATCGCCTAATTGCGGACAGCGCCGATATGCGGACGGAAAACGAATATCTCACTTTTCAATAAAATTATGAAAAATTGAAATAAAATAGATATGTAAGAAATAAGGTGTTTTGTTTACAATTGAATCTCTTTTTTGTTGCAATAAAGTTATTATGTCTATTGCTTACGATTTACTTTTTATGTCATGTGATTGAAATTGCATGCTATAAATAGCTTATGTCAACAAGTTTGAAAACCGGAAAATTTTGAAAAAGGTCCAAAGTCAGCGTGTCACATTCAATACACAGTTGCTCATGTAAGAATGGCAATTTATGTGTTGAAAAGCGATAGGCATTGCGTATTTTATGCAAGGAAACATTTCTTTTAATGATTTTTACTGATTTGTCTAAATTTTGATTACAAAACAGGAATAAGCAAGTGTCCGCATTTTCACCACCGAAAAAAATATGATAGCCGAAATGCGGACACAAGATATTTTGAACAACTAACACGTGCAGTGGTGCATATATCCATACCATGATGACGGAAATAAACAAAACTCTCTTATAATCTAGCATTACTAGTTTCAATCCGGTACATTTATATCAATAAAGTTTTGATTTGGGTTTATTTGATTTGCTTTCATTTTGCATATTACGAACATAATGCGTTTACAAGTCTGATTTCCACTCCAGTTGGCAACTTGCACACATCTTCAATAGGTCAAAAACTGTAAACGTCATCCCCGGGATGGCAAGCCAATCTATTTCTCTTTCTTTACAGAATGTCTACATGTTTAGGACATTTTGCGAAAGCAAATGGAATGAAATAAAATGTACAGAAAACAATCACCCGAATGAAATTGCAACAATGTCTCGTAGACGAGTGGCTATTTGACAATGATGTTATTGGCTATTTATTTATGAAATTAATACGTTTATCAAAACATGAATATGTATCAATACTACTATGCGAAAAGTGATAAGGGAAATGAATTCAGCAGCATTGTGTTTATTGCTAGAAAATCAAGTATAAGAGGTAAAGAGTTGGACATTCGTACTGCGGAAGAAACAGATGAAATTATTGATATCACGAATATTCTTTTGAAAGAAATGTTTTCATAAAACTTTTCAAAACATGATAGAAATAATGTAACTAATACATTGGTTTTAAAGACCTCTTTAGACTGAGCGTCCAACAGTAACGACTTTGTGCATCCAGTCGTCTGTCTGTCTGTTTGTCCATCCGTCTGTGGCAAATCGAAAAAACAAACGAGGCCCCTCATGGGGAGATACCAGTAATCGCATAATCACCAAATTTTTGCCAGAATAATCACATAATCATTAAATATTTGCTTTGGTAATCAAAAACTTATTTTCTTTAGTTATGAAATAATCATAAACTAAAAGCTTTGTAATCATATAACAATTCAAATGTAACTATTTAATATCTAAAAAGTTTTGATAAGCTCTTCCTCGTCCTCATCCTCCTCCTCGGGTGAAACTCTATCACCTGCATCTTCCATATTTGGTTCGGTAATTTTCTCATGTGAACGACGTTAACCTGTTGTGTTTTAGACATTTCATCTAAGGCACAGAACTAGGCATGCATGTTCTACACACGCTGGTATCCTTTCGCCAGTCGGATAAAATCTGATGTCATTATTGGTCAGAGAACAGGCATTATATAGAAAAAAGTATATGTGACGAAATGCAACGAACGCCAATAGCGTATCATCATGCGTGACCACAATCTCCAGCACTACGTCTTTATTATGGCCTGTCGACTTTTGGCGGGTGCCCTATTATAGTAATCACTCTGCCCGTCTTTTCATCCGTCCGTCTACACTTTCTATGTCGTAGGATAACTCAAATTTACTCCGACAGATTTTAAAAGAAATTTTAGCACAACACTTAGTAACATTAGGGGAAGCTCCCTTTCATTTTTTTGTTTACTTTATATTTTCGAGATATTGGACTTAAGCCAGCAAGACCCTTCATTGAGGAGTGACATGGGTCAGTATTCATAAAAGAAAATAAAGGATATAGAGTAAATGTACATGGGACAAAATCGCACACAATACATAGAAAAAAATAAAAAGTTATCAATGAACAGGGCTTTTATTCCTGTTCTTCATCTTGACAGTTGAAGTAGGGTCTTCAACAATAAATGAATCATTCATATCCTACAAGGTCAAGACGGCCCCTAGCGTCGACTTAAGCGGTACTATTGATAAAAATAAACCAAAGTTCACCTTTTTGCTCCCTACCCGCCTCGGAGTGCCAACTTGTGCGATGCTTGTGTACGACAGTTCTCAAGTCGAAAGCACCAGGGATACAAGAAAAGTGCAGTAATTTTGAAAGACATCGATTGCCGCTAAACTATACTTTGAAGTTACACATGTCGGGAGCGGTCAATGAATTACATAATTTATAATTACGGGCTAGGTTCTTCAACATATATTTGTCATACATTGCCCAACAAAAGAACAATACATTAGAAACAACAAATGATAGACAATACATATAAAACTAAACGTAATACTGACTTTTCCATAATTCCTTAAAATTTTTGGTGTCTATTTTTCTATATTCTTATTTTTTTTTTAACATTCCAATTTACAAAATTTGCATGTTCCCTCACACCTTGCGTTTTCCCATTTTTGATTTAACAATTCTTAAAAATTAAGTCTTTTTACCCATCCCATAAACTGTTTTCAGATGTTCATGGTGTTGGATGGGCCGCAAAAAATCATGTTTGTCAAAGAGTACATAGAAACCCGAGGATAAACTAGATATCATTGAGATGGGAGCCATCTCTGTGGGCCCCGCTGTGAATAATGTGTGGTAAAAAATGTGTATATCATTGGACATGGGGTTGTCAGCTGAAACCAAAGTTTTTGACCTTGACCTTTGACCTAGGAAGTTGTACATAAATTATGACACACCCTCTGGTGTTGGTTAATATACATGTCAATATAAACTTTGAAATCATAACGGTTCTCTAGATATAGAGCGGACACAATTTGTTACGGACGGATGGACGGACGGACAGACTGATCACTATAGGGCGTCAGCCATTCGGCGGGGCCTTAATAAAATTATCTTATAAGTATCGGAAAATGCAAATAAAAAAATCTCGCCTCAAGGCATCTTATGCTCTTGAGTGAGGGCTACGGATTTTTAAGTGATTAGGACATTAAAACACATTACAATGAATGCCATACGATTTGAAATTGAAAGTTATCACAACTATATCTCGTATATATGCACGCATGCATCTTGGAAGACAATATCCCGATGGAAGTTGTCAGTACCATCTTATATCATTTAATAATTGGTGTGGTATAGGATATTTAATGAACTTTTTTAATCTTATTTTTTCTCACCTTTCCACATGTATTACCAGTTAATGCGAGAAAAACATTCTCAAACATGCTTTAAGATGCACTGAAAGGGTATTCCTGAGGGGTATTCATGAGAATTGATGTTATATATGCATAATACCTGCGTTTTGAATAGCAAGAAATGTTTAAAAATAAGTGTCCGCAATTTGACGACAAGGTGTCAGTATTTTAACTCCCCCTGTCCGCATTTACCCTACTCGGCATTTCCGCGGGTTTTAAGAGTTTGCAATCTACAAATCAAGAGAGGAGACCTGAAAACGCGGGAAATAGTCCATTTGATACCCCTCTATCCTCTCCTGTCAAATGCCACCACCAGTATGTCCGCAATTGGCCTCGACGGTATCCAAACTTCCGGATTTGAAAAAGTGTCCGCAATTAGGCGAATTTCCCCTATATCACATAATTTTGCAATACATCATTTTTAGCGAAATAGTTCTGTTAGTGCATATCCTCTTTTATATGAAAATGAAATATTATCTTGTCACTCAAATTTCCACTAAACAAAATAGTTACATGACATGAAGGTGTATAAAACACATATTTCTAATATAGAATACTGAAAAATATATATAGGTGATTTGTTGACAATTAAGTGCAAAGTTGCCCTATAAGTGTTTCAAATACTCCATTTTACTTTCTGTAATTTGTTAGGTGTATATCATCATAGTTTTATTGTTCTGTTGTCTGACTTGTATATTCTGTAATTTGTTTATCTTATTGAAGTGTCTATATAAAATATTTACCATCATAAAAGTTTTATTTTAATTACCAGCATTTTCACCTCTTAATACTTACATCCCATTTTTAAAATCTCCCATGATATCAGTAGAACTTGTGAAAGCTAAGATTGGTATCAGTGCGAATGGTAACTGTAGACTCATCAATACATTGAGGAGATCATTCATACCACTTAGTTGTTCTATACCCTCGTATATAGATATAAATATCGTTGGAGCAATGGCTATAGTTCTGGTTAATAAAACTCTCTGCCATCTTTTCCATTTTAAATTAAGGAAACCCTGTAAATAAATACATAAGACATTTTTAAGAATTTGTCATAATAAAAAATAACCTTTGGTCTTAAGTGGAGAGGTGAAAGATACCAAAGGGAAATTTTTTTCAGAATTTGTCATAACAAAAAATAACCTTTGGTCTTAAGTGGAGAAGTGAAAGATACCAAAGGGATATTCAAACTCACAAGTCGAAAATAAACTGAAAAGAGATGGCTAAAAAAGAAAAAGACAAACAGACAAACAACAATACACAAAACACAACATAGAAAACTAAAGACTGAGCAATTATCAAGTAGTCTGATTTGTAGTTGATGAAAAAAAATGTGACAAAAAGGTTTTAAGAACAAACAGAGAGAAGGAAGTGGCCATATAACCATTTTATCAAGTTTATATAACTTTTAAAAAAACCACAAACAAAACCTTCAAAATTTTAAGCAATTGCTCAACTTTGTTATGACAACATTTAATTCCACACAAGCAACAGCTGTTGTAGACAGAAAACTGTTTGAAAATTATTGGGAAAAGTTTCATGCTATTGAAGTGAATAATTATTTTTCATCATGGAGATTGTCATTGGTACCGTACAAATTTTAACCCCTATTTGTTGTAAGTACTTAAATTTTGATGATGAGTAAGTTTTTTAGGAAGCATCAAAAACATTAAAAAGAATTAAAAATATACAGATTTTCATCTGTATAAGGTTCAGAACAAAATATTTAGCAAGCCATTGTTGTTCAAATACATAAGAAGCTATAATACCAAAACGGCCTATAAATAATCAATATAACTTGTACTATGATCAGTTCAATCAAGTGAATTATGGTAGTAACCACAACAACAAAACAATTCTGTCTTCTTTTAATGTCTGTATACTAATCTTACCTCCATGACAAACTGTCCTGTATAGGTTCCTGTCATGGTAGAACTTTGGCCTGCTGCTAAAATTCCTACTGCCCATATATACATTGCTGCTATCCCAAACTGACATCCCAAAAACACACCCTAAAATCAAGAAAAAGTCTTTGACTGTATATATGTACAAATTTTTGTTGGTTTAAATTTTCATTGATTAAATTTTTTAACTTTTGAAGGGTACCCTCATTCATGATTGCACCTTTTCAAAGTCTCAAAAATTGGTATTACCACAAGTATTTCGCTTCCTGGTTTCAATCTATCAATTTTCTTGGATGAAGAAAATATTTTTTATCATGGTGTTCACAAATTCTGCCAAATGACAGCCTAAAGGAATATTTTTTTAACAGTTGAATCCTTAGTAAGTATACGCTAATACTTTTAAAATTTATTTTTCTAAACCTTTGCTTTTATTGAGTACTAAAAATATTGTAGAGAGAAATGTGATTCGATAATTGTAAATGGTAAAGATAATAATTTATACATACCCCTCTATAAATATCAACATTCACCTCTGTTACCTGCAAATGGAGGAAACATATTTTATACACTGGAAATTTCATCTTATATTGTATAATCTACAACTAATCTATCTAAATTAGTTTGAAATTAAGGACACAACGGAAACAATAGGGTGGCTAGTTACATCCTTGTCATTTGGTCTTTGGTGGATAGCTGTCTCATTGTCAGTCATATCATCTTCTTATTTTTATATTAATCCCTGACCTTTCACCTTTCAACACTAGACACTTCTCTTTTTTACTGATATAAACTTAATGATATTAGATAAAATAAACTCTTGACACAGAGATATGTCTTCAATGGACAGCAACATTGCTAATTAATTCAAAGTTGCTGAACCATGACATAGAGGGCAGCCTGTCAAAATGATTGTCAAACTGATATGTACTGATAACTGAAATTATCATTGTCTATCATATGTAGTTCCTATCAAACTAACTTAAGGATGTACACCTCTGAGGAGCCAAACATTTCTAGAATTAAACTTTTTTTCTTAACCTGATTTTCGGGTTTATATGACTGTAAAAAAATAATTGGTGAAGAAAAAATCATATGGTGGTGCACTTCTTTTTTTGCTACGGCCATTCGAAAGTACCCAATGTTGATGATTTTCTCATTTTTCATCAATTTTTACCTTTTTTTGGGCTATTATTATGAAAAAAATCAGTTTCACAATCACCAATCTGAATAAATTTAACTTAAAAAACTATAGGTAGGTGTTAATATAAGAAAGTTCTATAAAATTTTGTTGCTTTTTCGTGTCAAATTTACCATGCTGTCAATTTTGTAAATTTGGGATTTTTCTCTTTTTTTATTTCAACTTCTTTGTTATAAATGATTGAAAAAATACATATCTAAGAAATTTGAAAAAGAAAAAAAATGATATGGGATGTACATGTTTCTGGCAAAATCATTTCTTGTACCCCTCACCTATTTTCTCAACATTTTGGCTAATGAGACTGACTTGATTGGTTATAAAATTTGAAAATTTTATTACTCAAAAACTACTCATTGTAAATACACAATTTTTTCATAGAGTTAAGTTTGATTATAATATTTTTTAAATTCATTGATATTTTCCACTTGTATCACATGTTTTGGAAATATTTTCAGAACGAAATTTCAACGAGACTGAAATGTCAGAGGAATACATCCTTAAGCAAAAAAACCTTAACATTTAAAATTCAAGTTATCACATGGAATTAACATAAAGTTCTGTTTTCCAATCAATCAAGGACCATAACTCCCAAACAGCAACATCCTTAATATAAATCTTGACTTCCATTTCGTCATGAGAAACAGCAAATTAAAATTTGAAAAGGATTAACTTTTTTTGTAAGTAAGACAAATACCAAACTAATATCATTGCTCATACTTACATTAAATAAATGTGCATAAGGATTCCCTTCTGCCAAACATTTATTGTACTGAAAGTGAAAAAAAAAGTTTATTAATCTTGTATCTATTAGTGTATTATATTTTTCATATCCTTTTATTTAACTTACAGGGGTAACTTTGACAAATGACTCATGGACCTTTTGCCTGTGTGCATAAATCATAATAATAATTCTAAAACTATCATTGTTTATAAGTAAATTTAATGTTACCTGTGAAATTATGCCTATATTTCATATTCCATTCTGTAAAAATTTGTTTGGATATATATATATATGATAAATTTAAATTAGAAAAATAAGAAAATTTCTGCACAAAATTCTAATCTAAAGTTTGAAATTTATTTGTGTTTTGCTATTCATCACAGAAAATTATGATATTATTAAAAGCTATACCATTCATTTAAAAAGATTTTAAGACAAAAAACACTCAATGCGAGCATACAATTGTACAGATTTTAAAATCAGTTATACACTTTAGACTTATTTTTCAAACAACAAACATATTTCTTAAGAAAAACACTATTTTCTGTCATTATAACTACACTAATTTGGAAAAGCAGGCTGTTGGTTTACAACTAACATTTACACTCCAATAAATTTCACTCAAATGAACTTATTCATGTAAAAATGTTCAAATAAGACTCAACTCTAAAGTTTTCAAATCAAGTTTCTTGCGTTAAAGTAAGTGAGACAACCCATACTTACTATATCTTCAGGACGACGGCCATAGAAACCTTCAGCAAAAACTGATGTAACAAAGACATTAATGATAAATGAGACCAGTAAGGCGATGGCTGCTTCTATAAAGAAATATTTGTTGGCTTCACTCACTTCTTCTTTCTTTGTTCTATCTACATCTCGAGACTGAAATTATAACAGTTTAAAATAATCAGGCATTCCTTATTGAATACTTTAATCATTTTGAGTGAAATGTAGACTATACCTGTAGAATTCTTATTAAAAACAGGACATAACTTCCTAATTTTTTAAGTTGATGTTGTTTATAGAGCCTGTAAAGATAAGATCCATGTAAACTCATTGATCCCATGAAAAACTAATTTTCTTCAAGTTTATCAATTTGACACCTTAGCATAATCTTTAAACATTGTTTTTGAAAAATTCAAACATCACTAAAAATAGATGTACAGTTATGAGTACTTGTGATCTTACATTCTATCTATATAGCTGTTTACCTATATTTTGGCACTAGGTCATTCATTTAGATTGTTTATGACATCTTTACACTAAATCCATTTGGATGTGTACTGATTGATGCTTAAGTCTGGGAGAACTTGATTTAATCATGTTGTGCTTCTTACCGATCTACCGAGTTTTTGCGATTTGCAATGGATTATTACATTTTTTCTTATGTTGTGCTGTTACACCACAGTCCCAGGTTAGGGGAATGTCGAGCGATCAGAAACATGTTTAACCCTGCCACATTCTTTATGTGCCTGTCCCAAGTCAGGAGCCTTTAATTTAGCGGTTGCTGATGGTTCATGTTTGTCATAATTGTTTTTTGTATATTGAATTGTTATAAATTAGGTTACAAGTTTTCTCTTTTGAATAGTTTCCTATTTTTCAGGTCAAGGCCTTTTATAGCTGACCATACAGTATGGGTTATTCTCATTGTTGTACTGAGCTGTGACCTATAACTGCTTATGTCTTCTGAACTTTTGAAAAATTGTCTCATTGACAATCATTCCACATCTCCTTATTTTTATGATACTGTTTTACAAATGTATCAAAATGTTTAAGAAACATGTGCAAAGTGTATACATTGTATTGTTTTCAAAATACTATGGAAAATCACAGAAGATTTATAGGCCGAAAAAGAGCCAAAATGATTTTTTGTTAACTCAAAGATAAATCATTTACTTATGAAATATATCAGTGAGTACAAGTTCATGATATTTAAAGTAGGTGTTTTTGATTAAGATGAATGTTTCATTTTTTTATTTTTTCAAATTCCCAAAATTTACAATCACAAAATTTGGTATTGCAAAACAATTTTTTATTTTAAATAACATATCTGACAGCCCTGACCATATGTTATATAGACATGATATCAAAATTGTGTTGGAAATTTATCTAAGTGGACATGCAGAAAATTGAAGTTATGTTTACCTGTAATTATGTACAACTTAAACCTACCTTGACAAGAGCAGAATGAAGATATATATTATGTGGCATGATAATAGCACCAATTATTCCTACAGCTTGTAAAATTTGTTTGGGTCCACAATCTGCACAGCCTGGTACAAAAAGTCCCTTTAATAGTGAAGGCTGGTCTGGAGCGACAACAACATACTGTAATAGAAATTAATAACAAGTTATAGCATTAACAACCTTTTATAATCCAAGGTTTTTCACTATGATTTATACTGTTAAGATAGCTGGGGTGTCTAAATGTTTGACAATAGATTTTTCTTTAACTTCTGTAAAAGACTTATGGGGCAATGTACTCTCAAATTACAATATAAAAACTGGGGTCACGATTAACGACCTTGTTTTTTTGTTAAAATGCATTGAAATTTTGAAATTAAGGAAATCACAGTTATTTTATAAGGGTTATATAGGGAATATTCAATTTTTCCTTATTGAGGAAACATTAAACGATAGAATTGGTTTAAATTCGACGAGAGAATTGCTTTTCATAGATACTTTCGAAAAATCAAATAAAAATAGGGGTCATGGGCCTTATTTTCTGGAAAAATAAAAAAAACATAAATTGTCCTATCAATTTCAATGTAATTATTTGCCCTTGATTTTAAAAGGATTTTTTGTTCTGAAATTTTAAATACACTTAATGTCACTTAATTTTTTGATCGTTTAATCTTGAAATTTGAAGTTTTATATGTTACTTTTGTCTGTTGAATGATACTTGGTAAAATATTTCTAAACCAAAAGAGTATTTTTGCAAATCCCCAGAATGGATGTTAAGAAAAAAATACCTGATCTACCTTACAGAAAAATGTAAGTTACATATGTATACTGTATTCTGTATATCAGTGATGGACATTTACATATATAGTGGTAATGTAGTTGTTCAAGCAAGATAAAAATTGAATTGATGTTTTGTTTGTTTTTTTTCAAAATCTTTTGACACAGCCCACATATACTAACATACAATATATATGTTATATATGAACAATATATATGTTATATATCAACAATATATATGTTATATATCAACAATATATATGTTATATATCAACAATATATATGTTATATATCAACAATATATAAAACATTCAGAAATATACGAAGGAAGATGTGGAGTGCATTTCAATGATGCAGCAACCCAACAACACTAAGAGTACACACTTGTACACTAATATGGCTTGCTTGCTTCACTTATGTTGAATGTCTTTATGATATAGGTTTTTCTACAAGTATCACTTAAACTTAACACATTATTGATGATCCATATCACAATATGTCCATACACCAAATATAGTTAAACTATTGCTTATTATATCTGAGAAAAAGACCTAACCACAAAAACTTAAGACTGACAAATGAACCATGAAAATTAGGTCAAGGTCAGAAGGACCCTGCCAGACATACATGTTAACCTTACAATCATTCCATGCACCAAATATTGTTGACCTTTTGCTTAAAGTATCTGAGAAACATGAACTAGCCACAATTATTATTAACCAATGAACCATGAAAATGAGGTCAGATAAACTCTGCATGATGGAAATGTATACCTGACAATCATTCCATATGCCAAATATATGTGAGCTATTGCTTATAGTATCAGAGATATGGAATTGACCACAAAAAACTCATTATTGACAAATGAGGCATGAAAATGAGATCAAGCTCATATGAACCCTCCCAGAAGGACGTGTACACCTTACAATCATTTCATATGTCAAAATATAGTTCCTCACTTACTATGCATTGCATTTACTTTGCTAAATTCATCCATACCACCTTTTATATCTAATAACTGGCAACCAAGCTGTAATAATCCAATTCGCTGATTATCTTTATGTATATATATATATATATATATACCCAAGTCTAAATTGAAATCAACGTTCAAACCTATGATTGCGTTGGATAAAAACCGCAATTTTTATACATGTGCATGCAAAACAAATTTCTTGGTAGAGGGGTCTAAATACAGCACAACAACATTTACCAAAAGACCAAAAAGTGAAAAAGTATATTTTAACAAAATGCATTTGACTAGCAGGTCGAACAACGGATGTTCTTAAACCCTGCTGACTGCCATGGCGATTGCCAAATAAACAGATCACAGATGTAACAAAATGGATCTTAATTTTAATCTAATACCAAATACAAAACAAAAAACTTGCGGAAAAGATGGTATACCGCAAACATGAGGTGCAAAAATTTGTACACCATATCCGGATTTCGACAATTAATGTCTCTTCAGTGATGTTAGGAATCGAAACGGTATTTGGAAGGCCATATAATTTACCTCAATTTGGGATTGACTCTTGAATTTTGAAGAGTCGAAATAGGATGAACGGATCATATAAACCCGAAGGCAAATATAATACAAGCCCAAACGAAAAAATATAAACAAGTCTAAATTGAAAACATCGTTCAAACCTATGATTGCGTTGGATAAAAACCGCAATTTTTATACGTGTGCATGCAAAATAAATTTCTTGGTAGAGGGGTCTAAATACAGCACAACAACATTTACCAAAAGACCAAAAAGTAAAAAAGTATATTTTAACAAAACGCATTTGACTAGCAGGTCGAACAACAGATGTTCTTAAACCCTGCTGACTGCCATGGCGATTGCCAAATAAACAGATCACAGATGTAACAAAATGGATCTTAATTTTAATCTAATACCAAATACAAAACAAAAAACTTGCGGAAAAGATGGTATACCGCAAACATGAGGTGCAAAAATTTGTACACCATATCCGGATTTCGACAATTAATGTCTCTTCAGTGATGTTAGGAATCGAAACGGTATTTGGAAGGCCATATAATATATATATATAAAAATTGCGGTTTTTATCCAACGCAATCATAGGTTTGAACGTTGTTTTCAATTTAGACTTATTCATATTTTTTCGTTTGGGCTTATATTATATTTGCCTTATATGGCAATATATACGGTTTATATGATCCGTTCATCCTATTTCAACTCTTCAAAATTCAAGAGTCTATCCTAAATTGAGGTAAATTATATAGCCTTCTAAATACCGTTTCGATTCCTAACATCACTGAAGAGACATTAATTGTCGAAATCCGGATATGGTGTACAAATTTTTGCATCTCATGTTTGCGGTATACCATCTTTTCTGCAAGTTTATTGTTTTCTGTTTGGTATTAAATTAATAATAAAGATCCATATTGTTACATCTTGTGATCCGTTTATTTGGCAATCGCCAATGGCAGTCAGCAGGGTTTAAGAACATCTGTTGTTCGACCTAATAGTCAAATGCGTTTTGTTTAAATATACTTTTTCACTTTTTTGGTATTTTGGAAAATGTTGTTTATGCTGTATTTAGACCCCTCTACCAAGAAATTTTTTTTGCATGCATACGTATAAAAATTGCGGTTTTTATCCAACGCAATCATAAGTTTGAACGTTGTTTTCAATTTAGTCATTTTCAAAAGACCAAAAAAGTGAAAAAGTAAATTTTTACTATATATGTACAATATTTTTGCTTCATACCTCATAACCAAATGTTACTGCCATCACTGTGATGAGGAATGTGAAGAAGAATTCTAATTTACGTAAACCAAATTTGTCCAAAAACAGGAACGTAAAAGTGTCAAAAATTGTGATCAATACACCAGCATACAATGGTATTCTAAAATTAAAAACGTTATTCATGATAACAATTTAATACAAATTTATCTTTGCAACAATAATGTTTCAAAGCATCAAAATGTAAAAAGGCCCCAAAAAATAAACAGCCAACACCATCCAACATGTCCAAGGGTATCTTTGGTATTTCTTGATTTAAAAAAAGCCTTTGACAATGTTTCATATGATAAACCATTAGTATTACTATTAAGATTATTTTTTGACTTGATGCAATGGTTCACTTTATATCTGTCAGAAAGATTGCAAAAAGTAATAAAAGATAATGTAGAAATGATTTCAAGAGATATTCATTTTGGGGTTCCTCAGTGTAACATAATTGGACCTATACTCTTTCTTTTATACAGTAATGATTTACCTTTCTTTTCCTTTAACTTCTTTAATATAGTAATGATTGACCCTTATTTTCATGGAACTGAATGGTGCTGTGCACTCATATGCAGATATAGACATGGATGTGTACACCAGAGATACTCTAAATAGTCCTCCATAAACTTTTTTGAAGAAAATAATCATTGGTAAGAAATGTAAACCTGTCATTGATGATGAAACAAATGTTGGTGGAGTAAAACTATTCACTGACATTAAGTGAGACAAAAGTATTCAAACATTCATTAAATATTCTGATGGAATGATTCAGTATGATTCATATGCTTTGACAGTGATGTACAAATGTAAACGGTATAACTTACTTTCCATTAGACAGTAAATAAAATGCGATGGCTGTTCCTATAACCTCTTGCATATCAGAACCTAAAATAAATAAATAATGAAGCAGTTTAAAATTTTCTGTGGTTCCAAATTGTTGAATAAATGACATTAGACAATATGAGGTAAACATCTCTTTTTATCATTTATCATATATATGTACTGTAAAGTGGGGAACTTCAAGGGTTTTTTTTCTCTCTAATTTCACAATAAAATAAGGAAAAAATACCCTTGCATATTTTTTTTCTTTAAAGAAGGGCAATATATGCCCTCAATTTTAGAATTTTTATTATTCAAAATTATCAGTCAATATGTATTCAACAACGATCACCAGTCCTTCACCTTTTTGTTTTAAATATGTACTACTTTCCAGTATGTTCTATTTTGACCAGGCCCGATTTGGTGGTGTTACATCTTACAAAGTCTATCCGAATTATTTTGCAAAGAATCCTATTCCAACCTGTGCTAGGGGCCGTCTTCAACTTGCAGTGATGTGAGAGATTTTTTTTTTTTTTTGCTCCATGTTGAAGGCCTCACTGTGACACTGAGATGAAGAACAGCAATAAAAGTGCTGTTCCTTTGCATTTTGTGTGTTTTTTGCTGTGCATGTACTGATTTTGTGTCATGGATGGATACCCATTATCCTTTGTTCTTCTATTACAATGATGTGAAGACAAGAAAAAATAAAACCTCGCTAACATGTTTTGAACCAGAAATCATGCAATTTAAACTTTGCAACAACATTCAACTTTACGGTTTACTCATTTTCTCCTAAATATTTATAAAAAAGGCTCTGACATGACAAAATGTAAAACAATTCAAGATATACATTACATATATACATTCAGTTGATATTTTATAGTGTGTCTTTCTATGTTGTGATGTTACACTATTGTTTCAGGAAAAAGGGTGAAGGTTTGGTACCATTAAAACGTTTAAACCCGCTGCATTTGTTTGCACCTGTCCTAAGTCAGGAATCTGATGTTCAGTAGTTGCCGTTTGTTGATGTGGTTCATAAGTGTTTCTCGTTTCTCGTTTTTTATATAGATTAGACCGTTGGTTTTCCCGTTTGAATGGTTTTACACTAGTAATTTTTTGGGGCCCTTTATAGCTTACTGTTCGGTGTGAGCCAAGGCTCCGTGTTGAAGACCGTACTGTGACCTATAATGGTTTACTTTTATAAATTTTTACTTGGATGGAGAGTTGTCTCATTGGCACTCATACCACATCTTCTTATATCTATATGTCCAAAATTTTGAAAAAACAATATATTTCTACCTTTAAACACAAAAAACTTAAATTCTCCTTAAATTTTTATGTACAGGTAATCCATTTTTCCACTGAATAACTAAAATCTCCTGATTTTGGAAAGTTAATTCTTCAACCTGTTACCTGCAGGTGATATAATTTGTTTGAAGGGAAATTATTCAATATCTTCTGTCTGGGGTCTTGATTTAAAAATAATCAAAGAATGCTTTTGTTGTTATCTAAAGACATGAAGATACCACTTAATAATAAAATTGAGAATGGAAATGGGGAATATGTCAAAGAGACAACAACCCGACCAAGGAACAGACAACAGCTGAAGGCCACCAATGGGTCTTCAATGCAGCGAGAAAATTCCGCACCTGGAGGTGGTCCTCAGCTTATTTCCCTTTCAATCAACAATATAAAGCATAAAGCATAAAACAGTTGCTGTAAGAGATTTTGAACTGGTAGTGTGGGTCATAAGATTGCTTGAAAGCCTTGAACTGGTAGTGTAAGTCATAAGATGGCTTGAAAGCCTTGGACTGGTAGTATAGGTCATAAGATTGCTTGAAGGCCTTGAACTGGTAGTGTAGGTCATAAGATTGCTTGAAAGCCTTGAACTGGTGGTGTAGGTCATAAGATTGCTTGAAAGCCTTGAACTGGTGGTGTAGGTTATAAGATTGCTTGAAAGCCTTGAACTGGTGGTGTAGGTCATAAGATTGCTTGAAAGCCTTGGACTGGTAGTGTAGGTCATAAGATTGCTTGAAAGCCTTGAACTGGTGGTGTAGGTCATAAGATTGCTTGAAAGCCTTGGACTGGTAGTGTAGGTCATAAGATTGCTTGAAAGCCTTGAACTGGTGGTGTAGGTCATAAGATTGCTTGAAGGCCTTGAACTGGTAGTGTAGGTCATAAGATTGCTTGAAAGCCTTGAACTGGTGTGTAGGTCATAAGATTGCTTGAAAGCCTTGAACTGGTGGTGTAGGTCATAAGATTGCTTTAAAGCCTTGAACTGGTGGTGTAGGTCATAAGATTGCTTGAAAGCCTTGGACTGGTAGTGTAGGTCATAAGATTGCTTGAAAGCCTTGAACTGGTGGTGTAGGTCATAAGATTGCTTGAAAGCCTTGAACTGGTGGTGTAGGTCATAAGATTGCTTGAAAGCCTTGGACTGGTAGTGTAGGTCATAAGATTGCTTGAAAGCCTTGAACTGGTGGTGTAGGTCATAAGATTGCTTGAAAGCCTTGAACTGGTGGTGTAGGTCATAAGATTGCTTGAAAGCCTTGAACTGGTGGTGTAGGTCATAAGATTGCTTGAAAGCCTTGAACTGGTGGTGTAGGTCATAAGATTGCTTGAAATCCATCTTATAGCAATAATATAATATAAAAGTTTACCTATAATAGCTATTTCTATCATTATCCATAAGATGATACGAGGAACTTTCCCATATCTTTTATAGCAAATTTCTGCCAAGTGGAAACCTGACACAACTCCTAATCTGGCAGAAAGTCGTTGCATCAACAGTCCTAGAAATGTGGCAGACATTAGCACCCATAACAACTATAAAAAAAAGAAACATCTTGAAGAATCAAATATGTTTATTTCAAAAAATTACTTGTAAAGTATGCATACAGGTTTAAGACCATAAAAATAAAATTCACAATTTTAAAGGGTTTTAATTTGTAAAAGAAAATAAAATGAAGATCCTTGCAAATTTAAATGATTCATTAAGTGTTGAAAGATGGTCAATGTACATATTAAGGTGTCTATCTATTATTTGCTGATCCTTCAAAGTTCATGATGAATATTTGAGCAAAAGATAGCTTCTTTGAATTATTTTTTATACATATATGAAAAATTCAAAAAACCATTTAATTTCAAACTTTTCATCAAGACAGATCAATTTTCAAAGGTGGCCTAGTAGCCAAACAACTATAAGGTAAACTGGTACTTGTGTATTATAACAAACAATCTGTGTCTTCCTAGCAGAACTTATATATTATCATAAAGATAATATGACCATCTGGGGGGGGGGGGGGGATTATCATAAAACTTACTTTAAATCTAGCAACAGAACCAGCTTGTAAATCTGATTCTATATTTCCAGGGTCAAGGTATGCTATACTCATTAAGAAACCAGGCCCTGTGAAAGCCCACAACTTTCTAAAGCTAAAACGGGTCTGCAAAATAAAAGCATACAAAATATTAGGTGATAATTTTCTATCCTGGTGTCAAGGTATGCTATACTCATAAGGAAACCAGGCCTTGTGAAAGCCAACAACTTTCTCTAGCTAAAACATGTCTGCAAAAAAAGTGCCCTATGCCAGCGGCTCATCCCTACCACTCCACATTATTAGTGGCAGCCAAAGAACTGCCATCACATGTTTATGAATGTCAATATGTTAAAAGCTTGACATACTATTCAGAATGGAAGAAAAGGTCTATTCGATTCATGAAAATGTGTACCCACGATAGAAATGATCTACAGTATGAGCCCTGCAGGATTCAAAACTATCTTTCATTTGAAATATCAGTGTGAACACGACTTATATCCTACTTAAAATAACTTTGTTTTCAAATATCATTATTTTGAAATATGTCATCTTGAATATGCAAAGTACATAATGCATAAAATAAAAATCAATCAAATGTTTTTAATGAACATATATATATATATATATATATATATATATATATATATATATATATATATATATATATATATATAAACAAGTCTAAATTGAAAACAACATTCAAACCTATGATTGCGTTGGATAAAAACCGCAATTTTTATACATGTGCATGCAAAACAAATTTCTTTCTAGAGGGGTCTAAATACAGCACAAACAACATTTTCCAAAAGACCAAAAAAGAGAAAAAGTATATTTTAACAAAACGCATTTGACTGGCAGGTCGAACAACGGATGTACTTAAACCCTGCTGACTGCCATGGCGATTGCCAAATAAACGGATCACAGATGTAACACAATGGATCTTAATTATATTAATTTAATACCAAACAGAAAACAATAAATTGCGGAAAAGATAGTATACCGCAAACATGAGGTGCAAAAATTATAAGTACGTCTGAACCAGTGACAACTCTACAACAGATTTATCCATCGGATCACCAGCAGTGATGGTGATACATGGCTGTGTACATTCTGTATATACAACTCATCTAAACATCAGCCCAACAATGTTAGATCTGTAAATTTGCTTTCGCAAGCAAATTTACAGATCTAACATTGTTGGGCTGATGTTTAGACGAGTTGTATATATATATATATATATATATATATATATATATATATATATATATATATATATAAGTCTAGAGACTTATATAATTTTTTCCTTATCTGCACAGTATCGTCTATTCTAGATGATCCGGTACATAGTAAATTTGCTGGTTGGTCCTTTTTATAGACTTCTATATATATATATATATATATAAAACACAATTGCTGTAATCTGAAAAAATAGAAACATTCAGTCTTTAAAATAACAGTGTTAACACTTTAGAAATTAATAGCAAAACACTTAAAATCAATTTATTTTATACATACAGGACATACAACAAAAATATTCAAAAAGTATCAGGTTGAGCGCTCACAAACATGTTTAACCCCACCACATTCTTTATGTGCCTGTCCCAAGTCAGGAGCCTGTAGTTTAGTGGTTGTCGTTGGTTCATGTCTTGTAATATTTGTTTTTTGTAAATTGTTTTGTTATAAATTATGCCGTTAGTTTTCTCAATTGAATTGTTTCATATTTTTCATGTCAGGGCCTTTTATAGCCATCTAAACAGTATGGGTCTTTCTCATTGTTGAAGGCTGTGCGGTGCCTATAATTGCTTACATCCACTTTATTTGAACTTTAGTGGATAGTAGTCTCATTGAAAATCATACCACATCCATATTTTTATATCAACAGATTTTTATTGATTGCCTTTAGATTTAAGTCAATGACTGCTAGTGATTGAATGTTTATTCAAATATCTGTTGTCTGCACATTTACCTGAGGAACATCAGGTATTTGGATTTTCTGGTCAAAATATGTGGATGCCACAGAAGTAAATTGTTTCTCCTCTTGTCCATCCTGTTGAACATCTCCATTACCAGAATCATTCTTCTCCATCACACCTTCATTTCCAGGATCATTATCAATCACATCTGATGAATCTGCCATCATCTATATATTACATCAGATCTGCAATTAGAAAGATAGACTTTCAAAAACAATGTATGTCATCCCTTTCTGTATTACATCTGCAACAACAATTTAAGTCCTCCCCTATTCACAGTATCACATCTGTAACAAGAGAACAATGTATGTCCTCCCCTATTCACAGTATCACATCTGTAACAAGAGAACAATGTATGTCCTCCTCTTCTCACAATATTACATCTGCAACAAGAAAACAATGTCTGTCCTACCCTATTCACAGTATTACATCTGTAACAAGAGAACAATGTCTGTCCTCCCCTATTCACAGTATTACATCTGTAACAAGAGAACAATGTCTGTACTACCCTACTCACAATATTACATCTGTAACAAGAGAACAATGTATGTCCTACACTATTCACAGTATTACATCTGTAACAAGAGAACAATGTCTGTCCTACCCTATTCACAGTATTACATCTGCAACAAGAGAACAATGTATGTCCTACCCTATTCACAGTATTACATCTGCAACAAGAAAACAATGTATGTCCTCCTCTATTCACAGTATCACATCTGCAACAAGAGAACAATGTTTGTCCCCCCCTATTCACAGTATTGTAACATCTGTAACAAGAGAACAATGTTTGTCCTCCCCTATTCACAGTATCACATCTGTAACAAGAGAACAATGTCTGTCCCCCCTTACTAACAGTATTACATCTGCAACAAGAGAACAATGTATGTCCTCCCCTATTCACAGTATTACATCTGCAACAAGAGAACAATGTACAATGTATGTCCTACCCTATTCACAGTATTACATCTGCAACAAGAGAACAATGTCTGTCCTACCCTATTCACAGTATTACATCTGCAACAAGAGAACAATGTATGTCCTCCCCTATTCAGTGTTACATCTGTTACAAGAAAACAATGTTTGTCCTCCCCTATTCACAGTATCACATCTGTAACAAGAGAACAATGTCTGTCCCCCCTTACTAACAGTATTACATCTGCAACAAGAGAACATCGTATGTCCTCCCCTATTCACAGTATAACATCTGTAACAAGAGAACAATGTATGTCCTATCCTATTCACAGTATTACATCTGCAACAAGAGAACAATGTCTGTCCTACCCTATTCACAGTATTACATCGATTACAAGAGAACAATGTATGTCCTCCCCTATTCACAGTATTACATCTGTGGAACCCAGTGTCTAGCCTACTTTTGCTGTTAGTCACAGGCTCAACAAAAATGGGGAAAAAATTATTAAAAATTTTGTTATAGATACTATCTTTTGATTGTAAGAAGCTTCTGTCCAAGTTTGGTAAAAATCCAGAATGGTTTATGAATCTAATAAATGTTTTAAAAACTTTAACTACAGACTGTATGTAATGTTAACTGGAAGGAAAACTAAGTCCATTTATAAGTAATATACGGAAAAACAGGAAAATATATTTTTACAAAATTTCATTCTAGATACTAGCTTATGATCATAAACAAGCTTCTGTCTAAGTTTGGTACAAATCTAGGATAGTTTAAGAAAGTTATTAAAATTTTAAAAACTTTAACCACAGAGTGAATGTAATGTTAACTGGCAGAAAAACTAAGTCCATTTATAAGTAAAATATGGAAAAACAGGATTTATTTTTTTCAAAATTTACTTCTGGATACTATCTTATGATCATAAACAAGCTTCTGTCCAAGTTTGGTTAGAAATCCAGGATAGTTTAAGAAAGTTATTAAAATTTCAAAAACTTTAACCACAGAGTGAATATTTGTGGATGCCGCCGCAGACGGAATGTAGGATCGCTATGTCTCGCTTTTGCGACAAAAGTCGCAGGCTCAACAAAAATCTTAAAATTTGATAAATAGGTCCATTGTAGAATGACAAAATAAAGCATCGGTTGTCTCCCAAGTACACTTCATACTCAATATTACAAATATTCCATTACATCAAAAGCAAACTTACAAAACTTCTTGTACATTTTCTCAATGATTTATTCATCTATTTCAATTAAATTGGTTTTACTGTATGATGAAATATATTCATGAGGGTCAGTCTCATCATGAGGTTTTGGGTGTAAAGGTTTTAGAAGCTTTGCATAATTAAAAGTATGCCTTTATTAAACCTCTTGTTATAGAGGTTTTGATTAGCATTCAAGGAATATATATTTGAAGCTGAAAGGCTGACACCGTAAGTATACCTTTCAGGCATTGCATGGGTCAATTACAATCAAAGTAATTAATTACCAATCAATTACATTGCAAAAAGCTTCAATTTAAATAAAATAACATTTTCCATTTTAGAAACATGATTATTTACAATTACTTTAGAAATGTAATTAATTACATAATTACAATTACTTAGAAATGTAATTAATTACGATTACTTAAATTTAATACATGCTTTAGAAATGTAATTAATTACAATTTTACTTTAGAACAATTACAATCACTTAAAAAATTCTCTGCTGTACAAAACTAATTCGTTTAATGGCAATCTGTAGAAAAATTGTATTGTGTAGTGATAGCTGGTAATAGTGGTCCCTTTATCATTGCATTCTCAAGTGCCTGTGTGTTGTATTGTTAACAATAAAAATGCTACACACACACAAATGAAATAATAAGTCAAAATTTAATGAAAATAACGTTCCACGTGTTTCAAAAACTATTAATAAATTAATGACAAATAGACTCCGTTTAAACCCGATGAACTGAAGTGAAGTGTCAACAACTAATGTCTATGACTGACAGTCATGACACGACACTCAAAATATTAAAAATACATAATATAGATGGAGACATTTTGTAATTTGTCTTGTAATGATATTAAAACATAACAATACCTTAAAAGCTGAATATTAAATGACTATATTACATTTCGTTGAGATTTTTACTTGGTTACAGTGCCAGTTGAATACAGGATCTACCTTTGAACGTGCAGACGGGCACCTGATCTGTGATATAATAATTACCTCCCCTTGATTAAATCTTTTACAGAGAAGATTAAAAGGGTCAGAAACTCATCTGGACCGCATTGGGCGCTCAGAAAACATATTTTCCAGAAGAAAATGCCAACAGATGGTAAAAAATCGGCAAAACAAAGAGAAGAATTGGACAAAAAGGTTGTATCCCTTCGAGAACCTTCAATATTTTGTGATATTTGGTCAAATAGGTCGATAGTGTGACCAAATTCTTACAATTTCTGTCTATAAACTGAACATCTGAAGCTTATTGTCTATTGAATATCCATCATGTTTAGGGAAAGATTACTTTCTTGCTACTTATGACCCATACCACCACTTTATTCCAAAGTTCCCACTCAATCTGACTATGTTGTTTTTTTCCAAAGATCAAGTTGAAATTTTTTATTCTAGTAAAAATGATTCGTTAGGTCTTTTCACCACCGAACAGGTCAGGAATAACCACCAATTGGTGGACTATACCTCAATTGACGTATAATCCACCAATTGACATATATTGGTATAGACCAATTGACGTATAATGCAAGTTTTTTGTAATAAAACGCTAGTCTGGGATAGGAGCATCATTTTGCAACTTGCAACCTATTTTATAACCATTATTGAATCCTCCTAAAGTTTTAGTTTTGTCAAAGCCTGCTGCATCTCTTGAGAATGCATGTGTATAACAATTCTTTTGTTAAAACATCTGTACTATTGGCCATGATTGACTTTTAATAATGAAAGTCAAGTATTAACAAAGAGCTCCATTCACCTGGTGAGTTGTACTCAAAATCACATGACTGAAGACAGTATTGATGTCCATTGACCGGTGATTAGTGGAAAATTTACCAATCAAGAATTGACAAGATAACAATAGAAGAAACTGCAAATACAATTATTGATTAAATGCAATATGTTATGTCACTATACTTAACTAGGAATGTTTGACATGTTTTCATACCATAATATGGTTATAAGAAAACAATGCTCCATTTTGGTTGTATAGTTTGTTTTGAAATACAAAGAACTATACTTCAATTGGTCTATACCATTATATGTCAATTGGTGGATTATACGTCAATTGAGGTATAATCCACCAATTGGTGGTTATTCCTGACCTGCCGAACACCGCCGAACACCACCGAAGTTCGAACACCCAAAAAATTTATTTTTTCTAACTCTTATTGTTATAAATGTGACCTAAATATAATATTTAAGTTATTAATTCAACAAATAATAAGGTTAAGAGAACAAATATCTACATCGAACAGAAAAGGAGAGTCTATAACACTACAACTCTGCAAACCACCACTGGACACCTCAAATAATTTGTTTTCTTCTTTTATAAAATAGTTGTACCATATTAGGTCCGAGTACACAGTTGTCGTCCTTTGATTTTCGTTGTCCACGAATATAATCCCTAGTGTGGACAGTGTGTTACTTGCCAATTTTTTTTATACCCCTTCCAAATTTATTTCTCCATGTTTTATGACTCAAATAGCAAGTAGGGGGGTGAAATGACACTTTAAAAAAATTTGGGTCATGAATTTTAAAGTAAAGTAGTGATTTGGTCCAGCTGAAAAATGTTAAAAATTAGCACTTCGGAAGCTGTCAAAAGATTTGAAGACCCCCTTAACATAAAATTGTCCATATTTTGAGTTAGAGCTGATGAAGTTTTCTATAATTTTGATATAATTTGTCCCAAAAGTAGTACAACACACTGTAAAAATATTATTGAGAAAGCGCAGGTGGGATTTTTTAAATTTTCATTTATTGTCTAAAAGAAATGCACTACGAAATAACTGTGTACTCGGACCTAAGAGGTGAAATCAGGAAATATAGAATCTGTACTTTGGCAACTTCCCTGAATGATTTGATGGTGTCAATTTGTCAAATAGCATAAAACTAAAGGATTTAAACTTTTATTTGATAGAATTTCTTCAAAAATGACCAATTTGGGCATATTATGGTCAAAATAAGCATTTCATAGCTTTTTCAATTTTGATGCATAAGTGGCATTCTGACTTTCTATCTGACAGGTTTTTATGTGTCAATATTTGTGTTTCTATGCTTCAATCCAGTTGTATTACTCATTTGTGAACTCTGAATCTACAGAAAAGAAGATTATTTCAGACAATATGTGCAAAATGTGTTGTATATATGACCCTCATCTAACGCCCTGTTTGGATCAAGTTAAATGTGAGGAGCTTGGAACATAAAAGTTGAAGTCCATAATAAAGACCTCACTAAATTTGTATAAAAAGCACTTTACAATGTCTTCTGTACCTGTTTCATTTCACATAATATCTTTCTTTTCTTCTGTAGGATAGCAAGTGGTTCAAATATAAGCCTGTTGAGACTAAAATTGCATGCATGTTTTTCACTAAAAAGTGAAAAATCTTTGTATCAGACCATACTGTCTGCAAAAAAAGTTGAATGCAAGAGTCTTTTTGTGCTCAGATTTATTGTATCATGTCACCTGAGTATAGAAATGATAGAAAAGACACAAATTTTTATTTCCTTTAGCTTCAATATGCATTTTTAAATGTAAATATGTGCTACGGCCTAAATTGACCCTAAATTATTTTCAGTCTCACTTGGCCTAAGACCCTTTTAAACTAATATGATATGTTATTTGTGAGTTTTCTTTCCATTTAAAGTACATTAAATACATATAAAAGGATTATTTATAACCAAAAAGCTTAACAAATTTAAAATTGCTGGAAAATATTACATCTTCATGTAAGGCCTCCCTTCATTGGAAAACCTCCATTTTTAGGCACAGGCTCATATAAATTTGACTTTTTAATAAATATGATAAGTCTGATAAATCAAATGAGTACTCAATTGCTCTTAATACATAATATATTATATATTAAGGCATTTCAAAAGTACTTTTTTGCAATATTTTAATTTTTTAAGCCCCAAATGTTGATAGTTGAAATTTTTCAATTTTAACGTCTAAATTTAACACGCAAAGTTGAATATAGAATTAGTCTTTTTGTCTATAATATATATTCTATTGCCATGAAACTTTGTAAGCAGTGTTATAATTTATTAAGCTTTGGTCATACCAAGTTTCATTAAGATTGGTCAACTTTTTCTACCCTATTAGGTTCGAGTACACAGTTGTCGTCCTTTGATTTTCGTTGTCCACGAATATAGTCCCTAGTGTGGACAGTGTGTTACTTGCCAATTTTTTTATACCCCTTCCAAATTTATTTCTCCATGTTTTATGACTCAAATAGCAAGTAGGGGGGTGAAATGACACTTTAAAAAAATTTGGGTCATGAATTTTAAAGTAAAGTAGTGATTTGGTCCAGCTGAAAAATGTTAAAAATTAGCACTTCGGAAGCTGTCAAAAGATTTGAAGACCCCCTTAACATAAAATTGTCCATATTTTGAGTTAGAGCCGATGAAGTTTTCTATAATTTTGATATAATTTGTCCCAAAAGTAGTACAACACACTGTAAAAATATTATTGAGAAAGCGCAGGTGGGAATTTTTTTTATTTTCATTTATTGTCTAAAAGAAATGCACTACGAAATAACTGTGTACTCGGACCAATAACAAGAAAAGAGACATGAACAAATGTTAAATATTTCTTTATATATAATATATTTAATTTATAATCGACTTTAACAGAAAAATGATGCAGTCAAACATCTAAAAATTTGTTTAATTAGAAGTAATTTAATTCTCAATGTTCAAGCCTTTTGGAAAAATACCCTACCTACCTACCCACACCTGGCTTGGCAGGGTCGGGATTGGGGAAACAAACAATATATTAATTTAGGCCTTGCCATCTTTCACTTCTAAAATAGCTGTGACTACAACCCGGTACTGCTTAAATTCTGACTCTGAGTTTCCGGATTAGGTTTTTCCATAAGTACAAAAAATATGATTTCACTGCCTATTGTTCATTTCACTGCACATCTAGTTTTGATTCATGAAGATGACGGTTGCAAAATATTAGTAAATAAAAAAAGTAAGTCCCTATTGTAAAGTCATTTTAAGTGTAATACTAGAACACACCCACGACATTGCGGACCGTGACTGAATTAAAGTACCTATTCCTTATTTTCAGCCTTGATTTTTAGTATTCATAGTGTCATCTGATAAAGTCATGCTGATTGTAAAGTGCAGTTTTCTCTGTTTTCAAAATCCTTCTGTTTGAACCTGTCCTGATTTTCTTACTACAATAAAACTTACTATAAACTAAATTTAATTTTTTAACTAATTAACCAAAATTAATAGTGGTACGTGTATTGAGATGGAAGAAAACAGACTTATTAAATAGTGTACTATAATGTAACATAGATATAAACAAGTACTGGAAGAATTCCAGGTTCTCCTGATAAATGAGGGATTTACAGAAGGTAACAGGTAGCTACAACCAGAAACTGCATGTGACATATACTATTGGTATCGCTATTGGATTCAACCCGGAACTGGTTCATTGTTGGTAATATCAATTATGTGGAAAACAAAAGGGCCTGGAATGGTGTAATTTTTAAACAACACCATTGTCCTATATTGGTGATATATAAAGTTGAATGCTTTGAATCGTCGTTTTTTACGTTATGCCGGCTAACAAATTGGACCTCATTATTTTAGTAGTATAGATTTAGGGATATGAAGCATTGGAATAGAGAGAAATATATGACTAAACAAATGTTTTCAAAGCTGTGACAAGAATTGTTTTGCTAGAAAAGAAAATCTATGAAATAAAATGCAGTACAACAAGTTAAAGAAGCCATAAAATTCTTTTTTTATCTGTTTGTATAACATAATTGCCTGCATGACAAGAAAGCAGATCAATCTCAACTCTAGCTTGTAACAGATCAATATGAATTTATGATACTGATTTTTGAATATCCTTACAGTATTTACATGATTCTAGCAGGGAATAAGCTTTAAAATTTCACTCCAGGGGCCAACTGACAAAAGGTGAATAATTTTTATTGACCATATGGGAATATTCTGTAAAATGTTAGGGGCCCAGCCAAATTTTCAGTAGCATTGGCTACTGGGCCCCTGTAAAGCTTATTCCCTGTCTAGTCATGCTAGTGGTGCACTGATCATTCAAAACATCATGTAACTACTTGTTTGAGGGTCTGTGATTGATTTGCAGCCGTAGAGAAAGATTATTTGTTTTATGTTTCCAAAACTAATAAAAAAGTATTTTGTTTTATATGCCTCCGTCGCGGCGGAGGGGGCATTAAATGGTACCCTTGTCTGTCCTTCCGTACGAACGTACGTCCCAAAATTAGTTTCTGTTCTCTAACTTAAGTTTGCCTCAACCAAATGTTATGAAACTTATACACAATGCTCATTATCACAAAATGCATAACCAGTTTGAATTTGGGTTTGCATCACTTTTTCCGTTCTTGAGTTATGCCCTTCATTAATGGAAAAATTGCTTAATTTTTTGTTTATGTTCTATAACTTAAGTTTGCCTCAAGCAAATGGTATGAAACTTATACACAATGCTTATTACCACAAAACTCAGATCAAGTTCGAATATGGGTGATGTCACTTTGATCCTTCTTGAGTTATGCCACTTTTTTCGTTTCTGTTCTCTAATTTAGTTTGCCTCTACCAAATGTTAAGAAACTTATACACAATGCTTATTACCATAAAACACAGACAAAATTTGGAATTCTGGTGGTATCACTTTTACAGTTCTCGAGTTATGTCCCTTTATAACATTATATGCAAGTGGGGGCATCATCGGTGTACCGTGGACACATTCTCCATTTATTTGTTTAATATTTTAATGCTTGCTTTAAACTGTTTGAGCAGCAATTATTCCTAAACATTTACTGCAAAAAGTGTAATCAACACCCCTTGTTCAGCTGTTAGGTGTAAATTAAATTTCATTGTCATTACATTTGTACGTTGAAAACAATTTGCTTTTAAAGAAATCCAATTAAATATACATGTATTACTGATTACTCAGCTACATTCATATAAATAATCATCATTTCTTATGAAAACAGATGTAAATATATTTGCTGAAATAATCCTTTTAAGGTTTCCTTTCCATTCAATTACAAAATGACTGAATGTATTTGGAAGAGTTTATCAGGTACATGTATTAATCCTTATAAAAATGCTATTTCCATGTGATGAGAGTTTGTCAATATATATAATGTATGGTTTTTTTTTTGTAGGTTGAAGATTTTAAGGAAAAATTTAAAACAGATGTGAGTACAGAAGGAAAGAATTGTCCAAAAGCAAAACATTAAGAGAATATTAGTTCATAGTATAATCTACTGTCCAATAATCATATGATCAAAATAAGAAAATGTGGTGTGATTGTCAATGAGACCAAATGACGTAGAACTATAGTATGTATAGGTATGATCAGGTAGAAAGCCTTCAACAATGAGCTAAATCCACACCGCACAGCAAGCTTTAAAAGGCCCTGAAATAACAAATATAAAACAATTCAAGCAAAAACACTAACTGCCTAGATTATATAAAAAAGAAATATGATATACAGCATCAAACGACATCCACAAAATTGCATGGCTAGGGACAGGCACATGTATACAGCATGTGGTGGGGTTAATAGATATAAGAAGATGTGGTATGAGTGCCAATGAGACAACTCTCCATCCAAGTCAAAATTTAAAAAAGTAAACCATTATAGGTCAAAGTACGGTCTTCAACACAGAGCCTTGGCTCACACCGAACAGTAAGCTATAAAGGGCTCCAAAAATTACTAGTGTAAAACCATTCAAACGGGAAAACCAACGGTCTAATCTATATAAAAAATGAGAAACGAGAAACACTTATGAACCGCATCAACAAACGACAACTACTGAACATCAGATTCCTGACTTTAGGACAGGTGCAAACAAATGCAGCAGGTTAAACATGTTTGTGGGCGCCCAACCCTCCCCTAAACAGTGACAGTGGTGGAACAGCACAACATAAGATCAAAGTTTATAAATCTGTCGAAAAGGGCATAATTCATCACATCGATACACAGCAAAAACACAAAAACACAAAAGACTCAAAAGTATACAGGTAGATCTAAGAGTACTCACAGTTACTGAAAGGTAGTTCAAATCCAATTACTTATAATAAAAATATCATGCTGCATTGCATCTAACTTCTAAAACTAAAAGCGTAGATGTTGATATACACTCGATTTACACTACAGGTATCTGATAGTTCGTTTTTTCATGTTTTAAACAAAAATACTATCATGACTATGAAAGTTGAAATGTGAAATGTTCATGTGTAGAAAACAGGGTTGGGAAAGTATTCCCAGGCTTTGTAATACTCCTTGAAATGGTTAATAATGGGGAATATTATTTTTAAAGGTTATTTTTTTACACAAAGTAGTAAAGAAATATTGTTGTTTCATTGTTTTTTGCTAAATATACATATTTTATGCAGATTGACATGGAGAGTCTAATACGAATACGAAAGTTTTATTTTGATTAGGTTCACATATAACAATACAAACATAAGCTCTTGAGAGCTTTTTACCGAATATAAGGTAACACAAACACAACATTAAAAAAGTGTCTTGATAATTCATCAGTTTCTAAATGATTATGATGTAAATACACCAATATATGATTTAATTTTCTTTTATTGCAAACATAATTTATATTATTAATGAATCAAATGTATACATGCATTGCATAAGGAAATAAGTAAAGCACTATGGTAAAAATAAGTAATATGGGGCACTATATGTGACCAGCCATGAGATTTTGGGTCCAAATGAGGTCCATGGTGCAAAATGAGATTTTTTTTATGCAATATGTACGTATGTGTAAGAGAAACATTACTGCAAGTCAACTTATAAATTATAACTTTATGTATCATATATATCTTTTATGTATTGCATTTGTAACTCTTAAAGATTCAATATAAGAATAAGAAGGTGTGGTATGATTGCCAATTAGACAACTTTTCAACCTGCATTCTGGATTCATATTACCCAGAATATCTGGTAAAACCCTGATTTTGACCTACCTTGGTAGAAAATTCCATTTGTTGGGAGAGCTGATTAGCTGGAGCCATAAAAAATATATAAAAATCTATCTTATATGAAATCAGTTTAAGGCTATTGTAACTATACAAGAACTATTGTATAAATGAGTTAGCAAAAAACAAATCATTTAAAAATTGTATATAAATATGTTTGCTTATATTACGTAATAACTTTATATGTTTTAGGGAGATCATCTTGTACATCATGTCTTCCCAAGTAAAATATTAGAACTTGAAGATTTATATCAGGTGAGAAATTAATATTAGAACCTTTTAATTACATTCATAGTTTACATCATATATTTGGCATTTGAATCAGGGCAGATATTGACACAAGAACTTTAACATTTACATCAGGTCTGATATTGACATTGGTGCTTAAACATTTACGTTAGGTCTGATATTGACATTAGAACTTGAACATTTACATCAGATCTGATATTGACATTAGAGCTTGAACATCATCAGGTCTGATATTGAGATTAGAACTTGAGCATTTACATCAGGTCTGTTACTGACATTAGAACTTGATCATTATCATTAGGTCTGATATTGACATTAGAACTTGAACATTTACATCAGGTCTGATATTGACATTAGAACTTGAACATTATCATCAGGTCTGATATTGACATTGGAACTTGAACATTTACATTAGGTCAGATATTGACATTAGAACTTTAACATTTACATCAGGTCAGATATTGACATTAGAACTTGCACATTTACATCTGGTCTGATATTGACATTAGAACTTGAACATTTACATCAGGTCTGATATTGACATTAGAACTTGAACATTATCATCAGGTCTGATATTGACATTAGAACTTGAACATTTACATCAGGTCTGATATTGATTATTAGAACTTGAACATTATCATCAGGTCTGATATTGACATTAGAACTTGAACATTTACATCAGGTCTGATAATGACATTAGAACTTGAATATTTACATCAGGTCTGATATTGACATTAGAACTTTAATGTTTACATCAGGTCTGATATTGACATTAGAACTTTAATGTTTACATAAGGTAAGTTATTAACAATAGACTGGAGAACACAGTTATTTTGTAGTGCATTTCTTCAGAACAATAAATGCAAATTGAAAAAATTGCACCAGCTCTTTTGTTTGATGTGTTTTAACTTTTGATTTTGCCATTTGATTGGGGACTTTCCTTTTTGAATTTTCCTCGGAGTTCAGTATTTTTGTGATTTTACTTTTTTCTCAATAATATTTTTACAGTGTGGTGTATTACTTTGGGACAAATTAAATCAAATTTATAGAAAAGTTTAACAGCTCTCACTCAAAATATGGACAATTTGAGGTTGAGGGGTCTATAATTCAGTTCGACAGCTTCAGACATACTCATGTTTGACCTTTTTCAACTGGACCAAATCACTACTTTACCTTGAAATAAATGACCAAAATTTATTTTACATGAAATTTCTCCCCATCAATATTTTATGCATAAAATATAGAGAGTTGAATGTGGAAGGTGTATGAAAAACATTTGTAAGTAGTACACTGTCCACACTAGGGACTATATTCGTAGACAATAAAAACCAAAGCACGATAACTGTCACCAGACCATTATAACTTGAACATTTGCATAAGGTCTGATAATTAAACCGTATTTATTCATGTTTCTGATCATAATAGATATTCATCCCTTATTTCATCTTAATACTGTACAGATGGACAACTGGTTATATATTTACAACAGGTGACAATCCTGGTTTACACATCTGGTAATGTGTGCATGCGATATGGTTTTCTTGCCATTTCCAATGTAATGACAACTTTTTCACTCTATTTTGGTTAATTTCATTACAAATCTAAATAAGTTACTCTAATGACATAAAATTCTTTTTTCTTTTGTGCATGACAATAAAATGTTTTAGTGTTGGCCTTCAAACATAGGGATGGTCGTTGGGAGGCAGATAACAATTATTTTTGTGGGCCATACTGAAATTAACTAATCTTAATGATATATAACTTATATATATATATATATAATAAGTACGTCTGAACCAGTGACAACTCTACAACAGATTTATCCATAAGACGAGTTGTATATATATATATATATATATATATATATATATATATGTCAAATAAAGTACAGGCTTCAAACAGTGGATATGTTTATCAAACATGTAGCTGCCATACAATTTATACAAATCCGCTGTTATCCATCTTGATTTGTAATATTTGATTTCTGTTTATAGTCGTTACATGTATCAGAAGCTTCTAATTACCACACAGATTTGAATATACCTGTTCCTGATCCAGTTTTGTTCTACAATAATGATACATCAGAGGTATGCAATGCTATTGTTACAATCTTTACAATTAAAAAGGCATAACTAGATGTCCATACAATTTTATACACAGACTGATAGGAGCTGCCATTTCTTGTTTGTTTAAAACCTAGTGTTTCATGCATTTTCAAAGTGTAAGTGTGAACATTAGTTTGATACTTCAAAGTGGGATAACAGGAATTGAGGGTAAAAAATGAATATTAGAATTGGTGAAAAAGAAAGTAATTTGGGTTGGTGAAGAAATTTAGCATTGTGAAAGGTCACAAACAGACCCACCAGTTATTGCAGGGGTTCTTTTACATTTTAGAGAATGTGTCTGTCCTTACTTAGGGTGCATTTTTTTCAGACAGCCAATGCTGGCTCTATGTTATAACTACCATCTATTTTTAGTCCCCTACCGAGTTAGTCGAAGGGGACTTTAGGTTTGCACTCCGTCTGTCTGTCTTTTCATCCGTCAGTCCGGCAAATCAGTTTTCCACACTTTTTTTCTTCATGCTTAAAGATATTGATTTGATATTTGGTGTATTGTTTTATCATGACAAGTTACAGATCAAGTTCGAATTTTGTTCCGGTCTGATGATTTTGTGCAGAGTTATGGTCCTTTGACTTAGAAAATTCACTAAAATAATCAGTTTTCCGCACTTTTTTTGTCATTCTTGAAGATATTGATTTGATAATTAGTATATAGTTTTATCATGACAAGTTACAGTTCAAGTTTGAATTTTGTTCTGGTCTGATGATTTTGTGCAGAGTTAGGTCCTTGGACTTAGAAAATTCACTGAGATAATCAGTTTTCAACACTTTTTTTCATCATGCTTGAAGATATTGACTTGATATTTGTTATATAGTTTACACCATGACAAGTTATAGATCAAGTTAGAATTTTGTTCCAATACAAGGAATTTTTAACCGGTAGGGGACTATGTATTGCCATTCAATACTCGCAGAACGCTTGTTCACAATTAATTTGGCCCTAAATGAAAATGGTTAAGACTATCGACACAAATTTTGAATAAACAAACTTACATTTATAGTTCTTATATAAATAAAAATCTATAAAGTATTAGGCTTAAAAATTTGAAATGAAAGGCAAGATATCAATATCATTTGTCCATCCGTCACGCTTCATGTCTTGTGCATTACTTTTGTACCATTGAACTTAGGTTGATCAAACTTGGTATGCAGATGCATCAGAGCCTGGGGTAGTATAAAATACCAAAGTCTGGTCACTCTGACCTTGACCCCTATTATAAGGTAAATCCTTGTCAAATTTGTGTCTGGCTCATATCATTTGTACCCTTAAACTTAAATTAACCAAACTTGAAATGCAGTGGCATCATTGTGTGGGGTGTCATATATACCAAAGTCCGGTCACTCTGACCTTGACCCGTCTGATAATTATTTGTGTTTGGGAAATAACAGTTCTCCAGAGAACTTAGGTTAACCAAAGTGAGTCTGACTAAGTGTGCAGATGCATTACAGGAAGGTGATTTATCAGTCAGATTAGGTCAATTTAACTTTGACCTTTTGACCTGAACTAATTTATAGATGCATAAAAGAGTAAAATCATATATACTTTATAACAATATCCTACTTGTAATTGCATTTTTGTGCAAAATTATCTTTTTATGCGAGAACTGTTTAGTTTAAAATTACAAAGTCATGTAATGACTAAGCAGGAGAGATAATGTCATTTATTTTTTATCGTATATTCCATTGTTTTTCTTTATCAGCCTGAACGTAAAAGGAAGAAGTTAGAACACAATAATGATGATAAAGTAGAAGATATAGCAGGTAATGTGGTCCTCTAACTGAAACCATTTATTTAAAACATAATTAGGGCCCCTCCTAGTGGCGGGTTGACCTATAGTGATCAGTCTCTCCATCCGTCCGTAACTAATTGTGTCCTCTATATCTAGAGAACTGTTATAATTTCATACTTTATACTTGACATGTATATTAACCAACACCAGAGGGTGTGTCATAATGTTTGTACAACTTCCTAGGTCAAAGTTCAAGGTTAGAGGGGCCCACAGAAATGGCTCCCATCTCAATGTTGTCTAGTTGTTTCAATGATGTCCCTATCTAGAGGAACTCTCAACTAAATCATTTTAAATGATGAATTGTTAAAGACCACTTTACAAAGATTTAGTTCACAAATGAACTATTTCACTTTTGTCTTTCCAGATTAATAGATATAAGAAGATGTGGTATGAGTGCCAATGAGACAACTCTCCATCCAAGTCACAATTTGTAAAAGTAAACCATTATAGATCTAAGAAGATGTGGTATGAGTGCCAATGAGACAACTCTCCATCCAGATCACAATTTGTAAAAGTAAACCATTATAGGTCAAAGTACAGCCTTCAAAACAGATTCACACCGAACAGCAAGCTATAAAGGGCCCCAAAAAAGATTACAACCCCATATGAGGAAAATTGTTAAATGTTTGGTTTCTGCACAACAAGTTGAGTAAGACTCAACATCTCATTTGAAATTTGGAAATGCTGTTAAGGACCACTATCCAAAAGCCCAAGACTATATCAAAAAATATATCAAATTGTATGTGGGATTTACATTTTTATTTTAGTTATTAATTTGAACAAAAGTAGATAGCACAGTCAACTTTAAAAATAAAAAATGGGCAATCATATAAAAGCCTGAAAAGACAGCATTTTAAGTTTCTGTTTTAAGGACTTGTAAAGAATATTTTATTGCCAAGACCAGTTTTCTGGTGCCTTGTGTCTTGTGGTTTATAGTGAAGATGATTTACTGAACATAAGAAAGAACAACAAGTTAAAAATTGTTAACTTTCACAGTTTATTATTCATGCATAGAAAATAATCATATGCCACGATTTAACACCTTATAATTTGACCATTAAAAATCCTTGCTCCAGCAGCTTCCTTGAACTCAGTCTTACCCTTCTGTCGTGGAAATCCTGATGGGGAAACACAATATCAGGAATCACCATATGCCAAAAGATACCTTTATGATAATACGCTTTAATTTTTCCAAAGATTTTGACCACCAGACTAAAATCCATTTTAGGACACTAAAGTATATAAGATGTCTTTTTATATTTTTTCTCATTAATGATTTCATGAAGAATAATTTAATTATTTTAGGTACAAAAGTTCAGATTTTACCAAATGGTCCAGTTCCTTGTAATAAGAAATTAGCAGTGTTAGCAGATAAAATAAAGCCTTATATACAGGAACTCATTGACCATGCTAATATTGTAAGTTCTTCCACTACAATACACTGACCAATTGCAGTGTGTACCATGTTTGAACAGTGTTTTTTTTTCATTGACAGTTTATTGCAACATTTAAGGAAACAACTTTTACAATTTTAAGATATTGAATTGCTTATCCCAAAACTTATTTTACGAATTATGAACTTGGCCCATTAATGATTTTAATCAAGTTTGTATCCTTGCTTGGGTACATCCTTGATTCACAGTAAAGCACATCAAAAGTGAGAAATTAAAAAAGTTTTATTATATGTCTAAATATACAAAAGTTCAGATCTTTTTAATTGAGGTTTATTTGCAAGTAAAACATGTCATAATTGATTCTAAAATGAAAAAAAAACAAATATTCAGTGCTAATTGACTAGAAGCAGCTAATCCTTGAGTCCCTATTTTCTACCAGGGGAAGTTACTTTCTTTATTCTATAATATTTTAAAATTTTCCAGAAAAAACTTTTTGGAAACACTAAAAGAATTAACAAATTGATTTATCTGTTCTGAGGTTATTTTAAAAGCATATATATTTGGCATTACCAGACAAATAAAAAGATCAGCAATTAAGAATTTAAAAATAAGTTGCTTGATTTATATTTGATGCTAACTTAGAAATATTTAAAGGTCTTCATTCTAAACTACTAGAAAAAAATCTATTTAAGCTGAAAAGAAAAACAGTGAAAACAAGGTGAAATATATTTGATTTACATTTTGTATTTTAGTTGAAGATGTGGATTACACTCTTGATACCGAAGATAGAAGATGGTAACAATTTTGGTGTATCTGTGCAGGTATGTTAACTAGTTGCCTGTCAATATAGTTTTAACTATTGTTGTAAATATCTTCTTTGACCTGTTGACAAAAATAAAAAAATTGCAAGAAATTTGAACCACACAATTCACAGGAATAGTTTCATTGGATATATAGCAGTTTGACAAACACTAATTTTGATCATTGAGAAGCCTTATTTCTCCTTACTAATAGTATGTGTTTTAAACGTTCTGCTGATTTTAAAAGAATTAGCTCCCTTGAGTCTTCTGTACCCTCTAAAAGGTAAATATTTTTGGGACAAAGATCTTAATCCTAAGTCTCTTTATTTTAATAATCTCCGGTTGAATAACCAGAAACTACATTTATTTGATGAATCTATATTTGGAAATTTCATCTGTTTCAAAAAAACTTTCAGATGTGAACATGATTTCTTAGAAATATTAAATTGCAATTTAAAAGAAATTTTAAAGAAAATTTATTGATCAACTGACATTTACACACATTCAACTCCTTTTATTTAGTAAAAAAATATTACATTTCTAAAGAACTGCAATAACACAATTAAATGCAATGGATCTATATCTATTTTTTGTCCACCACAATAATAGAAGACTAAAATGTGATTTTAAATTATGCACAAAACTCTGCCAATCTTTCCACCAATGGTTTTGATCTCTTGAACATTATTATGAAAGTTAAGAGTGGGCTAAAAAACATCTTCTTAGAATTGTCATGTTTACTCAAAATATGTCTCATGGTTCCTTTAAAAATTGTATTAGTTTTTGTCTGGCCATGACATAGTCATGAAGGCATTGGCATTTCTCATTTCCACAGAGATTTTTTGGCCCCGTGCCTTCAGTTATGGTTCATCTATTTTGAATGTTTTATGAAGCTTACATGTTAAAGTATTGCCATTTGAATATCATAATTTACATTTTACTTTCAAAATAACATACAAGCAAGACATATCTCTATGTCAACAGTTTATTAATATTCACAATGTCATTTCTAGTAAAAAAAATATTACCTATCTTATTTTTTTGTCTCGCCTTGACGGAGTCAAAAAGCGAGACATAGGTATGCGGTTTCCGATGTCGGCGTTATCAATGTATTAGTTTGTGATTAGGTCTAGTTCATGGTGAACCACTAGTGGTAGGTCAATGATATTTGGTATGCAGTTGTATTAGCATTGGCACATCTCATTACCATGGAGATTATTTGGCCCCGCCCCCTCAGTTAAGGTCTATTGACTTTGAAACTTTTCATAGTTTACATGTATTAGTTTGTGATTAGGTCAATTTATGGGGAACCACTAGTGGTAGGTCAATGATATTTGGTATGCAGTTGTATAAGCATTGGCATATCTCATTTCCATGGAGATTATTTGGCTCTGCCCCCTTAGTCATGGTCTATAGACTTTGAAAATTTTGCTAAGTTAACATGTATTAGTTTGTGATTAGGTCAGTTCAAGGGAAACCATTAGTGGTAGGCCAATGTTAATTGGTGTTCAGTTGTATAAGCATTAGCACATCTCATTTCCATGGAAAATATTTGGCCCCGCCCCCTCAGTCATGGTCTATTGACTTTGAAACTTTTGCTTAGTTTACATGTATTAGTTTGTGATTAGATCAGTTTAAGATGAACTGCTAATGTTAAGTCAATGATATTTGGTATGCAAATGAATTGACATTTGCAAGTATCGTTTCCATGGAGATTATATAGCCCCACCCCTGACCATGGTTCATTGACTTTGAAACTTTTACATAGTTTACAAGTTAATGTTTGTGTTTAGGTTTGTTTAAAGGAAACGACTTATAATAAGTCAATGGTATTTGGTATGCAGTTGTATTAGCATTGGCACATCTCGTTCCATGGAGATTGTTTAGCCATGTACCTTCAGTCATGGTTCATCAACTTTGAATATTTGCATAACTTACATGTTAAAGTATTGCTATTTTAATTTCAATATTTGCAATATCAAAACTACAAAAAGGAGAGACATATCTGTGTGATAACAGTTTATTTTTTTTCCTTGAAATGACCAGATAATTATTATCTTGATTGTGTCATGAACATTATTTGTATTTTAGGAAGACACTCTTGGTGAAGCTAGACAAGTAGAAAGTGAGGCAGCATCATATTTAGACCAAATCTCTAGATATTATATAACTAGAGCTAAATTAGTATCTAAAGTAGCAAAGTATCCTCACCTTGTAAGTATTGTAAACCATGGTGCTCCTCAGGGTTTAAGCTAGGGTTTTGAGGGCTTTAGTCACTTTTGCGCAGTATGAAAATCAATCTTATTTTGGGTAGCAGCAAGGGACCTAGGATGTATATTTCTATCTTTACATCTTTGTCAGACTTTGAAGGACTTAGGCATACTAGGCAGTTACTGCATGATTTGACTGATGTGGCACTTTAATACGAAGATTAGGATATAAGATCTAGAAATCTAGTTCATAATTTCACTTCAGATAGTTTCAGGGTACATTCCTAATCAACAAAAGTTGGGATCCATTTTTTTTTAACCAGGAATCACAGCATAAATGAACTTGTAATGACTATTTCAAAGCATTATTCATACTCATTATCCTTAAAAAGCGTTTTAAAGCGATATTTAGAATCAATTCTATAAAGTTGGAACCAAGGATTTGTACAAATCCTTATTGGAACAATTCTAATGACTTTAAATTGTAAATTTATCATGATTAGATCACGTTTACTTTCAATTTCCAAATGAAATGAAAACGGGAAGTGAAAAGTGGATAATAAATTCAGAATTAATCCGGATTCATCTACGGATTGGTTCTTGTTTAAAAAAGGCAGGAAATTATCATTTTTTAAATTAAATTTGTTAAATAAGAACTATATTTGTCTCTCTCAATTAGTTTGATACTTAATTATTTCGTATTTTACGTTTTAGTGTCTTTAAATTCATAAGAATACTTTCGCGCATGCGCAGTTCATCGTAAAGGCAGCACCTGTCTGACTCGTGAAAACATTTCTGAATGTTATGAATAAAGTTCTATCTTTTTAATCGAAATTGTCGAAAAGTTTTTGATTAAAAGTTATAATCAAATATGACGAAAATACGTTCATTTGATGAAACTACGACAAGCGAACTGCAAATTGTGATCGTTTGAGAAATATTGAAATTAAAATGCTGTCCTAGGGAAAACAATTTTCTTCAAAAGACGAAACTACAACAAACGAACTGCAAATTGTGCTCGTTTGATAAATATTGAAATTGAAATGCCGACTGACTGATTTTACTGGGGAAAATAATATGATGATCAATTATGAGGTTGATAAATAATTAACGGATTAGTGACCCATCCAATGGCGATAAGCGGATTATCTGTAATCACAACTTATAATAGCTGAGGGTCATAAACTTGTCAGAAACAATAAGACAGGTAGAATTATAGTATTTTAATGCGAAATATTTTTACACTATCCAAATTCAAGTGACGAAATTGATTTGGAATACTTTCGTCATTTTGAAAACTGTTTCGTAAATGACGAAAATGACGAGCGCTAGCAAAATCGCTGGCTCCTGTATTCAAAAACTTATTTTATTACAATATTGTGGACCTTAGAAAATGGTAGCAAAAAGTCTTGGAAGAGATACTAAGATGAGTCCTTCCAGAACTTATCCATTTCAAAAAGGATTTATAAAAGGATGCTATTAAACAGAAATAAAATCATACCAAATTTAATTGATATAGATTTAGAGGGTGATTGATAGGATTTTAGACAACCTGTTGACCTTATTGTGTCATTGGGTTGTTGTCTCAAAATGACGTATACCATTTTTATACAACAGCAAAAAAGCGGTGTATATTGGTATGACGTTGGCGTCGTCGTCCGAAGACACATTGGTTTTCGCACTCTAACTTTAGTTTAAGTGAATGGATCTCTATGAAATTGTACCATAAGGTTCAATACCACAAAAGGAAGGTTGGGATTGATTTTGGGGGTTATGATACCAACAGTTAAGGAATTAGGGGCCAAAAAGGGGCCATAAATAAGCATTTTTGTAACTTCCAGACATAACTTGTGTGTTAGTGTATGGATCTCTCTGACATTGTACCACAAGGTTCCATATCACAAAGGGAATGCTGGGATTGATTTTGTGGGTAATTGCCTCAAAATTTAAGGAATTAGGGGCCAAAAAAGGGGCCAAAAATAAGCATTTTTTTAGTTTCCAGACAATAACTTGTGTTCAAGTGTATGGATCTCTCTGAAATTGTACTGCAAGGTACCATACCACAAAGGGAAGGCTGGGATTGATTTTGGGGGTAATTGCCTCAAAATTTTAGGAATCAGGGGCCAAAAAGGGGCAAAAATCAAGCATTTTTCTAGTTTCAGGACAATAACTTATGTGTAAGTGTATGGATCTTTATGAAATTGTACTACAAGGTTCCATATCACAAAGGGAAAGCTGGGTTTGAGTTTGGGGGTAATTGCCCTAAACATTTAGGAATTTGGGGCCAAAAAGGGGCAAAAAAACAAGCATTTTTCTAGTTTCCAGACAATAACTTGTGTTCAAGTGTATGGATCTCTCTGAAATTGTACTGCAAGGTACCATAACACAAAGGGAAGGCTGGGATTGAGTTTGGGGGTGATGAATCATAAGGGGGTTCAAAAAATTGGGGGGGGGGGGGGGGGGGGGTTTTCTTTTTTTTTTCTTTAAAATTTTCCATTTTAAATTGGTTATTTCTGATTTATATATAAAAGCAAATAATAATGATATGGTTTGAATAGGTAAATTAAATTTTTTTAAGTTCTTAGACCACATTCATTCTTTGTCAGAAACCTATGCTGTGTCAAATATTTAATCACAATCCAAATTCAGTGCTGTATCAAGCTTGAATGTTGTGTCCATACTTGCCCCAACTGTTCAGGGTTCGACCTCTGCGGTCGTATCAAGCTGCGCCCAGCGGAGCATTTTATTATTCATGTTAGAAAATTTTATACTTGAAACTTTTTATGCCCCACCTACGATAGTAGAAGGGGCATTATGTTTCCTGGTCTGTGCATCTGTTCGTTCGTTCGTCTGTCCGTCTGTCCTGCTTCAGGTTAAAGTTTTTGGTCAAGGTAGTTTTTGATGAAGTTGAAGTCTAATCAACTTGAAACTTAGTACACATGTTCCCTATGATATGATCTTTCTAATTTTAATGCCAAATTAGAGTTTTGACCCCAATTTCACGGTCCACTGAACATAGAAAATGATAGTGTGAGTGGGGCATCGGTGTACTATGGACACATTCTTGTTAATTCATGTGATAAGTATATTGGTTTCATTGATAATTTTCTTCTTGTTTTTTTTAGGATGATTACAGACAATCAGTAAGAGAGCTGGATGAGAAGGAATTTATAAGCATACGTCTCATTTCCTGTGAATTACGTAACCATTACGTAAGTATTACTTAAGTAAAAGTGTTTTCCTGCTCATGTGGTCCAGTTTCTATAACTTTGTTCTGTGTTTGTTTGTTGTCCTTCAACATTCAAAATCAAGTGTAGTAATAGCTCATTTTCAAAAAACCAACTGTTTCTAGTTAAGAATTTTTTGCAAAGGGAAATAACTCCTATTTAGGTGTGGTCATTGTCTATATAAACTAAGTGGCACTAGACTGAGGACGTGCTAAATCTGACAATAATTTTGATATTTTAAGTTCCATTATTCATTTATAATAAAGAGGGGTTGGATAAAAAGGTGGTTATGGAATGAAAATTCAAAGAATGCTCCTTAAGTTTTCACTGGTAAGACAGTCAGTCCTACTTGAGAGTTGTCTCCATTTGCCCAAAATTCTAACATTGGAAACTGTATGTACTTTGGAAATGAAGAATTGGAACATAACTTTTCTTGATCCATCCAGTGTGTCAGTTGTGTCACATATAGGTACCTTCAGCTAATTGGCCGACAGTTTACAATAAACACAAGGCAGATATGGAAAAAAAAATGATGGGGAAAATATGTCTGCAATACAGAAATTATGCATGCATTTATTAGGGCCCCGCCGAATGGCGGACGCCCTATAGTGATCAGTCTGTCCGTCGTACCGTCTGTCCGTCCATAACAAATTGTGTCCTCTCTATATCTAGAGAACCGTTATGATTTCAAAGTTTATACTTGACATGTATATTAACCAACACCAGAGGGTGTGTCATTATGTATGTACAACTTCCTAGGTCAAAGGTCAAGGTTAAAAACTTTGGTTTTAGTTGACAACCCCATGTCCTATGGTAAAGATCGTGTCCGCTTTATACTTGACATGTATATAAACCAACACCAGAGGGTGTGTCATAATTTATGTACAACTTCTTAGGTCAAAGGTCAAGGTCAAAAACTTTGGTTTCAGTTGACAACCCCATGTCCAATGATAAAGATACAAATTTTTTACCACACATTATTCACAGCGGGGCCCACAGAGATGGCTCCCATCTCAATGATATCTAGTTATTGTGAATTTTGAAGAATGAACAAATATGCGAGATTAATTATTGTGATTTCAGGAAAAGATGAATTTGCAATAATTTCTGAATTTACAGTACATGAATATTCTTTTCTTTTAGGCAAGTCTACATGATATTATATTGAAGAATATGGAAAAGATCAAGAAACCAAGATCTGCCAATGCACACCAAAACTTGTACTAAATATTTATTGATTTAGATTGGTGCAGGACATTTTTCTACAGATAAATTGTTGTTGTTAATTTTATGAAAATATCTTATTTAAAAACATCCAGACAGAATTTGAAAAAAAAAAAATGCAAATAAAGTGCTATTAAAGTGAAATTGAAGGTAAACATTCATGTTCAAAGATTTTTAGTTTGAAAATAGAAACAGAAATAAGTTTGAAAATAGAAACAAATGAACATCTGGGAATAAAGAAAACACTAGTTAAAAATAAACTTTTAACTTTTCAGTAACTTTAAGGATACAACAAACAAAAAATAGCATTTATATGCATGTGTCATTTTAGACCTTGTGGTATACTTGAAAAAAACAAATTGCGTGTATTGAATATCTAACCCACAAGAAATTTAAGAAATCGGTATGAGAAAAAAATTCACTGTTGAAACTAATCAGCATTTTGCACTGGCCAAATTTATTCCAGTTTCAAATACATAAAACTTGGAAGACATAAATATATAGTTCCAAATGACTTGAAATTTCAATAAAGGTTTTGAAATGTTTCATTAAAGCATGTCAAAATTATTTATAATTGTCAGTCTTAGATTTTAGCATTTAACGTTTGGGAGCAAGTTTGAGAATGTTGATAATGATTGTAACTGTAGCCTCTGATTGAAAGGATGCATTTAATTTGTGACATTTTCATATCAATCCAGCATTAAGTGTATATGTGTAACATAGTGTACAGAAACAAGTATCATTATTTCATTGGTAATTGCCATGGTAACACATAAATTTGTTAGTTTATACTCATATAAATTGAACAAATATACAAAATTTAAAAAGCAATATATGTTTTAATCAATTTTTTCAGAATTCTTTAAAAATTTTGTTGGTAAAAAATAAGAGTATAATTAAATAGCATTAATTCATACAATAATCTGATATTACACATTTTCAAGAATTTCAGGGTCAGTTTAAAATAGAAATAATTTGTTCATTTTGTTTCTATAAATTCATTTAATCATTTAAATGCAGAGGAAGAGGTTAACTGATATTATTTTTGGCATACTTATATATTAAAAAAGATCTTTAAAGATGAATGTGTTTTAATACAATAATAAAAAAATAAACAGTAATAACTTAAACATATTCTAAATCAGTTTTAGGGAAAAAATACACTTTGAATTAAACTAAGAAAAATAGAGACAACAGATTTAATGATACTGTATAAGTGTAATTTATCAATTTTTGTTCTGGTATTCAATTCTAGTCAGATACAAGAGTTTTTTTTAAATAAATATGTTTAAATAAAGATTGTTCAGGTAAAGTTCTGGTAAATCTATAGTACAGTTACCTGTATCAAACTTTTAATACCTGTATGATTTATGGTGTAAAACAAACCAGTAACTGCCATTTTGGCCTGATTGCATTTATCTTCTGTATAACATTTATTAAATGGATTAGACAAATGTGAGAAAGGCTACAACTTTAACCTCCCCAAAAACCTATGTATGAAGTCATTGTCTAAGCTCCATCATTTCATTTAATCCTCTAAGTGCCATTATCTTGTATGTTTCCAGATATACTAGATTTGCTTGATGTTTTGAATATTTCATTTCATGATAAAAATTAGTCTTACTGTATACTGGACACAGTTTTAGTCTTCCAAATGAATTTATCAAATGTTATAAGTTACATTCTGTAACCGTGACATTATCTCTTCAACGGTATCAACATTATCTGCTGTATGAAGTTTTTCAATGAGGGAATTATCTTTTTATATCTGTAAAACACACTGTATTTTAAAGTTTTTAGTGCTATGACAGAAATTTTTATTTGTGTTGTATACATTTTCAGTCCATTGCTTGATATTATCATTTTCATCTACCAGGCTGTCATCTTGTTTATAGTTCATTATGTTATACCAATAAAATTGTTGCAAAAAATGAAGTTGATGATACCTAGAAATAAATAGTTTATATACTATACTGAGTATGTGTCAGTGAGACAGCAACCCAACAACACAAAAAAAACCCTGATCACCTAATTCAGTTGGGAAGAAAAGACTTCTAAATATCACAAAAGACAAACACTGATCAGGTTACCACTAAGCCCAAACACATGTCAGTGATTAAGCTTTATTTTTTTTAGCATCAGGCCTCCCATTTTTTACCTCCATCACCGAAAGGCAGAAGCTGGTCTAGTAACCGCTCGACTCTATCCGTCCAAAAGAAAACTTTCCTCAAATTTTTCTTAGCATCTATGAAAGGGAATGATGTAATATTTGGTCTGCAGCTTTATAATGTTGAGTTGTAGCGAGTATTCAATTTTAACATCTGCCATGCGTCCACTTCCTGTTTGCCTATAGTGTGAAATTTTACAATCACGGAAAATTTTCTTCATAGTTTTCTTGGCTTCTATTGGAGGGAATGATTTAATGTTTGGTCTACATCATAATAACGTTGAGTTGTAGTGAGTAAGCAATTTTTACATCTGCTGTTTATATCCTTTTCCTATTTTCCGATAGTTTGAAATTTTACAACACTCATTGTACAAGGGAAGATTTTTGTCCAAATTACAACACTCATTGTACAAGGGAAGATTTTTGTCCAAATTTCAACACTCATTGTACAAGGAAAATTTTTGTCAGAGTTTTTTCGGCTCCTATTGACGGGAATAATTTGATATTTGGTATTTGGTCTGCAGTCTCATAATATTGAGTTGTAGCGAGTAAGCAATTTTTACATCTCTCATGTAGGCACTTCCTTTTTGCGAATAGTTTGAAATTTTAAAATTCATTTTGCAAGAAAAATTTTTGTCAAAAGTTTTCTTGGCATCAGTTAAAGGGAAATATTAAAGTTATGCTCCGGTATTACTTCATTCAATTGCATGGAGCTACAGGTCCAGACCTGGTGTTGGTCATGTTGATCTCCATAATTGGAATATCAAAAGGAACAAAAAAGAATTTACAGCCACACAATAACTTGAGTATGCCTTAACAGTCATTTAAAAATTAAAAAAAAACAGTTCTCTAACTTCAGTTTACCACAACCGAATGTTATGAAACTTATACACAATGCTTATTACCACAAAACTCTGATCAGGTTCAAATTTGGGTGACATCGTTGTTCCCGCTCTTGAGTTATGTCCCTTTATAATGTTATATGCATATCCCATGGACACATTCTCCCATTTATTTTTTTGTCAATTTACAGTTAAAGGTTGCTGGCTTTTGTCTTTTTATTATTTCATTGTTTTTTGTGCTAAGTACTGATCTGATGAGTCAAACCCTTTCTGGGTTGCGTTCAATATCGTAGCGGCTACGTAGTGCTACGTAGATTTATGACTATTGAACGAGTAGCTAGCCAAGCTGCTATCAATATCTATGTAGCAGCTAGGCTAGCTACACGGTCAATAGTCATAAATCTACGTAGCCCTATGTAGCCGCTACGATATTGAACACAACCCTGATCAATATAGTGTGTTATGTTGTGTTTTTACATCACTGTCCCAAGTAAGGGGAGGGTTGTGCAATCACAAAGATATTATAAACATAATGTAACACCTTGCCACATTATGCATGGGCCTGTCCCAAGTTGGGGGAGGGTTGTGTAATCACAAAGATATTATAAACATAATGTAACACCTTGCCACATTATGCATGGGCCTGTCCCAATTTGGGGAGGGTTGTGTAATCACAGATATTATAAACATAATGTAACACCTTGCCACATTATCCATGGGCCTGTCCCAAGTAAGGGGAGGGTTGTGCAATCACAAAGATATTATAAACACAATGTAACACCTTGCCACATTATCCATGGGCCTGTCCCAAGTAAGGGGAGGGTTGTGCAATCACAAAGATATTATAAACACAATGTCACACCTTCCCACATTATCCATGGGCCTGTCCCAAGTAAGGGGAGGGTTGTGCAATCACAAAGATATTATAAACACAATGTAACACCTTACCACATTATGCATGGGCCTGTCCCAAGTTGGGAGTCTGTAGTCATGTAGTTGTTTGTTGCTGCCTGTATTATTGTTTGAGTTTAAATCGGGCCATTTGGTTTCCCTTTTGAATTGTTTCACATTTAGCTTCCCATGGCCTTTTATAGCTTACTATTCTTTACTGGTTTTGTAAGCCATACAAGGGTGGCCTGTAGTTGTTTACATCATTGTTCTTAGGATGTCTGTGAATCAATGTCTCAAATGGCCATCATACACCATCTCCTTATTTTGATATTACAATGTACTATGAAAATACATTGTACTTGTCATTCCTCTCTTTAAAATCATAAACACAATTTGATAAATATTTTTATTTTTTATCTTATGCATTGCACTTCTGCATTCATAACATATAACTCATTTGTCTATTGAAGCAATGGACATGGAATTCAGGAGGCATACAATCCAGAACATACAATCTTTAATGATTAAGGTGATTATACATGATTAAACACTGGAAACAGATGAACATACAATCACAGCTTAATCATGATTGTAATGATTAAATGGTTAACCACAAGATAGTGATTGATAACATGACAAAGAAAAAATGAAGCCTATTTATCTAATTAATCATTAACAGCATCATAAGATGACCATTAAAAAGGTGAACTATGACCCAGTAATACATTGTATCTGTCCATAATAATTGTACTTTAACCTTTTAATTATCTCCTCATCATTTGTGTTTCATACTTTGAATATTCATCAACATTTGTTATGAAATTAATGTTAAAAAGTATTTAATTCTTAACTCAGTTTTGTCCAAAATGCATTTCACAGAAAAAGAGGAATGTAAAAATGTATTGTGCCAATGTAACTTGGAGTGCCAAAAATAACCAAATAGTTATGCATAGGCATACCATATAGAGCAAACTTGAAGCACAGCAAGTACAAGCAAATACTATCCCTTAAGGTTATACATTTTATGTCACAAAAGCAGTTTTTTACATATTGTTAAAGAGCCAAAAAATGTAACTAAAATCAAACAGCTAGTATCACGAGGAAACGGTAATTGTTTTTACTGAATTTCGAGCTCCCATAGTCATCTAAGAATAGGTAACTCATAAAATGAGCAGTTCTATTCTAGTTTGGTCACATTTTTTAAAGGGGTACTGTAACAATTCAAAATGAAAGACAACTTGCAAGAAAACTTATAACAAAAAAGATGGTCAAATGATGTGATTTTTGAACAACCTGTTTGAATCTGTGAATACTTTGCTAGTGTTTTCTATTGTTATTACAATGAGATGATAATCATGCCATTATACAACAAGTCTGTTTATAATTTTTCATGTATTTTAATAAGCAGAATTCCTTCAACAAGACACATTCTAGACTCTCAAAGTATATAATTTATGTAGCAATCTTTTTAGTATAGCTTTGGGACCAGCATTTAATTTTATTATTGATAAAAATAAGTCTAGATAGTGACAATATATATCACAGTATGTATAAAACTTAATGTTTCTACCTTATATAACGTTGTTATTGTTCTAAACTAGTTTGTTTATCTAATCTCAGTTTAAGCTCAATGTACTTTTTTATAAGTTTTCAAAATCAAAGAAATACTGAAAAAAAAAAATTTAATAAATTATTATTTCTATGAAACCAAAACAAAGCTTGCTTTAATTCAAATTCCTTTCTTACTGAAACTTTATATATGAAATGTATCAACAAATGTTAAACAATTCAAATTAAATCAATATTTTAGAATTTAAGTATCTATTTCAATATTTAAAAGAGATTTCACATTTAATACAATTTATAAACACCCTTTCCTTTATTAATGGGTTACCTCCCTTGATAGAGAATACATTATAAGTTATATGGTTTGCTACTGACCCCCTACGGATCCATAGAGGGTTAGTAAAATCCATAGGGGGTGAGGCCGAAGGCCAAATCTCCTATGGATTTTATTCACCCTCTATGGTCCGTAGGGAGTCAGAAGTGAACCGTATAACGAATTTATCGCACGCGGGACTTTTTCTGCTGTGTTTTGTAGAAAAATAAACAATGAAACACAACAACATTAATAGATGACGTCACCATTAACAGTAGACCTGACGTCATGTACCCCCTATGAAATTTACTAACCCCCTACGGATCCATAGGGGGTCACCACGTGAAGGCGTTAAACCAATCACAACGTGATAATTTACCTGCGGTGCGATAAATGATAATATTTACCCATACACTTTTATCTATCTTTTCCAAGTACTACTTTTGTGGACTTTTTCTTTGTCCCAAATGATTGTCCCATCACAACTTAAAGGGAGACATCAGAAATGTTCTGTTTTGCATGCAATTTGTATTCACAACTATTAAATGAAGAATAAACAATTTAAATAACCATAGGTGTAAAATATGTCTGTTGAAAAAAATACTTTCCATTCTTATTTAAAATGGATACATGTTCAACAACCATTCCACATGACATTTATGAAAAGTTGTGTATTTTATTTAATGGTAAGGAAGAATCGTATCACACATACACACAAACACTTAACAATCCTACATAAATACATAGTACAAGCTACATCTGTCTTTCAAAACATTTTCTCCTAATGAGGTGATTTAGTTTTATGATCCTTTACTTTAAAGTCATATCATCTGTGCTATCAAATTTTTAAGTCATCTTTTGATCAAACTGATTTTATACACAAAATACAGTTTATAAAACAAACTTTTATTTCGTTTTATGGCCAAAGCATTTTCATAATCTCAAAATCTTAACACTCCTTCAAATTCTTAATTCTTAAAAAAAAACACACATTCTCCTCATCTTTCCCTCATTTCTCAAAAATATTTAAGATATTCAGTTATACTACTTACGTAGAAAATAACAATCTACATATACATTGTATTGTAAATTTATCAGTCATTTGACCAACTAATCCCTTCTAGTAAAACAAACATATCAAATTCTAACTTTAAAAAAAGAATTATGCTAGATTACATAATGTGACAAAAGTACTGAAAAACTTGTCTTTTCACACATGACATTCATTCTATAAATAGGAAAAGGAAATCAAGCTCACAAATAGACATGGGGCAACACTTAATATATTTATAGCACCAAATATTAATGTGTAAAAATTATATATCTAGGTTTCAAATTACAAAATCTCTATCCTATGCTTTGATGTTGATCTAAGTAACTACAATGGTGGCAGACATAGAGATAGTTTTCATGTTAGAACTGTTACAGGTTATTTAACTACAATGGTGGCCGACATAGAGATAGTTTTCATGTTAGAACTGTTACAGGTTATTTAACTTCTCAATTTTCACAAAATAAACAAGTTGGATAAATTCATGGATATTATGAAATCAAAGAGCTGAAAGCTCTGAGGAAAAATGACGCCACTGTCTCTAATATTGTGATATTTTTTATGCAAGTCTTGATTTTCACATACCGTAATTAGTTTAACATTCCAACATGTCTCATAAGCATATAATTGATATTCGTATATGTGTGTGTTATGTGAAGATGACAACTGGCTGTTTTTTTAGTACAAATGTATAGGTCAAGACTACCTGAATGATCTACAGTATCCAATGACTACTGGCTGTTTTTTTTCTATAAATAAATAGGTCAAGACTACCTGAATGATCTAAAGTATTCTAAGTAATGTGATTTTTGTCTTGCAATTACATTTTTCTAAATCAAGAATATAGACTACTAGTATCCTTTTCAAACCAAATGATTATGAATTAAGAGCCTGTTGTTATCAAGCTCTTATACCCCACATACTCATTAAATGAAAGAACCTTAGTGAGCGCGCTCACATACCCCACGTCCCCACATTGTCATTGGAGAAATAAAATAAGTGTAAGAAAAAAAAATTGTATCAGAAAAAAAAATTGAATCATAATTTCCTGTCAATATGCACATCTACATAGTACGTCCTTATTATCTACACAGTTTCATGAAATTCTGTTGTGTGGTTTGAGAGGAGTTGCGATGACAAAAAGTTGCAGTAGTATATTGGGCAAATAAGTTCAAAGGTGCGTAACTCCTGGAAAAAAAATTGAATCGTAATTTCCTGTCGATATGCACATCTACGTAGTATGTCCTTATTATCTGAAAAGGTTTCATGAAATTCTGTTGTGTGGTTTGAGAGGAGTTGCGATGACAAACTGTTGCAGTAGTACATTAAAGTAAATAAGTTCAAAGGGGCGTAACTCCTAGAAAAAAAATTGAATCGTAATTTCCTGTCGATATGCACAACTACATAGTATGTCCTTATTATCTTAAAAGGTTTCGTGAAATTCTGTTGTGTGGTTTGAGAGGAGTTGCGATGACAAGAAACAGGACTGACGGGTCAAAAACATTATACCCTCCGCAACTCGTTGCGTGGGGTATAATAAGTTACTAGTGACCTAGTTATTTCTGTTACTTGAAGCAAATTATATTTCTGTAGATTTAGACAATAGTATAATATTGTTTTACTAGTTTTATTTCACCTTGAAGATTAGACAAATAGGGATACTCCTTTGATTTTTTATTTCATGTCAGTCAGGTCGTTTTATATGAAACTTGAAACCACTTCTCTGCCATATTGTTATTTCATAACAACTCTGCCCTTGACCACGTTGACCCATGTAATTGATATTCATTCTTTCAAATGTCTGTCTCCATTTAAGTTAATGACATTGAACAATCATGGTATTAAACACAATTTTAATAGTGATAATGCTGTTCTAGTAGGTCACCATATATTCAACTTGGGTAGCATTCCAGTTATTGAAATTTGTGTCAGATTAGAACAATGATCTAGACCTTTAGGAATGGATCTTACAATTTAATATGGAGCAATAGTATGGGACCCCTACACGGTAACAAAAAAAAACCAAGCTTGAAAGGATACAACGTCAAGCGGCAAAATCTATCACCAGAAATTACAAGTCATGAGAGGATGGACGGGATACGTCTCTAAAATGCTTGCCTAACTGGAACTACAAGAAGATCTCCAGACAAGACGAACAAGGAGTTGAAGCCAGAAGTTAATATTTATGTAAAAAGTAGTTGAGGGGCTGATTCCCGCTATTGAACCATACTGCCATTCTATAATATTATTGCGTAAGTATTTCTGTATTGTCCTTGTTATTGGTCCATGTCTTGGTGTATTGGTCTGAGGCGAAGCCGAAGGCCAAAACTGATGGCCGAGGACCAACAATAAGGCCAATACAGAAATACATGTAATAGTATCTTTATTAATTAACTACAGTGTTACAATATTTTTTTATTTCATTTCACAAGAGATAAACATTTTTACCTTGAAGTGGAACTATCCAAATCTCAGTTTCTTTTTATAAGATGCAATATCTAATGATTTGGTGCCGTTTCCATGTATCTTCAGCCTTTTCTCATCTGATGAATTTTTCTACCCTTTCCAGTTACTATAAAGTGTTACAACTTTAATTTAGACACAACACATAAATAGTAATTGGAAAGGTACTGCCATTGCATGTGTAATGCAAATATATTTAAAAAAAAAAATAATGTAAGAGTTGAAATTGATACAACTATCCATCATTTTGTCCATAAGCCAATTGACCAAAGAACGAAGATTTGCACAAATACAGAATGCATATGCCTGGTTCGGGTTTAAAAATAAAAGACCGTTTACAAAACATGAGAAGCGAAAGTAAACAGTAAAAATCGATTTGTACCATCGACATGATGAAATTATGAGGTCGTCAAGAAATGAACTTTGTGATAATTTACTCGTTCCCCAAACCTGAAATAATTCCATCGTACTTTCAAAATGCTTTTCAAATGAATGGGACCGTCTTTAACCTAAAATATATGCCATACTGAACGTTTCAGCTTGTTTATGGTGAGTAAATAAAAACTGCGTCGTACAAACAACTGTTTACTTTCAGTTTGAGTTTATCGTGACTTACGATCTAAAAACTAGAGACGTTCCGAAATCCTGTTTTGGCCGGATCAGAACTCGGCCAATACGGAAAAAAATCTGTATTGGCCGAGTTGACATCTTATATTGCATATGCAGTTTTCATCATATTAAGTACAATAACAGTGTAGTTAATTAACAATGATACAGTTACAGACTCTGCTGCTATAACTTTGTAAACAAAGATTCATACGCACCGCGTGGGTATAACCGTATTACTAATTTCCGATTATTAAAATCTTCGTAAATCTGGATAAAGACCAGTTTCTATCCAATGGATATCAAAAAGATTCCGATTATTACTTTTTTAATGATTGTAAAGTTGAAATGGCATGAAAGGCTGACATTATTTAGGAGAACTATTTTGTCTAGCGATTGCTGATCATTGGAGGGTAAAAAGTCCAACACCATAACAAAACGGATCTATTTATCATGTATACATACCGATTGTTTACGATTGTAAGACATGTGCATAAAAGTGAAAGCTCGAATAAATATGAAAAATATAACAAAGGGATAGCTCCAAATACCATTTAATAACAAAAAACATATGGACAGGTCAAGATATCTTTTTGGTAAATAAAATATAAAGTATGTAAACTGGTTCCGTCCGACTACAACACTTTGTTCGAGTGTAGCGTAATACAAGCAGATTTCAGTTAGTATGTAAAATAGTAAATATGAAACCGAGTGCGGTAGGCGGAGGCATAATCAACTTCCGTTAGTTCTGGTCAATGGTATCGGAAACATGCCGCTGATAGCGTCATTTTCCAAAAAATAAATTTCATTAGCATTTCCTAGAAATCTTTTTTAAACCTATAATTTAAACTTTTATACGGTAATTACAAATCAGTTACTAATATTTCTTAAAACCCAATTGCAATGATATATCTCTTGAAAAACACTCTCTCTGACAGCAGTTCCCCAACAAAATGAAGATTAACATATTTATCGTGACCTTCCATTTTTGAAATGCATAAATAATTCAAAAACAAAACAAATATGAAATGCACCAATTATTATCTTGTACTTTACAATAAAAAAAAACCAAATTTGTTCCAAAACATAGAAACATAGGAAGAAGCAGACATTGAAGAATCCGCTTACATCTGTACATAATGTTTAAATAAACAATACAAATTTACATCTATGGAATATATGTCTTATAATAATACATCTTATAGTTTAATGCCATTGATAGTGATCAATAAAAACTGAATCTTAGTTATCCATTTACTTGAACCAATTCTGAACTGTTACTTTAAATTTTACTGTGTTATTGCTTATCACAAGTATCTCATAACTTAAAATTATCAGACAGGAATCCAAGAAATAATGTTGATTCCACACTGATTGTGTATGTTTCCCCCCTCCCATGTCTTTTTTTTTATAAAGTAAATGACAGGCATCTTGATTCCTTTTCAAGTACTTGAATCATTACAATCATTTCTCTTATCAATATTATTATGCAATTTTGATTAAAAAAGAAAATCAAGTAATAACTGACCAATATCAAAATCTAATGCTTCAGTACAACTTCTTCTTTCTTCTCATAGCATTGAAAAATCTTATTTGAATATGCCTAACGATGTATAAAGTCAAAAATCCAATCACTTATTTATTCAGATTTCGTGTTTCAGACAGGTGTCGGTTTTTTCTTCCAGCTTAAAGCTGTTCAAATATTTAAGTGTCGTATAATTAAAAACAGTGTTTTACGAACAAAATCACTGCACTGTAGTTAAAAGTAGCATTCCTATGTAATATCTATAAATACAGGATCTCCCTTCACTGGCACTAAATTTGTTTGTAATTTACACATTGTTTTTCAATTTCCAATTACACAATGTAATATCAAATACAACCTTTTATTTTTTATTTTTTTTTGTAATTTTTGCTGATTTTTATGCTTATGAAGTGTTCTAAAATCATTTATCAATAATTTTCAACCCTTTATTAGAAATAAAGGAAATAATTGTTTCCAATAGAAATATCCCAAATAACCATTATAAGACTTGAAACTGACCATAGTTTCATCAAGTGAAGAAAAACTTTTTTTCCTGAACTCCTGTGGCCATAAAGGATGCACAGACATTCATAAATGCTGATTATACACAACCGGTAATGATAGAAAATATATTAAAATTTGATAAAAATTGAAAATAAGAGATCCATTCACTTAAACTAAAGTTAGAGTGCGAAAACCAATGTGTCTTCGGATGAAGACGAGGACGACGACAACGTCATACCAATATACGACCGCAAAATTTGTTTGCTGTCGTATAAAAACCCTTGAAAATGAATGACAGTATTTTGCCTTAAAATTAATGAAAAGTACCCATATTATAAGAAATTTAATTATATACTTAGTTTATCTCTCTTTTGTCCTTATTACTAAAGGAGGCTATTGAAAATCTTAATTAATTGATAAAGGGAATATTACTATTAAACTTTTACCTTTAATTTATCCACCCATAAGTAATTTCTCTTAATAATTGAACACTTAATTCATATGCCATTATACAACAACAGTCTTTGGTCCAGCAGTAACACACTATCACACTAATTTCTGAGCATTAACACACTATGATATGTCTAAATAATAAGGCCATTAACACATCAAAAACCGTTTGTTTTTCTACAAAACTACATCAAATGATTTTCAACATATTTTCTACACTTCAAAAAATCCATATGTGTGCATTCAATGGGTTTTACCTCAGTTTTCACCAAAATGCTTTTGTCTTCCTTTAAAAAAAAACAAAAAGTACATATTTCTATATTGTGAAAGATGAGATTGATTCTACCCTTTCTGAAGCGTTTAACATATATTTAAATGAATCGTTTAAAATCGAATCTATCAAAAATCTTGTTGAAAAATTATAAATTATCATCCCATGGAAGTTTTTCATTCAATAAATGTTGTGTGGCAAGTGAAGGCAGTATTGCAAACTTACAAATACCGGTAGTGTACTAACTTCAACTGTTAACTGAGATTATGAAATATCATTTTTCTTATTTTTTTTCTAATAATATGCAACTCCTCCAATGAATAAAAATGAAACCCATTCTATAGAAATTACAATGATATTAAAATAGCTAAGAAAGCAAAGTAAATAGTTATTTCAGTAAGTATACAGTGTATATAAATCTTATAAGGACATCAGAGAATGTATTATAATAATATGATCTTGTAAAAATCATGGCCATATATATTTCAAGACATTCAATGCCAAGATTATCTCATTTGCACCAATTGTTATTTTTATTTCACAAAATGGAAATCCAATGTTTGATAAGAAGGAACAAAATAAACATGAATTTATAAAATTCATACTGAGACAAAAAATATTATGGATCACAGGAGAATCATTTAAAAGTTTTAAAAATTAAATATACAAGGCTTTAAAAGCATCAGCGTCTCTATAAAAAACAATGGACTGATCCAAATATAACTTGGACCCATCCTCGTCTGACATCACTGGCTGTGTGGCTGACTTTTGGAGGTACAGCAATGATAACAGATGCTGTCATTGGTTCACTAACGCACTTCTTGCCGCAACTTTTCTATCTAGTCTGTTTTGTAAATGTCTATTTGAATTTGTTAACTCCTCTACACGATTTTGACATTCTCGCAACTAAAAAAAAAGAAAAATTTCAAAAGACAAGTCATAGCAATTTTGAACATTAAATTTCATATATATTTGTTAGTTACATTTAATGTCCAACTATTGACAACATTTTTTCAATATCTGTTTAAATTCTAGAAATTATGAAAAATTTTGGAATTCGTAGTAAGATTGTGGTGGTCATGGTAAGGTCATAGTAAAGACGAGCCAAGGTCTTCATGATCTTGGAGGTCCATGACCAACTTTGAACATGCTCAAAACATTTGTAGTGCAGTCGTGGCCAAAATTAGTCGTAGTAGAAGCATAGGAAGGTTGTAGTAAGGATGTAGTAAGATAGGGATGGGCGTAGAAGAATTGTATTAGAAAAGTGGTGCAATGGGGAAGCCAATGGAAAAGATTTTGCTGCGACCTTACTAAGATTTCACTGCGACTATCCTGATTTCACTACATCTTTATTACGCTTCTACTACAATATTGATACAATTAAACTAGGATGAGGAAGACAATAATAAGCTGCTACTAGGCGCTTGCTGTCCTTAGTATGAGCTTACTATGATACTACTATGTCCTAGCCATGATAATTGCACAACCTCATTCTGTTGATATAAAAAAAAGGATGCAATAACTTTTGGTACCTTTGGGGGCATTTTGTCTCAAGGAAACTGGTGTGTACAATGGGAAAGTCAAGATATTTATAGGGACGAAGAGCTTAGTGAAAACGTAGTGGAGTCGTGGTTCGATCGTAGTAGACTAATATTGAGATTGTAATGCGATCAGGAAGGTCTTGGTAGAAGCATACAGAGATTGTGTAAGTCGTGGTAAGGTCTTATTATATGTAGCAAGATCGTAACTAGAAGGTGTTACTTTCGTTGCAGGATCTTATCACAATCATAGCAAGGTCGTGGTATGAACTTGAAAACTATAAAATATTCAATATTCAAGCTGACCATACCATGATCTCACCAGGATCTTATTTTTTTATGGATCGTAGTGGGATCTTCATTGTCTTGGTCTAGTGTGACAGGGCTATCAGATTCAGCAGGATTAAAGAACCCCAAGAATTCAAGACTTTAAATTAAACCCAATTGAAATTGGTCAAGAAATAAGCGATTTATACAAAGTATTAGAAAAGTATTGTTTTTGGCCCTTATTCCTAAATAGCTCTGACCATAACACCCAAAATCAACCCCAACCTTCCTTTTTTGGTATGGAACCTAGTGGTAAAATTTCATAGAGATCCATGGACTTATAAACCCAAGTTATTATCCATAAACCAGAAAATCCTTGTTTTTTGGCCCCTAATCTTCCTATTGAGGTATGGAACCTTGTGGTACAATTTCATAGAGATCCATACACTTTTACTCAAGTTATTGTTTACAGACAATGACGACGACATTGCCATAGCTTTATACAATAAAATGCTGAAATTTTAAATAAGCCTTATAATTACTTTCAATGAAAATATTACCTCTCTTTGCAGTTTTCTTCGTTCTGTTTTTAATTCATCTTCCAGTTTTTCATAATCTTCAGCCTCAGTTTTATATCTTTTAACTTGAGAATCTAATCTATTTACCTTTAATTAAAAGTAGAATATTGTCATATTTCATAGAGAGGTATTACAAATTTACAATTGCAATATTTAATGCCATACGTAAATTGTTATTGTTTACAATGTCCAAAAATTATTATGGATATCAAAATAAATTGTTATAATAAATAATGTCAAAATATATCAAGTCTTAAAGTTCTTTGCTTTAGCAAACTAACTTGTAAGAGATAATCCATTCATTTATTTTTGTTTTCCATCAAACAGTGGACATGTTTTCCAAACTATATAGACCCACATGCTGACAATAAGCTACTTGAATAATAAATAACTCACAGTTCCTTCTAAATTTGTCATATCTTGTTCAGCTTTCTGTAATTTTAATTTATATTCATGAATCTGTTTACTGGCCTCTCCTGTAATTTCAGAATATTGTTTTATTAATTGTTCAAACTTATTTTATCATTCTGGAAAAAAACAATGTATGTTATACCAAATTTTCAACTATTAACTTTGTCTTTTCCATGTTTATGATATGTGTATTTAATCAGATGAATGTTTCATTGTATTATCTACACTCAATCAATTTTCAGGCTGTTAACATAAGGAAATAAATTATCTAATCAACAAAAATCTTCAGGATATCATTATCCAGTGATTGGCTTTTCAAGGAGAAATTTAATAAACTTTTTAGAAACATTAGCTATTGTATTTATTCAATTGGGCAGTTTAAATTGCAAAACTTTAAATAGCCTGACAAAGACCAACTGATTCTGGGGAAAGGTTTTATTTCTTTTTGCAATAAATTTCAAGCTTATCTATTCTCAGTGAATTTATCATTCTCTTTGACCTTGAATTTTGAATCTTGAAAATGGGAAATTCTGGCTGAATCTGAAATTTCTTAATAAATCAATTTTTTTATGATTGGAAATGTGCCAAACTATAATTTCTGTATGGGAAAAATAAATTAAATGAATTTCTTAAATTGAGTATTGTTTAATTTTTGTTTCTTACCAACATCTACCCAACTGATATTCTACTTTAACACCAAACATACATACTTTGTACTTCATATAATTGCATTTCTGGTCCATTCACTTCAGGAACTTCTTTACTTTTATATCGTTTCGATTTTTCTTCATGTAATTCGTCTTGAGAACTCTGAAGCTGTAAAATAATTAGGTTTGTTTTTAATAATTCTGCAAACATGTACATCTTCAAACTTGGTATGTTTGTAATTTGCTTAATATTAATGAATTCTATAAAACTAGACTGATATTGTTCTTAATACATATTCTATATATTTTCTTTCGAGGGTATGTGAATATTTGGCCAAGGTTATAGTTGGTTTATTACTTGTTAAGCCACTGACCAAACATTGAGGTCTGTTCTAATTCAGTAGCCTGCTGGGGCTTCCCCCTATCTCTTTTCTTGTGTTTATAAGTTTTAAAGTTTAAGTTTTCACATTCAAATATTTTTTTTTGTTTTATGTTGTTATTTTTACACTGATCCTACAACTCCTATTTATTTACATGTAAAATATGTTAGGGCTGTTCCATGAAAACATACATGAGACCCATGGAAGGCAATTTGAAATCTCCACTTTGGGTTGGTGTCAAGTACAGTGAAATTCTTAATTTTGCTCTATAGGTGGTTACTCCTTTTTGAAAGTGCCTACCCTGTGTAGGTTTTAATTGAACAGCCTTTACCATAAACAGTAATGTAATTAGAATGCATCAGTTTACTTGTGTGACTTTTACACAATTTATCTGCTTTTAAGCTTTTTTACACTCCTAAGACAGATCAAAATCTTTACATTCTAAACTTGCAAAAACTTGTATTTGCTTATAAGACCATACAGTATTGTTAAAATTATTGACATTGACGAAGGCTATTTGTTAAGCGGAAATATTTGTCAACACGATTTTATTACATCATCTTCGTATATTACCATCTTATTAGTACCGTTGTGCAAATCTTTAGACTTGTATATATATATATATATATATACACGCAAGTTAACAATGACATATGCTCATTTGTTGCTTAAATCCCATCAGTTCTTTCATTTTTTATTACTAACAGTCACATTTTTCTAACTTGATGTGAACATCTTTACTGAGCAATATAATTGAGGTGTGAACATCTTCACTGAGCAATATAATTTATGTGTGAACATCTAAACTAAACAATATAATTGAGGTGTGAACATCTTCACTGAGCAATATAATCTAGGTGTGAACATCTTTACTGAACAATATAATTTATGTGTGAACATCTTTACCGAACAATATAATTTAGGTGTGAACATCTAAACTAAACAATATAATTGAGGTGTGAACATCTTCACTGAGCAATATAATTTAGGTGTGAACATCTTTACTGAACAATATAATTTAGGTGTGAACATCTTTACTGAACAATATAATTTAGGTGTGAACATCTAAACTAAACAATATAATCTAGGTGTGAACATCTTTACTGAACAACATAATCTAGGTGTGAACATCTTTACTGAACAATATAATCTAGGTGTGAACATCTAAACTAAACAATATAATCTAGGTGTGAACATCTTTACTGAACAACATAATCTAGGTGTGAACATCTTTACTGAACAATATAATCTAGGTGTGAACATCTTTACTGAACAATATAATTTATGTGTGAACATCTTTACTGAACAATATAATTTAGGTGTGAACATCTTTAATAAACTGCTTCGCTGAGCGCAGCTAGATACGCCCGCAGAGGTCCAACCCTGAACAGTTGGGGCAAAAATGGACACAATATTCAAGCTTGATTCAGGTCCGAATTTGGATTGTAATTAAATATTTGACATATTATAGGTTTCTGAATAAATGAAGTCAAAGATCTTGAAATTGGTTATATGAATTGAATGTATATTCAATTAAAGATTTCTTGCTGTTGTGCAATACTTAGTAAATCTGTTGTCAGACTATAAACAAATAAAGTTCAATTAATTCTCAATGTCATATTAGAAATTTATGAAAATAAAAAGGGAGCTTACATCAATAGATATAAACAATTCACCAAAGTTTCATGAGAATTGGTGGCAGCATTTTTGAGTTATTGTCAGAAAACTGGAAAATCACCCCTTTTTTAATGAATAAAACCCCATAACTCAGAAATGTAAAATGTAAAATTTATAAAATTCTAACGGGAGCTTACATCAATACATACAAACAATTCACCAAAGTTTCATAAGAATTGCTGAAAGCATTTTTGAGTTTTTGTCCAAAAACTGGAAAATCCCCCCTTTTTTCATAAATAAAACCCTGTAACTCGGAAACGTAAAATCTAAAATTTATAAAAATTAAAAGGGAGCTCATGTCAATAGATATAAACAATTCACCACAATTTCTTGCAAGTTGGTGAAAGCATTCTTGAATTATTGTCCAAAAACTGGAAAATCCCCCTTTTTTTAATGAATAAAACCCCATAACTCGGAAACGTAAAATCTAAATTTTATAAAAAACGAAAGGGAGCTCACGTCAATAGATATAAACAATTCACCAAAGATTTATGCAAATTGGTTAAAGCATTTTTGAGTTAATGTCCGACATGTTGACGACGGACAGACGGACGGACAGATGGACGGACGGACAGACGGACAACGGTATACCATAATACGTCCCATAAACGGGCGTATAAAAACAATATAATCTAGGTGTGAACATCTAAACTAAACAATATAATCTAGGTGTGAACATCTTTACTTAACAACATTAGTTAGGTGTGAACATCTTTACTGAACAATATAATTTAGGTGTGAACATCTTTACTGTACAACATAATCTAGGTGTGAACATCTTTACTGAACAATATAATCTAGGTGTGAACATGTTTACTGAACAATGTAATTAAGGTGTGAACATCTTTACTGAACAATATAATTTACGTGTGAACATCTTTACTAAGCAATATAATTTACAACTTACATCCTTTTTTAAATTTGAAATTTCTTCTGATAATTTCTTTATTTTGTCATCTGAAATAGACAGAATTTAATGGCATTATAATGATATCGCTTTATAATCAAAGAGAAAAGACACATTCAACAATGGCAAATTAATGTGCATCAAAGATCAGAGCTTTATTGCTGTTCTTTCTCTTATCAAGGTCGCTTTAAATGGTTTAAGAAATAAGATTTTCATTAGTACTGTGGATTCATTATAATTTGTGGGGTACCAATTTCATTATGATTCGTGGGGTACCAATTTCATTATAATTTGTGGGGTACCAATTTCATTATGATTCGTGGTGTACCAATTTCATTATAATTTGTGGAGTACCAATTTCATTATAATTTGTGGTGTACCAATTTCATTATGATTCGTGGGGTACCAATTTCATTATGATTCGTGGGGTACCAATTTCATTATAATTTGTGGTGTACCAATTTCATTATAATTTGTGGAGTACCAATTTCATTATAATTTGTGGTGTACCAATTTCATTATGATTCGTGGGGTACCAATTTCATTATGATTCGTGGTGTACCAATTTCATTATGATTTGTGGGGTACCAATTTCATTATGATTCGTGGGTTACCAATTTCATTATAATTTGTGGGGTACCAATTTCATTATAATTTGTGGTGTACCAATTTCATTATAATTTGTGGGTTACCAATTTCATTATAATTTGTGGTGTACCAATTTCATTATAATTTGTGGGTTACCAATTTCATTATAATTTGTGGTGTACCAATTTCATTATAATTTGTGGTGTACCAATTTCATTATGATTCGTGGAGTACCAATTTCATTATGATTCGTGGTGTACCAATTTCATTATGATTCGTGGAGTACCAATTTCATTATGATTCGTGGTGTACCAATTTCATTATAATTTGTGGGGTACCAATTTCATTATGATTCGTGGTGTACCAATTTCATTATGATTCGTGGCGTACCAATTTCATTATAATTCGTGGTGTAATTATAATTTGTGGAGTACCAATTTCATTATAATTCGTGGGGTACCAATTTTCGTGAATATTGTGGGTATATACAGGTTAACCATCAATTTAAGTGTATAATGAAGTACAAATCCTATAGGCTTGTATGCAAACTTTGACAAAAGTAAAAAATCAATTTCCACGAAAAAAATCTTTCCTCAATCCATGAAAATTGGTATCCACAAAAATAAATGAAACCACATCCTGTATAATGTACTTTGAACACTGGTTGGTGATTGTAATTTTTATATGTAATTATTGAAGTAATAGCTATCAGTTCCTCACTAGCAAATGAGTTGTTTGCTGAAAATACACAACTTCTAACAACAAAAAAGGACACATATTTAATGGTATATAAACATATTCTATATCATCATTTTTCAAAGTGATTAAAGCTTGTGTATCTTTATCCAGCACACACTTTTTTATATCAAATTAATTGTGCTCTTAATCGTACAAACTGTTAAATCGAAGTGCTTGTAAGCACTGAAGGGTAAAGATTGCTGTAATTTATCAGTGAGAAGTAAAATTAAATCTACTGCAAAGTAGTGATAAACATTGGAAGATTTAGATATCAAGTCAGTACCATAGGGTTTTGATTGCATTTCATGCAATCTTTACCCAAAAAGCTTGGGATGGGTTGATGATAGCAATACCTACAAGTTATTCAAGTTAAGAGTATATCTTATATGAAATCATGTCAATACATTACCTAACGAGCCTTCTATCTTATCAAGGATATCAGCTGTTTCAGAAGATATTAATAAACTTCCCGTCGTCGATGTTACTGTACCATTTAATGTGGGACATTTTTCTATAGAAAATTCTCCCTCTTCACTTGTTACAAGGGCAAAACCACTTTCCTATAGAATAAATGCTGACAATTTAGATATACCAGACATCACTCAAATTCAAATGTGACTACTTTCAACTTATTTTTGAAGTATAGATCACAATAATGTGGTCATAAACACATTCATTGGAACTGAAGTATAGATCACAATAATGTGGTCATAAACATATTCATTGGAACTGAAGTATAGATCACAATGGCGTGGTCATAAACACATTCATCAGAACTGAAGTATAGATCACAATAGTGTGGTCATAAACACATTCATCAGAACTGAAGTATAGATCACAATAGTGTGGTCATAAACACATTCATCGGAACAGAAGTATAGATCGCAATGGTGTGGTCATAAACACATTCATCGGAACAGAAGTATAGATCGCAATAGTGTGGTCATAAACACATTCATTGGAACAGAAGTATAGATCACAATGGTGTGGTCATAAACACATTCATTGGAACAGAAGTATTTCACAATTTGAATCATGCTACAAAAAGATTTTATCAAAATATTTTCAGAATTGAAATGTAGCAGACTTTTATCAAAAAATGAATGGAAAACTGGTTATTGAAATGCAAACATAACATTAGCTTTCACTGTTGGCTTTAAATAAATAAATGTGAAAGGAGGAAACTTTTGAACCAATAAACCTGAAATTTTGTTATTGCATATGTCCATTTCTTAAATCAGACACATTTGAAAGATACAACCAACCATCTTATGTTACAAGACAGAAAATCCCAAAGTTAATAATTAGAACAGTTCATAATCTTCATATGTAGATAAATTAACACTACAATAATAATATGATAAACATTTCTAACAACGTTTTTTTTGTTTAACATTTTTAAGTTTTTAAATTTGATATACTGAACTTTAAAAGTGTACACTCAAACTTAATCTAATCCTTTTTAGATCTTGCAACATACATGTAAATCATTTTCTTAATGTTCATGATTTACTATTGTTCACAAAGAACTTCATTAATAAATAAAAAATGAAATTGTACCCACTCACCTTTACTAGCTTGTCTCTCAGTTCTAATTGTTCTTTTACACAAGAGAAATTTGTATTTAATTCTGTATAAGATCTTTTCTGGTTTTCTAATTCCTGCAATACATAAAATTCACCATTAACTATCATACACCAATACCATCATGCTGTGAGCTCTTACTCACTAATGGTACCTCCACTATAACTAATCGGTAAATTGCCACTAATTGTCAGTGTTAAACTGTGTTTACTTGTGATCTATATATATATATCGTCTCTGAGATGGTCAGTATCTACCTGTGCTCTTTTTTATATTGTTTGAGATTGTATTTACCTGTGATCTATATAAATATTGTCTGTGTGATTGTCATTATTTACCTGTGCTTTTTTTTACATTGTTTGAGATTGTAAGTATTTACCTGTGATTTATTTTTATATTGTCTGTGATGGTCAGTATTTACCTATGATGTATTTTTATATTGTCTGTGTGATTGTAATTATTTACCTGTGATCTATTTTTATATTGTCTGTGATTGTCAGTATTTACCTATGATCTATTTTTATATTGTCTGTGATTGTCAGTATTTACCTATGATATATTTTAATATTGTCTGTGATTGTCAGTATTTACCTATGATCTATTTTAATATTGTCTGTGATTGTCAGTATTTACCTATGATCTATTTTTATATTGTCTGTGTGATTGTAAGTATTTACTTGTGATCTATTTTTATATTGTCTGTGATTGTCAGTATTTACCTATGATATTTTCTTTTATTGTCTGTGTGATTGTCAGTATTTACCTATGATATATTTAATATTGTCTGTGATTGTCAGTTTTTATCTGTGCTCTCTTTTATATTGTCTGTGATTGTAAGTATTTACCTGTGATTTATATAAACATTGTCTGAATAAACCTGTGATCTATTTTTATATTGTATGTGATTGTCAGTTTTTAACTGCGATATATTTTTTATATTGTGTGATTATCAGTATTTACCTGTGATCTATATAAGAATTGTCTGTGATTGTCAGTCAGTATTTACCTATGATCTATTTTAATATTGTCTGTGATTGTCAGTATTTACCTATGATCTTTTTTTATATTGTCTGTGATTGCCAGTATTTACCTATGATCTATTTTTATATTGTCTGTGTGATTGTCATTATTTACCTGTGATCTATTTTTATATTGTCTGTGATTGTCAGTATTTTCCTATGATATATTCTTATATTGTCTGTGTGATTGTCAGTATTTACCTATGATATATTTCAATATTGTCTTTGATTGCCAGTATTTATCTGTGCTCTCTTTTATATTGTCTGTGATTGTAAGTTTTTACCTGTGATTTATATAAACATTGTCTGAATAAACCTGTGATCTATTTTTATATTGTATGTGATTGTCAGTTTTTACCTGCCATATATTTTTTATATTGTGTGATTATCAGTATTTACCTGTGATCTATTTTTATAGTGACTGTGATGGTCAGTATTTACCTATGATTTATTTTCATATAGTCTTTGATTGTCAATAAAAATCTATGATCTATTTTTATACTGTCTTGTGATTTTCAGTATTCACCTGTAATCTATTTTATATTCTCTCTTTGGTTATCTCTAAAAAGTATTTGTTATAGTACTCCATCCTCGTGATTAAGATCTTACTTGATTCCATTCACTCAATTGTTGATAATAATGTTGAAATAAATATTATTACTTTTCGGAAAAAAATTATTTTCGTATGACATAAATGTTGCTTTTTAAAATCTGTTCAGAAATATATCAGTTACACTCATCGTTTTGTTTAACAAATTTTTTTAACTTTATTTTGTTTTGCCTTCTTCTTTTTTTCCATCATTTCTTCATTTATTCCACTAGGTAAGCTAAGTGTCTCTTCCAAACCTTAAATATATATTATTCTAACGACAAATAAATGGTGTTAATATATACATAAGTGTTTTCCATAAAAACCGGCCGCGTGCCAAATTGACCGTTTCAAACAGTGTTTTGCCCGGTTCAATCGTCATCAGCAAAACAAAATATGTGTGCATATTTTACTTATTAGATTATTTTGAGCGTTGCAATTATTATTTTTGTTCTTGGTTTATATTTACATTTGAGAGTTCCGGTTAGTATTTCTATCGGAACAATCAGCCGTTATCCATCGAACAAGATTTCTTAGGAAAATCCCAAGAGATATCTAGTATAAATACAAAGTCGTGCCATGTGATGAATGATGAAACGTTCAATTACAGATTTTTCCCGGCTAAGCGACACAATGGTGTGCATTTTTACGATAATATATTGATAAAATGCTTTGCTGAGCGCAGCCTGATACGACCGCAGAGGTCAAACCATGAACAGTTTGGGCAAATTTGGACACAATATTCAAGCTTGATACTGTCTGAATTTGGATTGTAATCAAATTTTTGATATAATATAGGTTTCTGACACAAAATAAATGTGGTCTATGATCTTATAAATCCATTGCGCAATTGAAGATTTCTTCTTGAAACTTTTCAAAAATTCGAAATTTTTAAAATTTTGTAAAAAAATATGAATCCTTTAAAAAAATGGGAAAAAAATTCCCCTCCCCCACTTTTTGAAACCCCCCTTGGAGCAATAACCCCAAAACACAATTGTTATTGTCTGGAAACTAGAAAAATGCTTGTTTTTGGCCCTTTTTTTGGCCCCTAATTCCTACATGTTTGGGACAATTAACCCCAAACTCAATCGCAGCCTTCCCTTTGTTATATGGAACCCTGTGGTACAATGTCAGAGAGATCCATACACTTACACACAAGTTATTGTCTGGGAACTATAAAAATGCTTGTTTTTGGCCCCTTAATTCCTAAACTGTTGGCCCCCATAACCCCTAAAATGAATCCCAACCTTCTGCTTTTGTTATTAATCATTGTGGTACAATTTCAGAGCAATCGAAATACTTATACACAAGTTTTTATCCTGAAACTAGAAAAATGCTTGTTGTTAGCCCCTAATTCCTAAACAGTTAGGACCATCATCCCCAAAATCAATCACAACCTTCCTTTTGTGGTATTGAACTTTCTTAAAAAATTTCATAGAGATCCATTCACTTAAATTAAAGTTATTGTCCGGAAACCAATGTGTCTTCGGACGACGACATCATACCATTATACAATCCCAAAAATTTTTTTGCGGTCGTATAATAACGTTTGCATGCATGAGTTTGATTGTTTTTCAATTTTGTTCTGTTGTGTTTAGTTTAATTCGCGAATGAATCAATGGCATGATAATTGATTTGCATGACGGTAGAATAGACCCACCAAGGCCTTCAAACTTAATAAGTGCAGACTTAATTTTTAGAAAAAAAAACTGCTAATAATATGTCCATTTGACAAGCATGAAATCTTAAGTCTTAGAATTTACCAGATGCCACAATTTTGTGTCTAGATTTCAAAATTTTTTCAAAATTTGCCTGATAGGCCAAAATGAATGGAAAATCCTGAAACATGTCTCAAGGTACTTGTATAAATGATGATTAATTGCCTACACACTTTAGTATAATGTTGGTTTGTTTTTGTAATTGGCACTGTAAATATGTATTTGTGTATGCTCTTAAGTAGCATGCATTTTTCACTGTAGTTCTACTATTCTAAATACAAATGTTAAAGCGGCATTAGCTGTCAAATTCATGTTCACCGATTTGACTCAAATTCTCATATTTGATTTTAATATAACATACCAAAACATATATCCAATTTATAAAAAGGATAAAATAAACAATTTACGATGCATGGGCTCGATAATATGAATCAGAATTTCGTGTATATTTTAGTCTAGACGCCATCTAATTAACCAGTGATCAGGAATGTTGTGCGCCATGCGCAAATTGAGCATTTTGGCAAGAAATGGCGCATAGAGTGGCAAATGTCTGCGCCAGTATGGCGCACAATATTTTTTGCTTCGTATCTAAACATTTAGATATAGTAAAATGGATTTCCGATCATGTCTTGGTCTTCGGTTCGTTTGTTAATTTTGTAAACATGCCTTCAGCGAATTGTTGTTGTGTCTTATCAAAAAACTTTACTCTCTTTTGTTAGTCTTGATAAAATAAAAATGATACAAGAAATGCATAGGAAATGTCTGAAACGTCCTCTTATACGGAACGTCGGGAAGAAAGTATGGCAATCGACGAAGACCCAAATTTAATTTCAAAGGAACATGAACATGAACAAGGAGACGGTACCAGTATTAACATTGTAAATAAAGGTTCTCTTAAATATAGACCGGTTTGGGAGAAGTTATGGCCCTGGTTTCTGTATGATGGCAGCCAAATGTACTGCAAATCTTGCCAAAAATCATTTCAACTAACTTTGAATTTAATTGTTCTAGTTTCCTTATTAAGATTCATTTCTTCTTTCTTCAATATTTTGTGCCTCAAAATCTATATCAGCTACTTTTAGTCTGCCATTGTCACAGTTCTAGTAACTCAGTTTATTGTTTTTGCCCAATATTAATACAATGTAACAGGGATTATTTTTATCTTTTATAATGTTACTTCTATGATTGTACTGTATGGTTTGATAATTATTAATATACATGTATGTTCAAGTTTCATGTTTTATCAAAAGAATGAAATTTAATCAACATGATCAAATATCATAGAATTTTCAATAATTACTAGTACAGATTTTAAAAATCAGTCCAGATCAGATGTCTATTCTTTATCTCAGCATTTCCTTATTAATGATTTTGTTCATTGAAGTGGTGTTGGTCTAGTCATATGCTGCTCAGTTTTATAGTTTTTTATTATAAGTCATAAAAAGTTTAATTTCTGAGTGATGTTACATTTCATGAACTCATACAATGTCATTCTTAGTCACATCAAAGACATATATTCTTTTGTAACATAAATCACCATGAACTAAATTAACTTTTATTCACTGAAACTACAAAAGCACAGGAACAATATCCATGATATCAATTAAAATCATACAGTTAGTACCTCTTTGCTGAAACATACATTTTTTTTATTTTTTGTTATAAACTAAATGGCCCAATCATTTGACAACATGGCCCATTAATTCTAAAAATTCGTAAGGGTTCCGCAGAACCCAGTGTCTCGCCTACTTTTGCTGCTAGTCACAGACTCAACAAAAATGGGGAAAAAATTATTAAAAATTTTCCTATAGATACTATCTTTTGATTGTAAGAAGCTTCTGTCCAAGTTTGGTAAAAATCGAGAATGGTTTATGAATCTAATACATGTTTTAAAAACTTTAACTACAGACTGTATGTAATGTTAACTGGAAGAAAAACTAAGTCCATTTATAAGTTATATATGGAAAAACAGGAAATACATTTTTACAAAATTTCCTTCTAGTAAATAGCTTTTGATCATAAACAAGCTTCTGTCCAAGTTTGGTACAAATCCAGGATAGTTTAAGAAAGTTATTAAAATTTTTAAAACTTTAACCACAGAGTGAATGTAATGTTAACTGGAAGAAAAACTAAGTCCATTTATAAGTAATATACGGAAAAACAGGAAATATATTTTTACAAAATTCCCTTCTAGATACTAGCTTTTGATCATAAACTAGCTTCTGTCCAAGTTTGGTACAAATCCAGGATAGTTTAAGAAAGTTATTAAAATTTTAAAAACTTTAACAACAGAGTGAATATTTGTGGACGCCGCCGCCGACAACGGAATGTAGGATCGCTATGTCTCGCTTTTGCGACAAAAGTCGCAGGCTCGACAAAAATGGCCCATTGATTTTATTTTTTGGGGGCCCTGGGCCCATAGAGAACAAATCTTTCCAGATCACTGATTAACCATTGAGGTGACCTCCAATGACTGCCGACCGTCATATAACCCGATATAAACATAAATTTAGAAAGAAATAGATAGCGAACCCGTGCAATTGGATTTTTCTAGGTCTGTTTGATTTCATATTATAGGTTGAAAATATATGTTAATTTTCGTTTTTACCTGTATAAGAATGAGTTTTTGTGGATCGAATTAGTCAATCAAATGATTTACCCATGTTTCACTTTCAATGTTGACATTCTTTTCCTTTTAATAACTGAACACGCCTAATTCATGCGTAACCCATCTCTAGCTAAGGGGTTAAATTGAAGGTTACATGAATACAGATTCAATGAGGTTGAATTATTCACTTGCAAGTTAATAATTCATCAGCGACATTTCTTTGCTTATTTTGACAAAATTGAACCAAACTGGCTGCTAAAAGCAAATTATTATTTCGCTATTTCACTTTCATTAATGATTGAACAAAAAAAAACATATTCTAACGTTTTTTTATATCTTGTAGCTAATCCCCCTTTAATACATGATAAAAATCTTGTACATGTAATATGGAGAGAGCTTTTATAGGCTGTGTGTGCCTGTTGCTCAATCCTTTTCATATCTTAATGAATAAAAGATGTTTAAAATTAAATTAAGATTGTAATGTCTGTCTGGTAGGTCCTGATCACAAACATAGCTTTAAATATAAAAAGCTTGGTTTGACTTTTGAATGCCTTAAAGTTTATTGAAGATACTTGATATTAAAATGGCCAACTACTAGAAGGTATGAGCTGAATAAGATTGGAATGTGTGTCCCAAAGGTTAAGGTCATTTTTTTTATATCAAGATGAATATAAAGGGTTATATAAATATTAAATAAGTCTTGCTTACATCACCTCTTGTTGTGTCTATCTGATATCTTTATATTGTCTGTGATTGTTTCAGTAATTACCCATGAATTATCTTTATATTGTCTGTGATTGTTTCAGTAATTACCCATGATTGATCTTTATATTGTCTGTGTTTGTGTCAGTATTTACTCATGATTTATCTTTATATTGTCTGTGATTGTGACAGTATTTACCCATGATTTATCTATATATTGTCTGTGTTTGTGTCAGTATTTACCCATGATTGATCTTTATATTGTCTGTGATTGTGTCAGTATTTACCCTTGATTTATCTTTATATTGTCTGTGTTTGTGTCAGTATTTACCCATGATTGATCTTTATATTGTCTGTGATTGTGTCAGTATTTACCCTTGATTTATCTTTATATTGTCTGTGATTGTGACAGTATTTACCCATGATTATCTTTATATTGTCTGTGATTGTGTCAGTATTTACCCATGATTTATCTTTGTATCGTCTCTGATTGTTTCAGTAAATACCCATGAATTATCTTTATATTGTCTGTGATTGTGTCAGTATTTACCCATGACTGATCTTTATATTGTCTGTGATTGTGTCAGTATTTAACCTTGATTTATCTTTATATTGTCTGTGATTGTGACAGTATTTACCCATGATTTATCTTTATATTGTCTGTGATTGTGACAGTATTTACCCATGATTTATCTTTTTATTGTCTGTGTTTGTGTCAGTATTTACCCATGATTGATCTTTATATTGTCTGTGATTGTGTCAGTATTTACCCATGATTTATCTTTGTATTGTCTCTGATTGTGTCAATATTTACCAATGATTTATCTTTGTATTGTCTCTGATTGTGTCAGTATTTACCCATGATTTATCTTTATATTGTCTGTGATTGTGTCAGTAATAACCAGTGATTGATCTTTATATTGTCTGTGATTGCCAGTATTTACCCGTGATTTATCTTTATATTGCCTCTGTAAGTCTGTCAGAGATTCCTCTTGTTCTTCCATTTGATCTTTCAGAAGTTCTACTTGATACACCAGTGAATGTTTTTCATTATCAAGTTGAGCATTTGTCATCATAGCTTTTTTAAATTTCTCTTCCATTTCTCGTAACTTTGACTGTAATCAGAAATAACAACACAACTATTATTTTTAGGAGTTTTTGTATCTTTTACCTTCTGTAATCTTTAAGCAAAGAGCAAACATTATTCAATTCTTAACACGTTATAATAAATATTACTACACCTTTTCAAAAAGGGAATTGAAATCATAAAGGTAATTGATTAAGTAGATTACATAGATTCTCTTTAAGCAGATGTGACAATGTGGCTGGATTACATAGATTCTCTTTAAGAAGAAGTGACAATGTGGCATATTTGTTCACAGTTAGACATACAAAATCAATTCTTAAAACTATGTGGCCATACATCACTCATTTGACAATAACATGAGACATTTGCATCAATTATCAACTTCACAGTTTTTTGTGTTTCAATGTTTACCCGACTACTGTGCATCACAATACATGTATGTAGTTTGTGTTTGAATTGGGTCAGAATCCTCTCATTTAAGAATATGGCTATAGAGATACACCAACCAGAACAGTTTTAGAGTAAGATATGATGGAGAGATGTATGAGTATTTATGGTGTGACTCTTGTATGAGTATTTATGGTGTGACTCTTGTAAATAAAACAAAGACGAGTATCTACCTGTTATACTCCCTGGCATGGAAAACACAATGTATGTTAAAACTTTACCTTGAGTTCCCTTGTGAAATCTTTAGCATTTTGGGACAGGTCAAGGTCATCAATAGTTGAAGTAGATTCTTCACTCCCTCTTCTGTGTTCAATACGTGACTGAAATATAAAAGTAATATTCAAGACTTGTAATATAGAAGACTCCTTGTTCTAAATTAATAGATTCAAAAGATTTGTTTAAATAAAGTTTGTTTGACTGATCAGCTAATCTGTTGCCCTTAGTTTTCAATGGTTTGAAAGTAAAACAAACCTAACACTAAGTTAATAACTATTGCTATACTGATATCAAAAATATTAGAGAAAGACAATATTGTACACCCATGAGAAGTGTAACAATGATGTCAGCTGGAGAAAGGACAGTGATAAAGTGTTGTACTTATTATCAAATATTTACATACAAAATTATCAAACAAATAAACGTTAAAACAAACACAAAATATGTGTTAAAAGTAAGCAGTGGTTCATCTATAATAACATATGCACTAAATAAAGGAAATCATTTGAAAAGTATACTATTTTTATACTTGAATATTAACTAAACATGACCATACCCGGGATTCATCATCTTGAGCAGCTTTTTGACGTTCTTCTTCCTGTTACACAAAGTAGTTAGTACATTAACTCAATAATTTGCATATAAAAACTTCAAATACAGCAAAACAGATTTCAAAATCCTTCTTCTGATGCCATTAACAATAAATTATGCATAAAAATGAGGTCAAATTATGCATGACTTCAAGGTCACTAATATTGTTCAATACTTAGCAGCAGAAAAATGCACTTAAAACACAAATCTTTAGACATACCTGTATATTTATTTCGGGAATATTATAGACAATAAGTAAAACTTAAGACATTGAAATGATAATTCCCTGCATTTATAATGTTCACTTTCACACAAAAATACATTTGAACTAAAGAGAAAATATGATTTATTTTTGAGAACTGCACAAGCAGATCTTAGAGTTCTTTGTTTATAGTAAAAGACAAGTGATATTAAATTATGTGCTTTTTGTGTCAAAATACGAAATATTTTACAGAAAAAGTAATATAAAAAGGGATTTACAAATATGCAATACATTACAATAAATGACGATTTCTAGAAAAGAGTTTGCCTTTTATCTATTTTTTCTTTTTTTGCTGTTTCTGCTATTTGGGGTTGGAAAGTTGTGTTGACATATGTAACAAGAGTGCACACACTGAAATGTGTTGACATATGTAACAAGAGTGCACACACTGAAATGTGTTGCCTGTTTTACTCATCATTGAATTTATGTTGAAAGTGTGTAATATGAATATCGAAGATTTTACTACAAGTATCACATAAACTTAACATTATCAATGTTCTTTGAAAATAATGGTCAGATGAACCCTGCCAGACAGACACCTAACAATCATCCCATACACCAAATATAGTGGTTCTATTGCTTATAGAACTTGAGAAACAGATAAAACCACAAAAACTTAACATTTACCAAAGAAGCATGAAAATGAGGTCAAGATCATATGAACCCTGCGAAAAAACATGTACACCTTACAACCATTCCATACACCAAATATAGTTGACCTATTGCTTATAGTATCTAATAAACTGACAAAATTATGAAAACTTATCATTGACCAATGAACTATGAAAATGAGATCCAAGACATACGAACCCTGCCAGACAGACATAAACACCTTACAATCATTCCATATATACCAAATATAATTGACCTATTGCTTATAATATCTGAGAAATAGACGAAACCACAAAAACTAAATATTGTTCAATGAACCATGAAAATGAGGTCAAGGTCAGATGAAACCTGCCAGACAGACATGTACACCTTACAATCATTCCATACACCAAATATAGTGGCCCTATTGCTTATACTATCTGAGAAATAGACCAAACCACAAAAACTAAACGTTGTCCAATTTACAACTAACAATCATTCCATACACCAAATATAATACTAGTTGACCTAATGCTTATAGCATCTGAGATACAGACGTTACTACACAACTTTAACCTTGATCACTGATCCATGAAATAAGGTCAAGGTCAGTGTACCCTGCCTGACAGATATGTAGACGTTGCAAGGAACCAATATATGAAATATCGTTACTCTATTATTCCTAATAAGTGAGTATTTCGAATTCACTTCACAATAAAACTGCAGTTATTTTCAAGCAGTCACTGAACCATGAAAATGAAGTCAAGGACAATAGGGATATGACAGACAGAAACTTTGTAACATATGGCATCTGTTTACCAGGTATGAAGTATCAAGGTCTTCTACCGTCTGAAATATAAAGTTTTATACAAATAGCTTATGCCTTTGATGGATTGTAATCCCTACATGTATGTCTCACATTCTGCAACTTTCGTTGCAGGCCAGACAATAAACTAAAAAAAAATGTTGATCTCATCTCAGAATGTTTTAAAAGTAGTACAAATAATTTTGTGTCATAAGGAAAACAAACTGAAAGCAAACATTCCTTACTCTTGCCATAATTTTAATATAATATCTAATAAAATGCTTCGCTGGGGCGCAGCTTGATACGGCCGCAGAGGTCGAACCCTGAACAGTTGGGGCAAGTATGGACACAACATTCAAGCTTGATACAGCTCTGAATTTGGATTGTTATTAAATATTTGACACAGCATAGGTTTCTGACACAGAAAGAATGTGGTCTAAGAACTTGAATTTTTTTAAATTACCTATTATGGTCCAATGTCCAAAATCAAAATAAATGGTTAGATTCAGCATATCAAAGAACCCCATATATTCAATTTTTGTTAAAATCAAACAAAGTTTAATTTTGGACCCCAACTTGGACAAACTTGAAAACTGGGCCCATAATCAAAAATCTAAACACATGTTTAGATTCAGCATATCAAAGAACCCCAAGAATTCAATTTTTGTTAAAATCAAACTAAGTTTAATTTTGGACCCTTTGGACCTTAATGTAGACCAATTTAAAAAACGGGACTTGAAATTAAAAATCTAAATACACGGTTAGATTTGGAATATCAAAGAACCCCAATAATTCAATTTTTGATGAAATCAAACAAAGTTTAATTTTGGACCCTTTTGACCTCAATATGAACCAATTTGATAGCGGGGCCCACAAATAAAAAATCTAAATTCATGGTTATATTCAGCATATCAAAGAACCCCATATATTCAATTTTTGTTGAAATCAAAACAAAGTTAATTTTGGGCCCCAACTTGGACCAACTTGAAAACTGGGCCCATAATCAAAAATCTAAACACATGTTTAGATTAAGCATATCAAAGAACCCCAAGAATTCAATTTTTGTTAAAATCAAACTAAGTTTAATTTTGGACCCTTTGGACCTCAAAAAAGACCAATTTAAAAAACGGGACCCAAATTAAAAATCTAAAAACACCGTTAGATTTGGCATATCAAAGAACCCCAATAATTCAATTTTTGATGAAATCAAACAAAGTTTAATTTTGGACCCTTTTGACCTCAATATGAACCAATTTGATAGCGGGGCCCACAAATAAAAAATCTAAATACATGGTTAGATTCAGCATATCAAAGAACCTCATATATTCAATTTTTGTTGAAATCAAACAAAGTTTAATTTTGGACCCCAATTTGGACCAACTTGAAAACTGGGCCCATAATCAAAAATCTAAATACATGGTTAGATTCAGCATATCAAAGAACCTCATATATTCAATTTTTATTGAAATCAAACAAAGTTTAATTTTGGACCCCAATTTGGACCAACTTGAAAACTGGGCCCATAATCAAAAATCTAAACACATGTTTAGATTCAGCATATCAAAGAACCCCAAGAATTCAATTCTTGTTAAAATCAAACTAAGTTTAATTTTGGACCCTTTGGACCTTAATGTAGACAAATTTAAATAAAATGCTTCGCTGGGGCGCAGCTTGATACGACCGCAGAGGTCGAACCCTGAACAGTTGGGGCAAGTATGGACACAAAATTCAAGCTTGATACAGCTATGACTTTGGATTGTCATTAAATATTTGACACAGCATAGGTTTCTGACACAGGATGAATGTGGTGTAAGAACTGGAAACAATTTAATTTACCTATTATGGTGGAATCTCCATAAACTAAATTGTTTGTTAATTTCAATATATCAAAGAATATGTAGAATTCAATGTTTGATGTAATGTAATAAAGTTGAAATTTGGACCGTTTTTGTTCAATGTGGACCAATTTGGTAACATGTATAAATAATCAAAAATCTAAATACATGGGAGCCCATTTAAATACATCATAAAGGTATTAAAATAGAAAGTGACATCATAGTCATGGCTAAAAATAAACAAAAATCCTTAATCAGCAACATTTAAAGTAATATCTAAAAATAAAATTCCTTTGTAACCATAAAAGCCCATTTAAATACATCATAAAGATATTAATATAGAAAATGACATCATAGTCATGGCTAAACATAGCAAAAAACCCTTAATCAGCATCATTTAACAGTAATATCTAAAAATGGAAATTACATCATAAAGGTATTAAAATAGAAAATGACATCATAGTCATGGCTAAAAATAAACAAAATCCTTAATCAGCATCAGCAACATTTTATAGTAATATCTAAAAATAAAATTCCTTTGTAACCATAAAAGCCCATTTAAATACATCATAATAGATATTAAAATAGAAAATGACATCATAGTCATGGCTAAACATAGCAAAAACCTTAATCAGCATCATTTAACAGTAATATCTAAAAATAAAAATTTCTTTGCAACCATAAAAGTAAAATAGAAAATGACATCATAATCATAGCTAAAAATAAACAAAAAATTTTTTTATTGGCAAATTTTAAATGGAGTTTATTATACTAAAACAATAAATTTGCAACCATAAACATGATAAAACCCCATTTAAACACATCATAAAAGTATTAAATAATTCAACTACATCATAAGGCTATAAAAATAGAAAATGACTTCATAGTCAAGGCTAAAGGTAAACAAAAAACCTTCATCAGCAAAATTTTATATTGGCAAATTTCCAATGAAGTTTATTACACTAAAATTGTTGGCAAATTTCCAATGCATTTATTAACAATAAAGTTATTGGCAAATTTCCAATTTACATAATTTAAAAGCAGTGTAGATGAGATATTTAAATGAGTTTGAATTACCAACCTTACACTGCTTTTAAATAATGTTCTTTACTCAATTATTTGTCTATTAAAATGGAAACCCTTGTTTTTTAACCTTTTTTCCCCTTATTCCTTAAACATTAGAGCACACTAAAAAAATCCTTATTTTCGACCAATATTTGGCCCCTTATTCATAAATGTTTGAGCAATTAACCCCAAAACTCAATTCCTACTTTCTCTTCGTGATAAAAAATAACTAACTTAAAATGTAAATTTTAAACAAAAAAAAAAGGAAAAAAAAAAATTACCCCTTTTTTGACCCCCGCCCCCCTTATGATTCATCACCCCCACCCCCCTTTCCCCCCAAACCAAGCTCAATAACAGTCTTGCCTTTGTGGTATGGTACCTTGTAATACAATTTTAGAGAGATCCATACACTTGAACACAAGTTATTGTCTAGAAACTAAAAAATGCTTATTTTAAACCCCTTTTTAGGCCCCTTATTACTAAACGTTTTGGGCAATTACCACAACACTCAATTCCAGCTTTCCCTTTGTGAAATGGAACCTTGTAGTAAAATTTCAGAAAGATCCATACACTTACACACAAGTTATTGTCATGAAACTAGAAAAATGCTTGTTTTTTGCCCCCTTTTGGCCCCTTATTCCTAAAATTTTGAGGCAATTAACCCCAAAATCAATCCCAGCATTGACCCTTTGTGATATGGAATCTTGTGGTACAATGTCAAAGAGATCCATACACTTACACACAAGTAATGTCTGGAAGTTACAAAAATGCTTATTTTCGGCCCCTTTTTGGCCCTTAATTCCTTAACTGTTGGTACCATAACCCCCAAAATCAATCCCCACCTTCCTATTGTGGTATTGGACCTTATGGTAAAATTTCATAGAGATCCATTCACTTAAACTAAAGTTAGAGTGCGAAAACCATTGTGTATTCGGACGACGACGCCGGACGACGCCGACGACGACGACGCCAACGTCAAACCAATATACGACCTCAAAATTTTTTTGCGGTCGTATAAAAACAGGACCAAAAATTAAAAATCTAAATACACGGTTAGATTTGGAATATCAAAGAACCCCAATACTTCAATTTTAGATGAAATCAAACAAAGTTTAATTTTGGACCCTTTTGACCTCAATATGAACCAATTTGATAACGGGGTCCACAAATAAAAAATCCAAATACATGGTTAGATTCAGCATATCAAAGAACCCCACATATTCAATTTTTGTTGAAATCAAACAAAGTTTAATTTTGGACCCCAATTTGGACCAACTTGAAAACTGGGCCAAAAAATCAAAAATCTAAATACATGTTTAGATTCAGCATATCAAAGAACCTCATATATTCAATTTTTGCTAAAATCAAACAAAGTTTAATTTTGGACCCTTTGGACCTTAATGTAGACCAATTTGAAAACTGGACCCAAAATTAAAAATTTAAATACACTGTTAGATTCGGCATAACAAATAAATAAATGTGATCAAAGATTTTACAAATCTAATGCGCCATACTGTGCAATTAAAGATTACTTCTTGAAATTTTTCAATATTTGAAATTTGAAAAAAAAATAATATTTGAAGAATAATTCTTTTTAATTTCTGAAATCTGAAATGAGAAAAAATTGACCCCCACAATTTCTTTTTATCCCCCCCTTTTTTCCCCAAAAAAATTCTTTCCCTCAAGATATGGTCATAATCTCAATTCAAATTTCCAATTGAGTTGGCAACCATAATTACCCATTTAAATTTACCATAGTGCTAACTTAATCTATTTTATAATAGAATTAAAAATATACTGTCAAATCTTTCATATGGATTTTTTTGTAAAAAAAAAAGATGCAACATTTGCAGATATTTTTACTGGTCTTCCTTTATAGATATGCATTTCTTTAAACATAATTTAAAAGCAGTGTAAGGGAAGTAACCAAAATGTTGTATTTTGATTACCTCCCTTACACTGTTTTAAATTATCTTTATTGTTCATTAACCATTACTTTATACATAATTTAAAAGCAGTGTAAGGGAGATAATCTCAATGATGTATTTGATTTATCTCCCTTACACTGCTTTAAATTATGTTTTGAACAAAAGTATTTGTCCATTAACCAGGACAACCTTGTTTTTCCCTCTTTTTTGCCCCTAATTCCTAAACGGTTTGAGCCATAACCCCCCAAAGCAAATCCTAACCATCCCTTTGTGGTATGGAAACTTGTAGTATAATTTCAGAGAGATCCATACACCGCTCCACAGTTATTGTCTGGAAACTAGAAAATGCTTATTTTTGGCCCCTTTTTTGCCCCTAATTCCTTAACTGTTGGTACCATAACCCCCAAAATCAATCCCAACCTTCCTTTTGTGGTATTTAACCTTGTGGTCAAATTTCAAAAAGATCCATTCACTTAAACTAAAGTTAAGTGCGAAAACCAGTATGTCTTCGGACGACGATGCCAGACGACGACGACGACGACGACGCCAACGTCATACCAATACACGACCACAAAATTTTTTTGAGGTCGTATAAAAAGTACAAGTGTGCACACACTGAAATGTCTTGCCTGCTTTACTTACCATTGTTGAAAGTCTTTAAGATAAAGATTTTAATAGAAGTATCACATTTAAAGATCCATGACAATGAGGTCAAGGTCAGAAAAATCCTGTCAGACAGACATGAACACCTTGCAATTATTCCATACACCAAATATAGTTGACCTATGTTTATGGTAATTGAAAAACAGACCAATAAACAAAAAACTTAACTTCGACCAAAGAACCATGAAAATGAGGTCAAGGTCACATGATAATGACTACACAGACATGTACACCTAACAATCATTTCATACACTTAATATAGTTGACCTATTGCTTAAAGTACTTGAAAAACAGACCAAAACACAAAACCTTGACCCATGAACCATGAATATGAAGTCAATCATTCCATACACCATATATAGTTGACCTGCTGCTTATTGTATCAGAGAATTTGACCTAATCATGTATTAACTTTATCCTTTATCACTGATCCATGAAATGAGGTCAAGGTCAGGTGAACCCTGAAGGTATCTGTATACAAGGTATGAAGCATCCAGGTCTTCTACCTTCTGAAATATAAAACTTTATACAAATAGTTTACATCACTGCTGCCGCCGCCGCCGGATTGTAATCCATAGGTCTCGCATACTGCGACAAAAGTTGCAGGCGAGACGAAAATGCATTAATGAAAGGAATCACCAAAATTCATGATTCAAACAGCTAACACACTGTCATATAAAGCAATCAACATCACATTAAATTATCAAAAGCAGAAAATTAGATGCATGTAAACTTCAATGTAACAAGATGCCTGTAAATTACCTCTCGTTGTTGTCTTTCTATTTCTTTCGTTCTTATTTCACGAGCTTCAGCTCTTGCTGCTCTCCTAGCTGCAAGTCGTGCTTCAGCCTGTAAAATACAAGTATAACTTTAGTTACTTAAAAAATGGGTACATAAATACATTTTTATATATGTATGACAGCAAACTAAATATTATGTATCATGATTGTACATCTCTTTGTCAATGAAGTGTGAAATGTTGGTCTGAGTGAACTACTTCATTGGGAGGTTGCATTTGTTATACTCCATTACCTGCATCCTCATATTTAGTTATACTAGTTCATCCAAAATTATAGATTTTTACGTAGGTATTAAAATGAACCTTTCACTGGAGAAAAAATTCACAAAGGCCAGTAATGTACATTGTATATTGTAAGTGATCTACTTTTAGTGGGTGGCTGTTTCTTTTTCTAGAAGCATCCAAACACCTCTGCCCTTCAATCTTAGTTTAGATCAATTCTCACAGAGTTTATGTTATATGTCAATTTAGACTTGAGAACTAACTGTAGTCTGTAGACCCAAATGTCAAGCTTACTCCATTTTCCCCCAAACTTTGTTGAGGTGAACTAAAAGGAAATTTTTTAGAAAAAACTATATGGATTTCTAAACAAGGTACCGGTATGCCAATATAAACCTTTCAAAGTTTATCTGAGTAAATCTGAATATCATTACAGATTTTCCCATGCATGTTTCCATTTAATTAAAATTCATATAGAATTTCTTCCATTACATTCATGCATTGCTTTTCCTAGAGATTTTAAGCAAGGTGGATGTAGTGCTTCAATGCATTAATCTAGACACCAATCCTTAAAAATATATAAGTCCCTTTTACTCTTTATTAATAACCACTAACTTTCAAAAGCTTTCTAGGGAAAACCCTGACATGTACATGATGTACCATTTAGACAACACAATGATTGTTAAATAAAAATAATAGAGTAATACATGGACGTAGAATAAAGTGATATATTCTTTGCAAATTCCTCTCATTTATTTAATACACATAAAAAGTCGGTTAAGATAAAAACAGCCAACGGATGTTGTGCATGTTGTGTGTGAATCATTACTTATATCTACAATGTAAATCACAGTTCCATGTGTTACAGTCATGTTATAATTATCCCAACAAAAAACAGATCTGCAGGGAAACTATTATCTATAAATAAAACAATAGCATGTTTATTTTTGTAATCACTTCATCATAAATCTAATAAACAAATACACAATTAGTGATACATGTAGGTAAAATGCCCGAAATTTGGAAATAACAGTAATTTTTGACATTTTCAATATAAAACAATGAGATCTACTTTTAGTACAAAAAAAGATCAATTACTTCGGTCTTCTAGTAATTTACACCCCCCTTTTTTTTAAATACTGATACTATTGGGTCACTGACCACATGACAAGACTTGTTGGAATTATAGAAAAAAAATGTTATCGATTTATTGATAAAAGTGTGAAACAAAACTTAAATGTCTTCTTTTACTGCACTGAAATTCTATATAAATATACTTTGGGCATTGCAATTGGAAGGTGTCTCCCTGTACAAAAGTTACTGTATGAAATAAACACGTACTATAAAGTACAGCTGCTGTAATGCACATCAATTTCTTTTCTCATGTGTCAATGAAGATACATCTTGATAGGCCAAGTGTAATTTAGACTTATTTATCATGTTTATAGCTACTAGATATATATATGTCTCTAGTCTAGAAAACATGTGAATTTTTGTGGTGATGTCATACTCTTAGGTACATGTATGGCAGTAAATTTAATATGATAAAACTTGTCAGCAATCTTAAATAATGGTTGTCTAAGAAACGTATCTTAAATCACCATAACTGTTTACTTATCATGCTTTTAGACATTTAATATGTGTATATATATATAATAAGTGTATTAAACTTTTTGATTATCAAATATTAAAATAAGAAGATGTGGTATAATTGCCAACGAGACAACTCTCCACAGCATGACAAGAGACCAAATGACACCGAAATTAACAACTATAGGTCACTGTACGGCCTTCAACAATGAGCAAAACCCATACTGCATAGTCACAATTATAGGGCCCCAAAATGACAAATGTAAAACAATTCAAATGAGAAAACTAAGGGCCTAATTTATGTACAAAATAATGAACAAAAAACAAATATGATATACAGAAACAAACAACAACCACTGAATTAACGGCTTCTTACTTGGGACAGGCAAATTCAGAATGTGGCAGGGTTAAACATGTTAGCAGGCGCCCAAGCCTCCTCCTAACCTGGGACAGTGGTGTTAACAGTACAAAATAAGAACAAACTATAAAAATCAGTTGAAAAAGGCTTAAATTAACTCATCATAAAGATACAAACAGAAATTCATATAACAAAAACAGAGTGGATGTGGCAGGGTACTTATACATCCCCACAACAAAAAGACACTAAGTACAGATCTGAGAGTACTTGCAGTTACTGACAGCTAGTTCAAAGCCAATAACAACTAATAAAAAAATCATGCATCTAAGACTAAAATATCAATCGGTACACATCCAACATCCAATTGATTTAGTGTAAAGACGTCATTAACAGTCAGAGAAAAACATGACCTTATGCAATGCCAAGATACAGATATCGACAGATTGTAGAGCCATGAATGTGCATAAGTATATAACAATAATATTTAGTTTGATTTTAATTTACTGATAACAAAATCAATAATAATACCATTTTAACAATATTCTAAGATCTAATTACAGTGTTGAATTGGTAACCTTTTAGAATAAGTTTACCCAGGTCGTATCTAAATTTACAGGCTCAGTAAACAACATCTCTGTAAAAATTATACTTTATTTATTAAAAGAAGGCTTATTCTATAATTGTAAGATTTCCCCCTTTTATGCTAGTGTCATACATTATGTTATTTAATAGCTTAGAATTGTTTCAACATGATTTATAAACTAATTCTATAGTATTCCAGTCATTTGGCATAAACAGCATGGTCATAAGTCTTAAGAGGTCAATGAACCAACAAAACATCATCTGTCACTTCTATGATGCAATAGTCAATTAATCATTTATATAAATAATTGTTTGTTAAAACATTAACATTTCTCTCATACTGTATGTGCCTGTCCCAAATCAGGAGCCTGTATTTCAGTGGTTTTAGTTTGTTGCTGTATACATATCATATTTGTTTTTCATTCATTATTTTATATATAAATCAGGCTGTTACATTTTCTCATTTGAATTGTTTTACATTTGTCATTTCTGCACCTTTTATAGCTGACCATGGGGTACGGGTTTTGCTCATTGTTGAAGGCTGTTGTTAATTTCAATGTCATTTGGTCTCTGGTGGAGAGTTGTCTCATTGGCAATCATACCACATCTTCTTATTTTTATATAATCTAGAGGGATTAATGAAAATGTACAAAATGTATGATGTTATATTGGGACATGCAAAGGCAAACAAAGGCACAAACTTTGTATGGACTGGACATAGGATATATATATGAGTTTGGTGTTACCTACCCTGAACAGTTGGGGCAAAAATGGACACAATATTCAAGCTTGATACAGGTCTGAATTTGGATTGTAATTAAATATTTGACACATTATAGGTTTCTGACACAGAATAAATGTAGTCAAAGAACTTGAAATTGGTTATATGATTTGAATTTATATTCAATTAAAGATTTCTTGCTGTTGTGCAATACACTGTGCTGTTGCACGTTCCCCCAATACTTAGTTAATCTGTTTTCAGACTACGTACTTTGACTTGGATGGAGGGTTGTCTCATTGGCACTCATACCACATCTTCTTGTATCTATATATACAAAGAATTAGCAAAATAAATTGTGACCCTCAATTTTTTTTTTTTGGAAAATTGATAATTTCTTAAATCTTGATGGAAAAAAATTGCCCCCCCCCCCCCCCTAAAAAAAATCATATTTAAAGAAATTTCTTTTTGTAAAATGTGGTACAATTTAAGAGACATCCATACACTTAAACACAAGTTATTGTCTGAAAACTAGAAAATTGCTTCTTTTGGCCACCTTTTGGCCCCTAATTCCTGAACGGTTTGGGCAATTACCCCCAAAATGAATCCCAACCTTCTACTTGTGGTATTGAACCTTGTGGTACAATTTCAGCGCAATCAAAATTCTTATACACAAGTTATTGTCCTGAAACTATAATAAACAGCTGCGCCATGAGCGCATGATACGCCCGTCGTCTTGTGTGTGAATTTTTATGCAATAAGCATAAATAGTTTCTGACATACGGCGTGACATGCGAAAACCCCCTTTTTAAAAAAAAAAAAAAAATCAATATCTATAAAATAAAATCTTGAATCAAAACCAAAAAGTATACAGATCTTTAGATTAATATAACTAAGAAGTGTGTAAAATTTTAAGCAATAATCATAAATCGTTTTTGAGATACGGCGCAACATGTGAAAAACCCCTCCCCCTTTTTTTACAAAATACTCAATAACTCAAAAATAAAGTTTTGAATCAAAACCAAAAAGTATACAGATCTTAAGGTTAATATAACTAAGAAGTGTGTAAAGTTTTAAGCAATAATCATAAACTGTTTTTGAGATACGGCGCGACATGTGAAAAACCCCTCCCCCTTTTTAACAAAATACTCAATAACTCAAAAATAAAATTTTGAATCATCACCAAAAAGTATACAGATCTTAAGATTAATATAACTAAGAAGTGTGTAAAGTTTTAAGCAATAATCATAAATTGTTTTTGAGATACGGTGCGACATGTGAAAAAAACACACACCTGTTTTAGTTACTAAGTCCCGTAACTCAAAAAGTTTTAATCTTATTTTCACCAAAAAGTATACAGGTCGTTTGACCATCATAAGAAACAACTATGTTAAGTTTCATGAAATTTGGATAAGTCATTCTCAAGTTACGGTGCAACATGTTTACGCCGGACAGACAGACGGACAGACAGAGGACATTTGTATAACATAATACGTCCCGTCAAAAATTTGACGGGCGTATAAAAATGCTTGTTTTGGGCCCTTATTCCTAAACGGTTGGGACTATCACCCCCAAAAACAATC